ATCTCTTATTGGGGGGAAGGGGTGGGGGCTTGTGGTAAGAAGTCATATTGTATAAAGTTCTCAAAATGATAGATAAAATTTTGGGCGTGCAGTGATGTTACGTAATATCTTAAAAGTGGCTGCTACTTTGGCTTACAAAAAGGAAGCAGTTTAGAGATCAATAATTTTACCACCCCTCTGCTAACACAAGATTCATGGAAATCAAACTACACCATTCTAGAAATGTAGGGAACGAATATTTTAACAAAAGTAACTAGAAGTGATCGAATATTTTGCAAAAATAAGTGATTTAGGGTTATTCAGTTTAAATCCATTCTTCAAAGAACAGTTACCTCTTAGTTCAGGATAAACAAAATTTGGAGTGATTGAAAAGTTATATTGGTGGGAACACTCTTACTGTTAATGTAAATTTTACGTTCGTGCAGCTGAGACAGGAAAAACGAGTACTTAGAGGGAAAAGAGGGCTCCCTTGGCACTGCTATAACCGTTATTGTATCTGTCAGCTTGGGTAGCATAGCATTGGGATTACTTCAAGTTGCTTTGTAAACAGGTCAATTGAAAAAGGAAGTGTGTTTACCTTTTAACTCTCATGAGTGATCAAGACAGAATTTCTCCTTCTCCTTAATTGATCCAATGTTCAATTTTCCGAATTGACGTAAGGCAAACAATAAGGAGAATTCAGTCCTTATGAGATCTTGGGTGTGAAAGGGATAATAATATGGTTACCCTCTAAGGAGGGTAACCGTTACTCTTCTCTGTATGATAAATTAAAAAGATTATGTCTTACTTCAAAATGTTGCAGCCACTACAGTACTGTGGACAAAACCAGCCCCAAGTTGGACCCAAACGGATTCAAATGACATCAGAACAGTTGATATTCAAGTGTTGAAGGGCAGCACCCACATACATCTCAGTTGGAATTACACTTTGTCAGAAGGTTCAGATCTGAAGACAACAACTTTTTCCATCAATGATGGCAGCAGCTGGAATGACATTGGAGTTATATACCATGCTAACAATGACATTGTGATATATAGCAGAAATAATTACAGGACGCGATTTAATATCAGCGATAGTAATGTGGCCACCCTGATATTAAAAAAAGTGACTGAGGATGAACGAGCAACTTTCCATTGCAAGCTCTCCACGCTAAGTAACTCTTGGACCTACAGTATTCTCGTGAATTTTACAAGTAAGTGTCAGTTTGGTGATATCCATCTTATTACATCCGACGCATTGTGTAAAACTCCAGTCTTAAATCACTCTCGTTACTTTTTATTGTTTAATTTACCAACCAACCCCAACTGTGTCTCTTTGATAAAAATGTCTGGTTTTGGTATCCGTACTTCCCCTCTGTATTCAATCTGTCCCAAGATATACTACTACCATGACAAAACTTTCAAACAGTGTCGAGCTTTGAAAGGATTTGCTATTTTTGATCTTCAGTCAAGACCCTTTCTAGTTACAGTAACTGGTAGCCCCACCAAAATGTTATGGGGTCGAGGGTTACACGGAGTGATCGGCAAGCTACAGTTATAGCACGCGTAGCTGTTCGCATGTCTGAGAAAGTTAACAGAAAAAGCGCCCAATTTTTCTTAAAATGACCCCAAGTGCCCCAAAACTATGCAAAACAGCATAACCCAAAAACCAGCTTTAAAACATTCTTATAACCACGCCGGTAGGGCAATGGTCTTTGTATTATCTCCTTAGAGTCAAAGAGTCTCAATTGGGAGTGTATATCACATTAAAAGCAGAACCATGTGCAATTTCCGCTTTGAAGGTGCAATAGTCTGACGTATGGGAAGAATGGCGGCTTAAATTGATTTAGAATTGACGATTTTGGCTTATTTTTTTGCCAGAGCGACATCTGAATTGGGTGGAGCGGCCCTTATCTGTTGTTGCTGTTGAACGTCACAACCTCACCCTTCGGTGGACCTATATGAAGACACTTGGCCTAGCGTCGTCATTTCGATATGCAGAATTTACTGATCTTAGCAGCAGGGAAAAAACCATTGCAGAGAAAGTGTTAAATACTGCACCAATCGTACATACAGCTTATAGACCTCGATTTCATGTGGATTATATACAAGATACTATGGCGTCTATAACAATTGTTGGACTGAAAAGATCAGACAGAGGAAGATATAGATTTGATGTTAAAACCCTCAGGGAGGACATCAACGAACTTAACACGCTCTCCAGCATCATGGAGCTCACAGTACATTGTAAGCAAACAAACAAAAGCTGTGTTTGGTCATGTAAGATGTAGGCTATATCTTTAAAACCAAGGTGTTTTTTTACTCAGTATAATGCGTATCATAACCAACGTTAGTTGCAACTTCATTGGGATGGATCGTCATTATTGTGATTGTGATTATCGTTATCCTTTTTGTTTCTTCATTATCGTAAAGGTCATTGACATCATTATCGTTACTTTTAATTCTTTTCTGCATTCATTTTTTCGTTGTCGTCGTTGCTCAATTCTTTTTCTTCCTCCTGCAGAAAGTGACAACGTTTACATTTTCGGCGATACTTGTCGCTGTTAATTTAGGATCATTGTATATATACGTAGCTTTTGCCAGACAGCGTGTTATATAACTTTCTCGTATGGTGTTCGTTTATTTTTGTGTTAAATAAGCGCGGTCGCAACTAGTAAAGCAATGTGTGGATTTGACTTTAACAATAGTTTACTCGTTCTCTCTCTACTTTTTCTAACTAGTAAAATGTGATTTATTTTCAGATGCGGCGAACATGATCAATGTTAGCGACCACCAAACTGTGCAAGAAGGATCTTATCTTCAACTGTTATGTCAAGCATTTGGCAATCCAACCCCAAACATAACGTGGACCAAAGTGCTTGAAAATAGTAACGATAGTAAATTGCTGCATCATGGAAGCCATTGGAATTTAACAAAAATTAACAGAACTGCTTCTGGTTTATACAACTGTACAGCTGACAATGGAATTGGAAATCCAGTGTGGCGGCTGATAAAAGTCAATGTTACCTGTAGGTGTATCATACCTTGTCACCGCTTTGATTAGCATTGAGAATTTTAATTCCCATTATTTTTCCGTCTCCCGAAACAACTGGTAAACCAAAAAATACCTTGGTTGACGTTCAAGAAGTATGAGTGATAAATATCTTTAATAAGGTACTTCAAAAACCTCTTGACCAGGTGAAAGCATTTGTGAAAAGTACTGTTGTCAGCGTCAAGGACTGACGCTTCGACGACATATACAGAAACTGAAAAGTTGCTTGTCAAAGATAGGTGAAAGGGTTATGGTAAATATTCGGCCTGTTTTACTGTGATCTTGTTTACTACAAAAGTTAATCAGCGTCGGCAATTCATCCTAACAGCAGACGCTAGCTGAAGTGGATTATTTTTACTCTTCTCTGCTTGTTTTTTTGTTACTTAGATTCTGCTAAGGTTGTTAAACTTGCCAGCGAACATCACGTTGCAGTACAAGGAAGTGTGCGTCTTCACTGCGAAGCCGAAGGAAATCCTCCGCCTGCTTACACGTGGTTCCCTTGTGATTCACAGACCCAAGCATGTCATGAGAGCACACTTACTGTTTCCAACGCTCTTAACGACGCTGTGTACTCTTGCAATGTGGCAAATGTTTTGGGTAATGATACAAGAGAGACCAAAGTTGGTAAGTTTTAATTAAGCGATGCTAACTAAGAGTTATGAGGAATTTTTACATAGCTTCCTTTATGAAAATTTAATAACAACTTCACAGATCTCCTTTGGTATAACAAACGATCACTGAATGCAACTTGTTCCTACATGTATTTAAACCTGATCATCACCTGCAAATAATTGTATATATTCAAGGAAAGTTTAATCATACTCGGCCAAGCACTGGAATAGCTAATATTATGAAATGATTAAGAATTCAGGGGGTCATAATCAGTCCTATCTTTCTTTGTGGAAACCCATAAGTCATCATGCTAGCCATACCATGCTGACGAGGCTCAGCAAGACTGAAATAGCTGACATAGTTGTTAACTCGGTGTCTTAATTTTCCCGCTTATTTTCTTTGAAAAAGACCTCACTTGACTTCCATTGTTGCCGCTGTGTCGCCTCCAGTAGCATAACACAGCTTTAAACTAATGTTGCTTGTTTGTTTTATCAAACAGTTATAGCAGACAATGTGATAAATGTGACACTTTTCATCAGTGAACAGTGCCCTGATGAAAATTTATCTGAATCCGTGTTGTGGAAGAACCTCGAACAAAAGGTAACTATTAGGCATGTGACACCACCACACTCGTAAATAGATACCTTTATTCAGCGGAACGGTGATGATGTGCATATAGGATTCGCACTGTATAATTTTGCTATCGTTTCTTGTAGATCGAGGACCTATTTAAAAATGAAGGATACAGGAGCACAGAATTAACAAATTACAGGTATGTAGGCGAAATGAATTATTACCTGGGTAATCTGTCCTTTTTATGTATTTAGAAAGATGTTGCTGTGAACTTACTGTGACTCAGGCAAAAACATGATGTATTACAATAGCTGGAATTCCTACCCTACTCTTTACGAAATGTGTGCAGGTTATTTTTCAGTCCTCTGTTGAACTTATTACATTGAGGATGCACGAGAAAGGGGCCTAAGATTTTCAGCCAGCTACCCTGAGATACTAGAAAGTCTTAGGATTTACAGCTGTTCTTATAAGTAGACCTGTTTTTAAATTCTTGTTTTTGTTCTGACCCTCCTAGGTGTGGTAGTGTGATTGTTGATTTGGCCTTGAAGTTCAATTCCTCTGTTAAAGAAGTGAAGGTGCTTTCAATGCTAAAAGATTCTGCAGAGAATGGAGGGCTGAAAGAGTTGGGTGTAAAAGCTTTAGAAATAGTAGGTTGGCGACCCGGAAGGCCAACTGAAGGACCCAACAGCTCAACGTATGGCACAAAAACTACTGAAAATGCATGTAAGTAGGAATGAAAAGCGAGGATATGACTAGGACCAGTCCAGGACATTATTAGTTGCTGTAAGATGTGGTGTGTTATAATTTTTTTAATCACCTTTTAAAGTTGATAACTTACAAGTATAGATAAATCGATGCCACTATTGTCTCCGGAGGGGAATCGATTCGTTGGTAAGGCAAGCTCCTGACGTAATTATATTTGCTAGGATATTCCGAAGTGTGGCCAACAATATCAATTTTAAAATAAACACTACATGATGGACGATTTTTTTTTCTTCTGTCAGATATAGTAATGTTAAAAGTAGAAAACATGAAAAACTGCTGAAAGCTTTGGTTACTTAACCTTTTTCAGCATTGTGATTTGCGACTCGTGACTCTTTACATTCGCTAGCCAGTGAATTTAAACTTGTTTGTGCTTGCATTAAATCGAATGCCTCAGCTTTACATTAGTTACATTTACATTTACATTACTTCCTTTCCTCAGTATCCGCTGTACCTTCCGAACTCCCTGCTCAGAGCGGGGATAACCAAGGTCTTAAGGATTGGATGATTGCTGTTATAGCTGGTGTTTCTGGTCTTGTCCTCCTCTTTGTCGTTATATTCTTACTTTGTTGGATCAGTAAAACTCAGAAGAAGAAGAAGGGCTCCGGAGGTAAGAAAATCACGCTATAAGTATTACCATTAGTGTAACACTGACACCACTATCGTTTCATCTCCCGCAATTTTGAAATCTTTTTAATTATCATCTCCCCCCCCCTACCCCGAAGGTTCATATGAAAGTAAAAGCCGCTACCCGGTCAAAGCTGCTTTCCTCGACGTTGAACATACATGTCCAATGTACTTGTATAAATCAAGTTGGTGTCGATTATATCAAAAGCTAAGAGAAACGCGACTTAAGTTTGTGCTTGGTTTTCTCTTTACTTTGGGTAACAACACGAGAGATGGTTTCCATTTGCTGATACTCCACGACCACATGAGCTTCATGCTAATTACTTTCAGACCTCTTTTTTATTGTGAATAATTTCTTCGAGTTTACGATGTAACATAGTTTAATCTGATGATAGTAACGGGCATGTCATATTAACAAATACTTAGACATTTCTTTTTGCTTTCTTTCAAGATGAAGCCGTTGACATGTCGACTACTTCGAGGTAAATTTTACTTTTTTCTGTTGTGATACTTTTCATGCGAAAGAGCGCTGTCAAATCTGCTTTCGCTTTTTACTGGTAAGGTAAAATTGGTTACCGGGTTTGATCGACTAGTTTTATTAATTCACTAACAGACGCACCAAATTGCGGTAATTACAACGTTTGGCTCGCAATCAACAACTGATTACGTTTGTGTAGCTCCAAATAAGCGATCAAACGGATCACTAAGAGATGAAAAGTACGGCCAGGTCGCTTAGCTAGAGTCACATTGGCGGCGTTAAAGGGTCAATTTCCCACTTTCAAAGGCGAATTTCATTTGGTGAGGAGGATCTTACGCTGATAAGAACACTCTTGAGGTTACTTTGTTATACATCATTTACTTCATACAAATTGACGTTGGCGGAAGGCAATGTTTGATATCTGTGATTGTAGCTATTTGATACTGGAGAGAGCCTTTTTGTTGGAGTCAAACACTTTCTCCAGTTTTTGTGATTCGCTTTATTCATTCGTCCGTTTCTTTTTTCTTTTTTTGTTTAGGTATGTAAAGAATGGCCCCCACCATTCTGACAAGCCTAGCTCTAGCAGGGAATCTATTGAAGATGATCCATTCATTGCTGCGTCCACTTATTCCCAGAATTCAGTCGATAGAAGGGACAGGAAGAGAGATTCCAGTGTCAACTATGGATACCAACCAGACGGTACAGAACTTAGACTTAGGCCAACATTCTTGATCCATATGATGCCTTATAAGGCTAACCGTACAGAGTTTTCTTGATAACGTTGAATGAGGCTGTAATTAATGTAAAGTGTTTTCATAGGAACATAACTCAAATCGCAGCCATAGTTTATTCCGGTTCCTGAAGCGTGAAGTTAGCCGGTTTGTTGGCTGCTTTCTGTGGATGGGATGTTAGCTCGTTGAAGTTATCCCCCTTAACGTCTGGTTTCTCTGACTATTCACCGGTTATTCTGTGTTGTTATGTAGACAACTGCCTGGAGAGGGGTACCGCGTGAAGTACGTGTCTTACCTTAAAATACAACACATTGACACAGACCATACTTTGAACCCCAACCTGTTGATTCTCTAAGGTTTTTTTTTTAAGCGTTACTAACGTGCCTAATGTAAACGGAAAATTGGTTTGCCTGATCAACCATTCGCGTAAACAGACGGCTCTTGTTGCAGCCATCTCGACACTATATTTCTTTTCTTTCCTTCCCACGAGGTTGTCAATTTAGAAAATAGGTTAAAATTCTTTATGTACAAATAATGCATCATTGTATAAATACTCTTTTACAGTCGAATCTGGTTGTTGCTAAATATCAAATTCGCAAGCAGTTATAAATTTCTCTGTTTTCTTCCCCTCCCCACCACCTTTTTGTCTATCTTAGATTCAGATCAACCACAAGGTGAAATGCTGCTAAAATCAGGCTCCCGTTTCCCCAAAAATGACCGTCTTACGCAGAGTACAGGAGAGCTTGATGTGACCTCCACATATTTAGCGAAAGGACCACAGAGAGATTGCAGTACACTTCCCTCCTACCACAGACCACCCTCTTATGAGGAAGCCTCGAAACAGAAAGATCGAATAATGATGACTGAACTAAGGCCGAGTACATCCACGGGCGGCAGGCAGAAGCGACGGAAAAGTCCCCCGGAAGACAGGTTTCTGTATCACCATGTACTACATTCACGTACTCTCTATAAGTACCTGTATTCAACTCTCTTTTCTAAGACCACTCAATTTTTTTGCGTCTCAGTGAGTGGCTTCATTCTTCCACGCTGTACTTTGCAGTGCTTTGTTATGTTTTGCTGTGTTCTGTTGTGTTTGCTCAGGTCAGCTGTACTCCGCTTTTTCATGCTCTCTTGTGATGTGCTCCACAGGGCTGTGGTAGGCTGTAGCTACGAGACTCCCATCAATTTTAGAACATACCATCCCAATGATCTTCCAATTTTCCTTCACAGACGTTAGGACAACGTCTATCATCTCTTGGAATCCCTAATGCATATGTCGAATTATGATTGTCATATTGTACACAGGGCGGAAGAAGCCAGTGTAGCACCAAGTGAAATGAGGTCTAATCAAGACGGACATAGAAGTGACAAAGACAAAGGACCTCTTGATCCAACGGCGATATATGCCATGCCAGACAAGAAAAAGAAGTTGGATAAACAAAGTCCTGCATCCCTTGAATCGGTTTTTGGTAAGATGAATTGAAACTAAAAAAAAAAATAAGATTAAATTGAAAATTAAACATTTTAATAGTGCTGGAAGGAGAGCCTACTACTCAAAGGTGTATGGCAGACGTCTTCTCGAATGCATCAAACATTTCCCTCTGCCTGGTGTTACTTATTTTTACCCACTTTTTACTTGGGTCGTCTTACTTACAAATCTTCCTTAAAGAATTTAAGATGTTCATGATCGTTTCCACCTACTCTTTTTTATCGCTAGACCCTTTCAAAGCGAAGGACAAATCTGCTAAAGGACCAATTCTACATAATCCTGGTAACTTGGATCTTGATGGCCCCGCTAATGCATCTACAAGTGAGGGGCCAAGAAACTTAATAATCCCCATTGAAATGTTACCTAGCAACCGCCAAACGCCCCAAAAAGATGATACAGGTAGGTAACCAAGTGTTAATTCTACGGGGTCGACTAAAGAACTCAAAAAAAAAGGGAGAGAAGTTCGAGAGTATATTTCCTGCGTCAAGAAATATCTTATGATAACCTGGAGCTGTGGTGTTATAACTTAAAAATTCTTTTCCATGGCTTATCTGTTCTTTTCCGGAGCCTTCCGTGGTCGCGTGAGGGCTCTTGACCAACAAGGGTCAGTGTTATAAAGACGTCGTTTGATATCATGATCACATATGACACAAAAGTGAAATTTTTCCATTAAGGAACGATCCACATTTGCAGTCATACTTCCGACTTTGCAACTACGAAGACACAGTGTGTGATAACTAAGTGTTATTGTTCTTACTTTAGCCTTGACAACTGAAAAGTTTACTAACATCTAGTGTTATTTCCACGCAGAAAATGGAAAATCAGAGCCTTCATCACCTCTTAATTTCACTTTGGAAAAACGTCCACGGAACAGATCAAGCGGTGCTGCACCTTATCAGCCGGAGCGGAGTAAACTGGTAAAGTTCATGGAATAAGATAGATTCTTCATTTCCGAAGTTAACTTTTACTCCACATACTCCAAAATAATCATATACTTTGAAGTTGATCAAACACAGAGACGATTCTCTCGTAAAAAAACATAGCTTTGACATACGATGCGCTGATGTTTCTGATATACCAGCCAAACAAGAAGAGAAAATTTTATTTCTTTCCTTCACCCACTGCGCAAAATCTTGCGTTTAGCCGGCAAGCTTCTCTATTCTATGGACCAGAGGAGACATACTTACCTTTGTAAAACTCTGTTTATGAAACATGGAGTGTACGAAGGAAAGGAACACCAATTTTCTTTTCTGCGCTTATCATAAAGAAATAGTTGGGGATGATAATAGTTCAGCCCTGTTATCCTCGTGAAGGGAAACGCCTCTTGTAATGTTTTCAAGGTTTTTCTAGATCCTATCACCTAAATTGTATACGAACAATTGGGTCCTAACACTCCAGGTCAAAGTGGCCCTAGTTCTTTTGTTGTGGTAGGATATCGCATAAATTTGCTTAATTATCGTTGACATGTTTTTGTCATAAATTCCGATCTTTTCCCTTTAATCCTGCAGCCATATAGGAATGTCCTTGGAGAACTTGTGAGACCAGATACACTATCACGAACTTCACAAGACTCGCACGACATAAAACCAGAAACACTACCAAACCAGTCGAAACCCGTTGGGTCCCAGACTCACAGCAGGGAATCATCGGATGCAAGCTACATCACCTACGTGGTCTGATGGCGCAGCAATCTGTCTTCCAAACAGGTCACTATTGTTGCTTTGAACCCGAGACATCTAATTAACTTCCATACAACTATCAATAACGGCTATGAGCCCATCTGAGTAAATAGCTTTCAGAGCTGTAGAATGACTTCATTCAAGGAAGACAACTTACGTCCACATGGCCAGCCTTAAAATTCCATCTTTGGACCTGATTCACTTAACTGGCCCGATCTAACGAAAATCTAACGAAATTCAAAAAAGACTTAACAGTGAACTTAGACATACTTATGTACAATAAATTTACCGTGGGAATATTGCTTGCCAATATATCCCACGTAAGTGAACGGTGAATTTCATAGAATGGCTAAGTGCTGGTTACTGCTAAACATTTCGAGTGTTTGCCGTTACATAGTCGAATACAGCGGCTTTAGGGTATCACGTTTTTCAACCAGAGGGATATATATATGTTATTTGCCGGCTGGGAGGTCCGTATGGTGAAAAACTGTGACCGAGGTCTTGAAAATATTGCCCGAGGCCGCAGGCCGAGGGCAGCATTTTCAAGACCGAGGTCACAGTTTTTCACCATACGGACCGACCCTTAGCCGGTAAATAACATATTTATTGTTTTAAACTTGACGAAATTCTTTCCGAAAGAACCCGAATGACTTATGGCCGTAAATACGGCAAGATCTTCCATAAACTGAACAATTTTTGATTGAGTAAATGGTAGTTAAAATAGAGGTGATGCAAATTTAAGAGAGATGCCTCAGGGAACATTTTCATTTCCGTAACGATAAAGGTGATTTAAAAGGCTTCCAAACAAACTTTGAAACATTATTTTTACAAGTATCTGTCACAATCTGACACCTGTCAATTAGAGAGCGTGCAAGAAAAAAAAATCGTAGGAACATTTGAAAACCAACAGAACTAGTTTGGCAAGGACTGTCACGACAATGTTTTCTTAAAAATCAGTTAATGATCTAACGGAAAGTATTATTTACTCTCATCGACCATTCATTCATGTACGAAGATTTACCTCTGTTCATTAAGTAAACGGCGAGGAAAGTAACTGTAATCGGGAACAACATTGCTTTTATACTACAAATCAGTATTTTTTTTTTTAGCCGTAATTCACTGAACGAACAACGTAAGAATCTACTCACTGCAGTTTGGTGTTTGAGGCCATGAGAACTGTCTTGTCTTGTCTGTTCAGAAATATGAGTGTGCCTGACAAGAAAATACCAGAAGGAATGACGAATGCAGCCGGGATGATAAAACTTTCGATATACAAAGAAAAAGTGCCAATTTACTGTGTTTTTGTAACTGAAATAAGTCGAAATACTTACAGTTCGTTGACAACGTGAAAATGCTGTCCAGCGCGTTCGTCTTGAGCAAGGACGTGACTTGTTTACGTCACGATCATGCGCTGTGGTAATCATTTTGATATTTTTACTTCCGGTCAGCTTCAGTCACGTCCGCGTTGTTGGATCTTAAAGTCCCTATTTTCTTGTTGAAAGCAGCCGCAAACAGACATTCGGTAATCTAAAGCCTATGGAGTTCCTGACAGGAATATGCAACTTTTATCTGCTGCTACATATCCTTGTTCGGGAAGTATGTAAGTATCTTCAACTTATGAAGCAAATACGTGCAATGTGAGACCCTATTCGTTGAATGGTGTCACGAAGACTATTGGTTTTTTTTTTAGTTGACATTTCTGACATTCATTCCGTAAGTAATCATTCGATACTGAAATACGAAGCACTTCCTTACCATGGACGCAGCTTGAGAGCCCTAAGCGACTATTTACTACTGTATTTTCAAAGCAACGAAAATAAAAGTATGTTTTCGTTAGCCTTTAAAATCCAAGAATTTCGATGGTATTTTCGTCATGCGGGACGGAATAACCACGAATTCTATTTGGTCACACCACGTAAGATTGGAGCGTACTGAACGTCATAGTCTTGAAAGTCTGGCCTGCTTCAGATTTCACTTCGTAGGAAGTGACAAAAACATTCTCAGATACTTGTTCGTTATGTTTCACACTTTTTGCAAGAAACACTATCTTATCCCGTGGAGTTTTTCTCAAATATATCACGCGATAACTACAAGTATGCGAGGTAAAGTAGGGAAATCGTTTTATTTTACTGTGGCAAAGTAGATGCAAACTAACAATTACTGTCTATTTATATCTTTTAACTCAACATGTTATTCAAAATAAATGATTTGCTACAACACGAATTGTTGATTATCTCACATAATCAATTGAGGCCATTCACAGAAATCTGTGTTCAAAACTGCCGTTCATTCGTGTGATCGTCGCGAAAGTAAACAGTTAATTATCTCGTATCATCAATCAATGCAGTTCACTGAAATCTATTGATAGTCACGAAACGTCTCACAAGAGTTTCAAACATCAATCGAGTTTTGACGCACTATTTCTTTTTAGTTAGTTTTGCTTAGCGCTTGGCTGATAGAACTTCATCTATTGTAAAGTTTATTGGATGCATAAACGACACAATCTTTTTTTTGTAAAATGAATCAGACTTCCAAGACTATGACGTTCAGTACACTCTAATACGTGCTTCGTATTTCAGTATCGAATGATTACTTACGGTATGAATGTCAGAAATGTCAACTAAAAAAAACAAATAGTCTTCGTGACACCATTCAACGAAAGGTGTCATAAAGAGACTTTTGCCCATTCCATCGAAAAACCACGTTTTCCATCGGAATCTATTGGTGTGTATTGGAAATATATGGAGGAATGATGAATAAAGAGACTTAGATTCGACCATGAAAATATATTTGTAGAAACCTAGAAATAATACCTGGATTTCATTTGTCGCTCAATCTAAAACAAGAGGATATCAAGAGAATATCAACTGTTGATATTCTCTCGGCCTTGACATTGGCATTGCTGACAGATTTTTGGGGCCGGTTATTTAAAGGAGGTCTAACCAAAACCATGGTTTTACATAAGCGGCGCGCCTTAGGCCTTGACTCTAGCAATAAGAGGGTTGATTTCATTAAATGAATGTTCCTCCTCTGTTAGATTTCGGCCCTCTTGACTCTTTTCACAAAAATATATGTTTAGATAAAAGGTCCAGCTAAATTGAAGATTGTTTAGAACATGGTTTTGTTAAACTACGGCTAAACTTTGTTTAACTAACTGACCCATGGTGTTTAGAAATGACAATATGGCATGGCAATAGTTGAAGTATCAAATTTTAACCTACAAGTAGTTTCCCTCAAACAATGCCTGAAGAGATTAGATTCCATTTCCAAGAGTTTTGTGACTAAAACTCTCAATTTGGGAAGAACGTTCCTAATTCAACTGACATGCTTTGCTTGTATCAATGATCTCAAATGGCACTCCGCTCATTAAATATTTTTATCATGTAGCTTTCGTTTATGGCTGATATAATGGCGCTCTGATTAGCTAAGAGCAAGATACAGTGGTATTACGGAATATGTAAATTAGGAAGAGCTCTGCGGTGGCCATCTTCTGTTTTCTAAAATTTGAGCATATGAAAATGATGAGGCTTGATTAAGAGTCTGAGAGGGTAAATTTAATTACAGGCAGTTATGAATTTTGAGGAACAGGGTAGAAACAGTTTTGAATTTCCTTAGAGATTGTGCTGGTCATGGACAAGGTGATTAAATAAGGAGATATTCAATCTCACATCTAATACTTGCTTTGGAAAGCTGTTAGGGACAAGATAACTCTTCAACGAGATTATTGCGTAATAAATTTTGTGATTAAGTTGTTTTTGACTTACCAGCTGGTAACCTTTGTCTTGTCGTATACAAAGCAGTTATTTGTTTGTTTTAGATTCAAGAGCATCTCACTAAGTCTTCTTCAAACCTGCAGCGAATTTACACCGCGTCTATTTTGTATTTGCCTTGTAAACTCATTATGCAGCATGCTTTTGTAACGATAGTGATAAATTTAGCAACTAAGGAGTAATTAGATGAATAATTATATATTCGTTTATTTGAAAGTGTATAGCCAGTTTGATTTCCAAAGAGTCTTGCTCCAATGTAAACCAAACAGGAGTGATTTATTCATGGTGATAGTTATTATCATACAGAAATGTTAAGCAGTGACAGCAATGGATCACTTGCCATCGGCTTTGGTGACCAGTAAACCCCTTATAACAAAATGTAATTTATTTTTTATGCCTGTACAACTGCTGCCTGGGAACCAACTTAGTCAAACCATTTTACCAAACACTTAACACAAGGACCGTGCAGCTGTTACAAATGCTCTAATGATATTACTGATTAAGTTTGGAATCTGATTAAAGTAAATACAGGATTGCAAACCATAGCCAGCCGTAAATGTTTGGATAATTCTTGTAGGCTATGAAGAAATTGATCATTATGCTACACTAGTGCAAGATTCCTCCAAGTCAGCTTTAACAGATTTTATTTGCATTGTGTTCAGCTAAAGGAACAGTTTTTAATCATCCAATGTTCATTTTGCACAATTCTTGCATAAATTGTGGAAATGTGGCACAGGGTACCCATTCCAGTCCACCAATTCAATTTCATTCCAAGATGACTGGCTTTCTTTTGTGAAATATTTTGATAAGTAAGCCCGCTTCATCTTCCCAACATACAACAAAATTAAATGAGTTAAGTGTTTTAGTAGAAGAGGGAATTTCTCTTGGTACAACTTTTAAAATACCATGTTGAGGATGTTAATGAAACAGTGTCTTCATTGAAATAAAAAGCACTCAGAAAGTTTTTGAGAGTTCTTTTGTTAGGAGGTTAGAGTTGTTTTCACCTATGTAAGCAGCAACTCTTACCCATGGGAGTTAAAAGTTAAAATAGAAGAATGCTTTAACTCTAAAAAATTGTCATCTCCACCTTAAAAAAAAAAACTTGATTAAAATTCTCTACTTTACCATGTTTTGAGATTTGAGTTCCTAATTGGCAGCTTTGAATAAAGCAAGCTGGAAATTTCTCTTGATGGTCTTTTATCCTTATACAGTCATTAAAACTTCTTTTTTATTCCTTTGTATATTTCCAGACAGTCAAAGTTTCACAAGTAAACCAAACAGTCCTGAGTATCAGTTGAAGGGTCAGTCTGCATCCTTGACGTGGAATTTCAACAGCAATGGGAAAACAGTCAGTCAAATACTGTGGTTTCACAATAATACTTGGGTTGCTGCTAAACATCCAGGTGGACCAGCCACTGTTCTCAATTCACAGTATCGGGTATTAGGGGATGCAACACTTAGAATATCCAACGTTCAGGCAAAGGACAATGGTGATTTTGATTGTCAAGTGTTTTTCACCAATAGTTTCCCTCCTGTGATTAAAGATACTGCTACACTAGTTGTTGTCGGTAAGTTCCTCAACTAAGGTAACTTGCTATTAATATTAGTGGCATAAACATTTCCTAGTTTTAACATTTTTAAACTAAAGCTGGTGACACACTTGGCGATTTTTTCCACAGATTATGCGTAGCCAATTTGATCATAAGCAAAGATGAGTGATATCTGACATGCCAGACATCAGCAATCCTACTGTACATGCCCATCATAGCAATCCACAGAAATTGCCATTGTTGCATCAAGCATGCCTGGTGATTTTCACTGATAACCACAATCAGAATATAAAAATTTTCAAGTGTATCAAGGCTTAAGGACAGATTTTAACCCCAGTACTAAAACTCTTCTATCTGGTAATTCAAAAATATTTTAGGATACTGTAATAATCCCTTGATTATCTTACCTTTGTATTAATAAAAATTCATTGTTTTACACAGTGAGCCCTATAATTACACTCAAAACTACAACAGCTCCAACTTTGGATGAAGGTGCCACAAGAACATTGTTGTGTGTTGCCAGTGGTAACCCCGAACCCACTTACATGTGGTATAAAGATAACATAAAGATTCAGGAAGATCGAAACAACTCCCACTACACAATAACATCAGCCAGCAGGAATGATGCAGGGACATACAGATGTGAAGCTGTTGTTAATGTTCCAACTCTTGGCCAGTACAGTGACTCTTACACTGTTCAGGTTACAGTTAGATGTAAGTCAACTCACAATACCTACTTCTATTCTTTTCCCTGGATAGCTCATCTTATGCACTTTGTTTACTATTATAATACAATGTTAAATAGATGGGTAATGAGATTGAGGAAATTACCAGCTTATAAGGTATCATGGACAAATTCATAGAAATAACCAACAAAGAAAGGTATGATAAACTGCTTAGAAAAAATATTACTTTGGAAAACTCAGTTACAATGCATGAACACATGCATCCAATCACAGCTGAGCACAACAGGTAACACATAATCAAACTCCTAAAGAAGACAAGCAGTATGCAGTTGAAACGTTGTGATCCACAACTGCAGTGACAACATCATGAGTCAAACAATCATACTTCTCTTTTAAAATTGTACATACATGTCCACGATTGAATGCAGTAAATGTTGTATGATGTTCATGTATAGTCAATATACACTACATTAAAGGGGATCATCGACATATTCTCAGAAATGGCCAACAAAAACATATACAAACAGTTACTTGTTGAAGAAGTTCTGAAATTTCAGACCTCTGTTTCTTGTGAGTTCAGGATTGAATGCAAGTTCATCTAAATTTTTTTTGGTTTGTTGTGTAATTTCATAACCAACAGCATTTTCACAATACTTCAGTTAGAAGTTAAAATGATGTGGTTCTTTAATTGAATTTTTTCTATGAGGATATTTTGTGATACCTGTTATAAATAGAATAAATGTCATTGACAATCAGTCCTGAACATTATCTCCCAGGACGTGTTGAAACATTTTCTACATGTTCATGAGATCATTTTGTCAATTGTTCATGTAAAGGTAATTTTGAGAAGGATCCAAAATTGTTGTGACTATTCCTGTTTATTAACCCTTTAACTCCCTGATCAAATTTTTAATTCTCCTTACTGTCAACCATACAATTCTTGTAAGGTTATTTAAGAGAATTTAGCATTAGATCAACTAATTATCTCCAAGTTGTTATTTTTCTTTATTCTCATGATTTATCTGGTTGATAATTGTATTCATTTGATACTCTAAGGAGAAATTCTGTCTAGGTCACTCATGGGAGTTAAAGGGTTAAATAACTGAGATATTACAAGATATTAAGATATTATTACAAGGTACAAGATATTATTGCCCTGGTTGACTGAAAAATACTATTGATTACTGCACCCTTAAACCCTTAAATAGAAAATCTAAACATTTTGATTTCATTTTGTAAAAGCAGTTTACCTGGCTTTCTATTGATTAACCAGGTGTAATAACCCTCTTGGGATGTTGGAAAAACACAAGTAAAGTTCTTAAAATTCTTGCCTTTAGCTCTTGGTTGATAAACAATTCTCTTGAATTTGTTACATTCTGCATGGGTTATAGGCTGGTAAACCAATAGAAAGTCCAGTCTACAACAGAAGTATACATTTGGGACTGTTAATTGTTGGTATGGTACGTAAAGTGTACTGTAGCTTTATGACTGTTTTCCTTACAACCATTGTGGGTTATAGGGCCAACAAACCAATAAACCTCATTACTTTAGTTTACATGTAGGACAGTAAACTGTTAATATGGTGCATACAGTGTACTGTAGCTTTGTGACTTAATCCTTATGTAAGCCAATGATAAAGATTTCCTTTCATGTTTTCACATTTTTACCTAACAGTTCGTCCTGTGCACAAGAAAAACAGTTTGAGCAGTAATCAAACTGTCTTGGAAGGTCGTACTGCCACATTTTATTGTCTCACGGAAGCATTTCCCACTGCAACCACAAACATATGGTTTAAGGATGGTAATGAGATATCCAATTCACAAGATTTTGAAACTTTGAAAATTAGCGATACAGAAAGCAGACTGACAATCAAGAATGCTACGAAGGGAAGTGCTGGGCAATACTCGTGTGATGGTACAAATGCAGTAGGAACTGGAGATAGAAAATCTGCTTTCTTATTGGTCAACTGTAAGTTATGTTATTTGTTATGGACTGGACAATGTTGTAGATTTGTTAAATATGTTTGCTGATTTTGCTGTCCTGTGCAAGTCATGATATTGGTTTAATTAAAATGTGACCCTTAATGGGAAAACGGACACTAACGCTTTTCCATTAGAAGGTCTTGAAAAACGGTTGTAAACGGATAGTAAACGGCTAACTCGAGCGTTTAAACGGATGCCATAACCGTTTAAACGGATGGCAAAAAATTTGAACGGTTGATCAAAGTCCAAAAACAGATGGCTTAGGCCTTCAACCCTTGCAAACTGAATTCCCAGTTTTCTGGGAATTCCTAGGAATTCTCAAAAATTCCTAACTGTGCAAATTAACTCTGATTTAAAAAGCTTGGAATTACTGGGAATTTCTAGGAAAGGAAGACTCCAGTTTTGTGAGGACTTGGAATCCCTAGGAATTCCTAGGAATTCTCAGCTTTACAAACTACCTATAATTTAAGAAGTGTGGAACTCTTGGGAATTTCTGGGAATTGAATTTGAGGCAATTTTAATACCCTGAGGTCCACATAAATTCTAAGAAATTCTCAATACCTTGAATGTGAAGGTTTTAAGTGAAGGAGTAATTTCAGAGGCTTAAAACTTTGGCTCAATGAAAGGTATGCTATACAAAACTTACCAAGAGATATACATACATGTATATGTTAATAACTTAAAGATCATGAAATTTATTATTCAAACTAAGTTTTAGTAAATCTTTACATTAATATGGATTTTCTCATGAACCAGCTGTCAGTTATGTTAAATGGAAATTGCCAATTAATCCAATGTACTCATATCACAGATTTGCTTTCTAACCTCAAAGAACTCTTTGATTCTATGATCAAAAAATATTTTTATTGTGATGCAAATTAATGTCTCATGTTCACTGATGTGCCAAAATCATCAAACATTCATTGACTGTTCCTTGGTACACAACTTCCACAATAATTAACAATGATTACATTGTTATCTACACTTAAAGAACTTTGTTAGTTATGAACATAAGTTACTTCCCTAACCTACATTACTGGTTGCCTTTGTTAGAAAACCTTGGAACAGTCAAGCTCAGTTGCCTCAAACACTGTCAGAGACTTTTTGTTGACAATATTTTTAGTAGAAATTTCATGCCTTAGACAAACAAATTCAACACCTAATTAATCTTTCTTTTTTCATGATTGTTGTTGCTGTTTTTTTTTTCAGTTTTTTGCTCTGTTTTCATGACTAATTTCTTTAATTTGTTTTGCTGTTTTTATTCTTACAAAACATTTTTGTAAGAATTCCAATACTTGTGGATCATCCACACACTTTGCAAACATTTGGCATGCAGACAAGACAGAGGTAGTCAATGTTCCCTTTGAGAAAAAACACCTTTTAAATGACATCTTCAATTTACTTTATTTGAAACTCTGATCTGAAAATATTTGTCAACAAGATTTGTTATTAGTGAGAAGTACCAACCAAGTTTCCTTTCATAACTTAATTTCTTAAATGTCCCAATCACTGGATCTCCCAAAAAATATTACGTCTTTTTATTTTTGGTGCAAAATACAAGTCCTTCTCTATATAAAAATGAAAATTGCAAGTCACAATTCAATAATAACAGCTCTAAAGTTTACTTGTTGTTCTTCTCTGTCTGTCAGCTATCAACAAAATTGTTTTATACTTCGGAAAGTGCATAACTATTTGTGGACCAGAGTTCCAACGCACCTCTGTAATCGCATATAGTTACTTCTGTCTCTTGTACAAATGTTTCTCCTTTGTAAGACGCACTCTACTCTGTTGTCACTACTGCTTTAAGTTCAGTGGAAATGACTGACTGAGGAATCGAGATGGCGGTGTTGGAACATGTTGCTGAACGCTTGCTACGGTCAAGCTTTGTAGATTTAGGTACTGGTACACTGGGATCATCTATGTATATCTTATACTTCCGAATGTGGTATCCTTCTTTTATAAATATGAGGGTAAAAGACGATTTGTAGTCGCATTCAAAACTGTGATTGGCTTGTGTTATTTCTCACCTTTGCCATGAACACAACTCAAGTGAGTTTCGAGTCTTTGTTTCCTCGACAACTTTCGGCCACAAGTCGTGCATTTGTAATACGATCGATTCTTGTCGATTATTTCTACATAGAGTGAGCTCACATCATTATTTATATCATCAAGGTTTCCAACCTCTAGAAGCAGAGAACCGGTCGGAGAAGTCAGAATACAGTCGTGCGCTTCTCATAACACTGCAATCGGCAAGCCAGCGGATTCACTTTGCTACAAGTCCTAAAAGATCCACGTGATCATGCCCGTGATCGGAAACAAAGAAGACTCCATTTGGCGCTCATCTTTGAATGTACTTTTCATCGGTTGATCGTTTTTCTCAACTGTTTTGCTTAATATAACATTTCTAAAGATAGGTTTTATTGTGGTTCAATGGGAAAACGAGAACAGCGTGAGTGTTTCAAAAGAAAAGAAAGTCGTTGGCGCCGTGGAGTTAAAAGGAGGAACAACAGTTGACATATTGACCGGTACAAACAAGGGTCGAGTGGCCATCTGTAAAGCTACGATTTTGAAAGTTTGTGGTGAGTAAAAATTGCGATATTCGTTACGTGATTAAAATCTCATAAAAGAATAGATGTCGCGGGTTGAATTAAGCTTACATAACGCTCGGCGCAACTGAAACTAGAATAATTCTGAGAATCGAATCGGTCACTTGCATGCCGAAGTTTCTTAAGCTTATGCTTTACAATGAAATAAACCTAACAGTAAGGTTTCAAGATTCCTCTAGTCACGTTTGGGAACATTCAAGATTCATAATAGGAACTGTTATTAAACAAACCTTATTACATAAAGAAGCCCTCCTTGGTAAAAACAAAATAACGTATTCAGCCCTTTTTTAGTAAAATCTATGAGAAAGATGTACTAACTCCAACATAAAAGTCACTCAATATAACAGAGATTTCTCAATTTGAGAATCCAATGAATGCCCTTTTCCTCATACCCATCTGAAAGGCCTGGTCTGAGGTTTAAATATATATATTTAAATATATTATTTTTTTTCAAATTCAGATGTCATGGAACCCAGATACAAAATGGTCAAGCTTCTTGTAGACAACCTCATTCAAGGCCAACTCATTGTGAGCCCAGGAAAAAAATACAAACAGCAGCTAAGTTTGCAGTTTAGGATAACTTCATTCTAATCTATTGTTACAGTTACAACAAGATTTTAATCAAAAAAATCAATTTTATTTGTCTTTAATTAACCCCTTCACTCTTAAGAGTGCTTGGTTTTCAAATATAATTTAAGATATTGTATTTTATGGAAAAGAATCAACAGATTTTATTCACAATTTGTGTCAAACCAAATTTAATGATTGATTAGGACTATTTTATACGAATAGCTGTAATTGAGGATTAATCCGTATGAATTTTTCAAGAAAAGAAAAATCAAATTCCATCCTAACATTACCACACATTGATGTTAATAATGAATCAAAAATATTTTACATGTAAGCTTTAATTAAGCTTCTAAATAAATTTCATTGAATACTTGAATTTTAGCTGGGTTTTTTTAATTTTAAGTATTTATTTTATATCATTAGCCTCAAATTTGCTTAAAATTCCCAGTAATTCTTAAACATTCCTAAAAATTCCCAAAAATTCCCAGAAATTCCTAGGAATTTTTTAGATTTACAGCTTTTCAGGGAAAGTCATTGGTTCTCTGAGTTGGAATTCCTAAGAATTCCAAGTCCTGTTGGCTATAAACTTGGAATTTCTGGAAATTTCTAGGAATTTCTAGGTTTTTAGAACCAGAGTTGTTATGTTTGGGAATTCCTAGGAATTCCTAGGAATTCCCAGTCCGAATTTACCGTGAAAATTCACACCTTTATTCCTAGGAATTCCTAGGAATTCCAAAAGTCATTTCGCAAGGGAAACGGTTGACCAAAAATAAAAACGGTCAGCCCGAAACGTTAAACAGTTGACCAAAGTCCAAAAACGGATAGCTTAAACCGAGAAACGGTTGACCAAAATCGACAAACGATGAGCTAAAAATTAATGTTTAACGGCTGTGATTGAGCCGACGAGATCTTCTGCGGAAAAACTTTCAGAGTGACAACGGAAAATTATCCTTTAAAGCGAAAACAATGAGCATGATAATTTGAAAAAAAAAATCACTAGCATATACTTGCGCATTTTATTTCTGGGTTAATTACTGCCGCTTTCGTGTGACATTCATGAAATAAGCGCAATTTACTGAGAATAGTTTCGCTGCCGAATATCCTGAACGGCTACCGCGAGAAACTCAATCTTCTCCTTTGTTTATTCTTATTATTATTGAAAATGAACTTCATTTTTTCCCGTTCGGAAGTTTCGCAAAACAAATTTGCATATGCAATGCCGCCACCTTGTCTGAAGCCGAAACGTTTCAAGGTCAAATAACGCAATGAATTTCCATTGCAAATAAAAGGTCGAATTGGTGTCACGCACCAAGCGGGGCCGTTAAAATGATTGTCAATAAAACCAAGAGAGATGAATCAAGATGATATAACCAGAAAGAGAGAAGCCGATTTAGCAGTCCATCAATGAGGAACAATTTAAAACTATGTGACGGGAACCAAGAGAGGGTTATCTCGATTCCACTAAACCTGTAATCAAGATCAGTCGCACTGTTCTGATCGAACAAAGTCGATGGCAGGGTCATGGTCAAATGAATGGCTTCATTGCAATTGGCTCTCGATGCTCTTGGTTTTTACAAACGGATATTTCAACTTAATTTGTTTGTCAAAGGATGCGACGGAAACTCGCTTACTATGATCACGCAAAAGATAAAACCGAAAATATGATACGGTCTTTCTGTATTTCAAGAACCGGCGAGTATCGAGCGAACGTAAGATTTATACTTCGAACTGCCCGTAAAAGAATGATAGGCAAACAGTCCAAAGCTTTCCGTGAAACTTTAAACGGATGGCTTTTTTTTTTTTAAACGGATAAGCAAACCGTTTAAATGTTTTTGCTTAAACGGATGAGCAAACCGCTTAAACGTTTTGGCAAAAGCGTTAAACGGATAGAAACTTTTTTAAACGGATGCAATTTTTTTTAAACGGATAAGTAAACCGCTTAAACGTTTTAGCTAAAGCGTTAAACGGATGCAAATTTTTTTAAACGGATAAGCAAACCGTTTAAGCGCTTTCACGAACCGTTTAAACGGATATAAACGGATAGTAAACGGTTTTGCAGTTTAAACGGAAAAGCGTTAGTGTCCGTTTTCCCATGGAGGGTCACATTTAGCAACATAATTTTCGTATACGTGCATGATCTTAATTATCTTGATGTTTATCAGGGTGTTTATTAAGTTAATAAGAATTACACGCACTGTACATTGTATTTTGGGAGTGAAATGGTGCTTGTGTTAAAGTGTACAAGCTGGTCATTAATTACTTTTGAAATTCTTCCACATTTTCACTTTTCTTTTACAGTACCTTCTTCAATTACCCAAATAACACAAGATCAGAATGTAACCGAAGGTGACAATTTAACTTTGACATGTAATGCATCTGGAAGGCCTCAACCAAAGGTGTCTTGGATTAAGCCCGGTGGTCAGCGTCAGTATGGACACATGTTGGAGTTTACAAACATTAACAGGAGTCAAGCGGGTGAATACAAATGTGAAGCCAGTAACGAGTGCAGTAATGCAACAGAGACAGCAACTATTGATGTGCAGTGTAAGTACATGTGAAAGTCATCCATGGTTACATCTTGTTTCTTGTTTCTCTCTGTCACAGTATACCAATTTCCTTCTCCATCACTTTATTGATGGAGAGACTTGTTATTCGTAGCTTCAGCATCAGCCAAGGAAAGAGGACGACTCCTTGGCCAATTCATTATACGTAACTTGCAAAGGCCAATGAAATTATAATATAAATTGTCTCTTTTGTCCTTAGACAAAGCAGAGAATGTCCAGTTAATGAGTTCTGCCATGAATGACAAAGCATGTACGGGAAAAGTCATCAGTTTTACTTGCTCAGCTGATGCTAATCCAAGAGTGACGTCATACCAGTTGTTTGAGAACGGAAAGGCCATTTTAAACACAAGTGCCTCGGGGACGTGGAGTAAGACTTTGGAAAGTGAAGGAGTGTTCATCTACAAATGTGTGGCCAACAACTCTCTAGGATCAGAATACAGCATGAATGTTCCTTTCACTGTAAATGGTAAGCAAATTAGTCGCTAACACTCTTTAGGAGTCTACCATTAAGCAACATAATTTTTGTATACGTGCGTGATCTTAATTATCTTGATGTTTGTCAGGGGTTATTAAGTTGACAAGAATTACACGCACTGTACATTGTATTTTTGAAGTGAAATGGTGCTTGTGTTAAAGTGTACAAGCTGGTCATTAATTACTTTTAAAATCCTTCCACATTTTCACTTTTCTTTTACAGTACCTTCTTCAATTACCCAAATAACACAAGATCAGAAAGTAACCGAAGGTGACAATTTAACTTTGACATGTAATGCATCTGGAATGCCTCAACCAAACGTGTCTTGGATTAAGCCTGGTGGTCAGCGTCAGTATGGACACATGTTGGAGTTTACAAACATTAACAGGAGTCAAGCTGGTGAATACAAATGTGAAGCCAGTAACAAGTGTAATAATGCAACAGAGACGGCAACTATTGATGTGCAGTGTAAGTACATGTGAAAGTCATCCATGGTTACATCTTGTTTCTTGTTTCTCTATGTCGCAGTATACCAATTTGCTTCTCCATCACTTTATTGATGGAGAGACTTGTTTATTCGTAGCTTCAGTATCAGCCAAGGAAAGAGGATGACTCCTTGTCTACTTTATTATACGTAACTTGCAAAGGCCAATGAAATTATAATATAAATTGTCTCTTTTGTCCTTAGACAAACCAGAGAATGTCCAGTTAATGAATTCTGCCATGAATGACAAAGCATGTATGGGAAAAGTCATCAGTTTTACTTGCTCAGCTGATGCTAAACCAAGAGTGACGTCATACCAGTTGTTTGAGAACGGAAAGGCCATTTAAACACAAGTGCCTCGGGGACATGGAGTAAGACTTTGGAAAGTGAAGGAGTGTTCTTCTACAAATGTGTGGCTAACAACTCTCTAGGATCAGATTACAGCATGGATGTTCCTTTCATTGTAAATGGTAAGCAAATTAGTCGCTAACGCTTTTTAGGAGTCTACCATTAAGCAACATAATTTTTGTATATGTGTGTGATCTTAATTATCTTGATGTTTGTCAGGGGTTATTAAGTTGACAAGAATTACATGCGCTGAACATTGTATTTTGGGAGTGAAATGGTGCTTGTGTTAAAGTGTACAAGCTGGTCATTAATTACTTTTAAAATCCTTCCACATTTTCACTTATCTTTTACAGTACCTTCTTCAATTACCCAAATAACACAAGATCAGAATGTAACCGAAGGTGACAATGTAACTTTGACATGTAATGCATCTGGAATGCCTCGACCAAATGTGTCTTGGATTAAGCTTGGTGGTCAGCGTCAGTATGGACACATGTTGGAGTTTACAAACATTAACAGGAGTCAAGCTGGTGAATACAAATGTGAAGCCAGTAACGAGTGTGGTAATGGCACAGAGATGGCAACTATAGATGTGCAGTGTAAGTACATGTGAAAGTTATTTATTGTTACATCTTGTTTCTTTTTTGCTCTCTGTCACAGTATACCAATTTGCTTCTCCATCACTTTATTGATGGCGAGACTTGTTTATTCGTAGCTTCAGCATCAGCCAAGGAAAGAGGATGACTCCTTGGCCAATTCATTATACGTAACTTGCAAAGGCCAATGAAATTATGATATAAATTGTCTCTTTTGTCCTTAGACAAACCAGAGAATGTCCAGTTAATGAGTTCTGCCATGAATGACAAAGTTTGTACGGGAAAAGTCATCAGTTTTACTTGCTCAGCTGATGCTAATCCAAGAGTGACGTCATACCAGTTGTTTGAGAACCAAAAGGCCATTTTAAACACAAGTGCCTCGGGGACGTGGAGTAAGACTTTGGAAAGTGAAGGAGTGTTCATCTACAAATGTGTGGCTAACAACTCTCTAGGATCAGAATACAGCATGGATCTTTCTGTCACTGTAAATGGTAAGCAAATTAGTCGCTAACGCTTTTTAGGAGTCTTCCATTAAGCAACATAATTTTTGTATACGTGCGTGATCTTAATTATCTTGTTGTTTGTCAGGGGTTATTAAGTTGACGAGAATTACACGCACTGTACATTGTATTTTGGGAGTGAAATGGTGCTTGTGTTAAAGTGTACAAGCTGGTCATTAATTACTTTTAAAATCCTTCCACATTTTCACTTATCTTTTACAGTACCTTCTTCAATTACCCAAATAACACAAGATCAGAATGTAACCGAAGGTGACAATTTAACTTTGACATGTAATGCATCTGGAATGCCTCAACCAAATGTGTCTTGGATTAAGCCTGGTGGTCAGCGTCACAATGGACACATGTTGGAGTTTACAAACATTAACAGGAGTCAAGCTGGTGAATACAAATGTAAAGCCAGTAATGAGTGTGGCAATGGAACAGAGACTGCAACCATTCATGTGCTGTGTGAGTTTGGATGGTTTATTGCTTTTACTGTCGTTACTTTGAACTTGAGATCTTAATTGGCGTACTTTAACAGTACCGCTTCGGAAATCTGACAGCATTTTATCTGAATTTGTATCAGAAATAAAACCCTTTAATATCTTATGACTTTTTGATGATTTGTTCCTTTTAAAGATACACCAAGAATAACAAACATTTCTGATGAGCAGATCGTGAATAATGGTGACGTGGTGAGTTTGTTTTGTATAACGGAAGGTAATCCAGCACCAAAGATAACTTGGACAAAAGTTGCTGATAACAGTCAAGTGAACTTTCCTTTGACCATCCGTGATAGTCAGGATGAAGGAATGTACAGATGTACTGCTGAGAATGGTGTTGGAAGCCCTGTAACTAAGTTTGTCAACATGACAGTACATTGTAAGTGGTGTAGTTTATGGCAGTTATGATTGTCTTTTGTTTAATCTCAAGCTTTTACATAATGTTGGCCTTCAATAGGTATTGGTTCAGACTGATACCTTAGTTTTGACATAAAGAAATTTTCAATTGAGTGTCGATTTTGGTTTTACGTAACTCAGCTCACTGATTGGTCCAGCAAACTCGCGCCATTCTCTCAACCAATCAGATGCAAAGCTAAAATCAACCGCAACTTTGTCTTTGTTTTCCCGCGCCTCAAGAAGTCTGCTTGTTTTCAATTCGTGTTCTCATTGGCTAATGATAATGTTAACCGTATTGGTCGCTGTGATTATATTTGTTTTGGTTTTTCAACTCACGATTAAAAACTGCTCCTGAGTAACAAAATCACCAAATCCTTTTTTGCTTCTTTTGAGACTCATTTAGCTTCCTTATGTTATAATTTAACAAACTTTTGCTGTTAAATTATAATTATACATGCATGTCTTTTGGTAGTGTTCTGGGCCCAGTTGTATAAAGGTCAGATAACGAAATTCAACGGATAAATCGCTATCCAGCGGATAAGTGATAGCAAAACGTGTCACACTATCCACCGGACAGAGATTTATCCAGTGGATAGCGTTGTCTAACCTTCGAAAAACCAGTGCCCGGTAAGTGTCACAGATACATGCATGTGTTGGTACGTTTGTGTTGTGAAATTGCGGACAACAGTCAAGTCACCACTTATCCAGAGTACAATTAAAAATCCAAAGGAAATTCAACGGGTAAACTCTAACTTGTACAGTGCAGGTACAGTTATGAACTAATTCAAAGAGGGTTTAGGTATATGATTCTATGCTAAACTCCCTTCTTAACCAGAGGACTACTAACTTTGAATCTTTGTAATGTGCCTTATAGTTCCAGCTGCAATTGTGGCCATGGGTAATCACACTGTCGTTAAGAATGGAACTATTGAACTTTATTGTTATGTGTCTGGAACGCCACCTGCTACTGTGTTATGGACTCATGTAAAATCAGGCAAAACATGGAACCAGAAAAAATGGACAGTTAGCGATATCCAAGTGGAGGAACTTGGAGAATATAGGTGTAATGCCAGCAACAAATATGGAGGAGATATCAAAAGTACATTTATCCTATATGAAGGTGGGTGAGTCAAGTTGATATGGGAAATGCTTCGCTTACAGAATGTAAAGAAGTTGTTTGCTGGTATTGCTGGGTTACTAGTAAATACATATTTGCTATGAAATTACTTGGAACCTGTTTGGCCCAAATCAGGCATGGGGATTACTGGTTTCTGAGTCCAACATATTTTCGATATGGTCACAGCTCTAATAACTCAAAATTATTTGATCCATAATGTAGACATTCCGGAGAAATATGAAGGTTCTTCCAAAACTCTGTCAAAATTTTAAAATTAAATTACAACTCTAAACTGCTTCTTAAACTTAAAATAGTTTATTTATGTCAATTTAGAGTTTTGTTTTGTTTTGATTTTTTCTTCTTGAATAAATTTAGCATCTGTACTTGCCCTATGATATTTGTTGTCTCCAAAGAGCTTCAGCATATTGAGAACATGGAAATGTAATTTTTCGTGATTTTTAACTCTCATTCTTTACAGGTGGTTTTTGTGAGAAACGATGTACTGATGGGAAATTGTGTCTTAAGTTTGGAGTCACATACTTTTGTATCTGTCCTGAAGGGAAAAGAGGAGAAAAGTGTGAGAAAACAGGTTGGAACAACTTTTAAATTTGTTGCAGAGAAAAAGGCACTCCCGTTGCGTTTGATTCATTTTGCCATCTTTCCAACCTTAAATCAAGTGCTTGTACAGTTTAACTATACTCTTCTTCTACCGATATCTTCGTTTTACACGCGGTTGTGCCTATGTATTTAATGATACCTCGCATGAAGATCATCGTTTTAGAAACTTGTGTATACCTGATATATATGCTACATTTACATAGACAGATAGACTGATTATTCAGACTTGATGCTGATCTCTAATGAATCAGTCTTTAACACTCCAAAGCACAGACTTAAACTTAGCCCAACACATACTTTGAAAATTGATGTTGGTCCCTATTGAATCAGCCTTTAACCTTCCAGAGGATACACTTACATTTAGCCATACGCATATTCATTTAAATTTTGTACATTTGTTTTTTTTTTTTTGCGACTACATGCCCAGTGGAAACCCAATTGCCTCTCTTCTTGCATTTAGCTAGATAGTGGTGTTTCGGCAACGTGGATAAGTTCGTTCGATTTGTCTGCTGTGCAAAGCTTTGAGATAAACTGAAGGTCTTCGATGTTTTATCCCCTTTTGAGGTGTTATTTTTTATTTTGCTTTTTGTAATGTTCATGTTTCTCTTGCTCCTAACAGATACACCTAAGAAATACTTTGTTGTGGGACTTAAACTCAAGGGAGAGTTCAAACAAGCATATGAAGACTTGGAAAATCCAGAGACACAAACGCTTGTCAAAAAGATTGAAAAAAATGTGAGTGCTTTGGTAAAAATAATTATGATTAACTTGAAGATAGTATTGTAATATTTTAAGGAAAGAAAAAAATTATTTTGGAATACAGCCCATTACATGTCATGATTTAAAATAATTTAGTAAGGTGTACGTATGCACCAGGCTACTGCAAGGCCCTATCCGATTTCTACACGGACACCTTCTCACTCAGAATTAGGGGAAGTGTGGTGCTTTTCAATTACAAATTAATGATTCTTTTATTGGGATCAAAAATTTATTTCGTACGAAGGGCTTCGCTCTTAATGTCTTTTTAAAACAGCAGATCGGGGCATAAATTTCTCCTTGTCAGTACATAGAAAGTAGAGAACATAGAAATGGAACTCTTTTTTGTTTTTTTGTCTTTTTCAGATGATGGAAGAATTCAATGGCACTGGTCTCCTTAGCGTTAAGGTGCTCAAACTGAGGTAATACGTTTTCAAACTTTGTGTACTTTAAATCAGAAACGTTATGGTTAATTTTGCTCATTGTGCAGTGTTTGCAGTTCTGATGCATATGAAGCTCTGAGGGCACAAACAAATCATTATTTTAACGTCAATAGATTACAAACTAAGCGAACTGTAATCTCTTGCCTAACGTACATGTCGTACAGGGGAGTGCGTGTGATGCTGGAGGATTTTATCGCTGGTATTATTTATAGATCACTTAGCACGTCCTTCTCAAAGCTGCACTATAATTTGCGAGTAATATTTCGCAACTCAATGTATAGAACAGGGTTTGTTAAGAAATACAGCGAGTCATCTGTGTACTTTAGACACCCAAGACAATGAGCTGTTCTGGAGAACAAACCTTAAATAATCTCCAGTTTGTGAACCAGATCCTCCTAGTGATTTTTATGGTTTTAAGATTAAATTAAATTTCATATTCACGAGGAATTTTTTAAAAGACAAGGTGATGACATGACTCATGCCATCATCAGTTTATTGTGTTGCCTCTTTTGACTTTTATTTAGACGTTACTTAAACAGTATGCTATCAGTTTAAATCGGTAGTTCAATTGGTACCGTTACAATAGTTTACACTCGTCTGCGCAAATGTAACACTTGGAAAGTTAACCTTTTTTTCCCTTTTCTTTTTTTTTTTGGGAAGTGAATTGAAGTTATCATGCATCTGAGTATTCAGCTCAGGTTTCAAGCGGCTCATGTGCAATGCCTCCTGTAATTTGATGCAATTAGTTTTGTCTGAGTCTAGAATCTTAAAGCTCTCAGCTGAACATTTTGACTTAGAGCTAGGAAGAGCACACGACTGCTTTACGATTAAAATGAAATATCGAAATTTGGGTATTGAAAGGATGGGAGGCAAGATTGGAAGGAGTAGAGCTAGAATATCTATCGAGGAAGTGCAGGTTTAAATTGCAGCGCCTAAAGCCCCTCGACATATCACTATTTATTTGTCTTTTCATCTAAAAGTGTTTGATTTCTTGCTTACCTCTCAGGCAAGGAAGTATCATTGCTGACTTGGAACTAAAATTTAACAATTCTGTCGGAGAAAGTAACGTAAATGCATTGCTGACACAGGCAGCGAATAAGGGAAAAATTGGCGATATGGAAGTTGAAGAGTTTAGCGTTGGAAATAATTTCCCAGGTTAGTTCTCTTGTCTTCGTCAATTGTTGCTGTTTTGCAGATCACGGCATTTTGCTTAGTTAATCTCCATTATCCGACAAGCCAGATTTTGGGAGACACAGTTGATGACTTTGTACTTTGAAAGCTAACTTTTTGAGGTGTTTTGAACTAAGTCAGAGTTTAACATTTCCTTGCGCTGGCTTAACCGCATTTGTAATTACTAGGTCCGGGATTTCTTTTCCCTTGGCACCCGTAATGATGAGTGAAAATGTGCCAGGGTGGCTTAGAATTTAAAACTGAATAAAATGAGGCTTTTTTTTATGTTTCAGGGCCAACTACAACTTCACAACCACCCGAGGACTGTGGAACCTTCTTTGAGGGAGAAGATTGTAAAAAAGGTAGGGATTAAATTTTTTTATCTAAAAATTAACCTATTGTGTGAAAATATAACGTTAGTGATAGTGTTTTGTAGATTTTAGTGAAAGGGGAGATGGCCATGATCTTGGCGCGAAATCACGAAAGACAAGATTGGCATGTAAATTGTCAACCACTATTTTAATGATATAGCGTACTGATTGACCAATCAGAGGGCATGTATTTCATTAATCACGTTGGTGATTTCACTCAAAAAGACATTCTCACCGATTGTATGACAAGTTCAAATGATTGCAAGCTTCTAACGTTTTCCAAACTTTTTTGTGTTTTCCAAAATAGTACATTTTTGGATAAATCAATGATTTTTCTCTGCATGTTTTGCTAATCTCTTAAAAAATTAATAGTCAAATTTTGCAGACAAAATTTAAAATGAATTCAAAATTTATGTTTCCCTCTGCAAGATTTAACATGTCCGTAAGAAAGTATGTGTTAATGGTCAACTATGATAAGATGTAAAGGTAATCTATGTAATCAGCAAAGAGTCAGTCACTGGATGTTGCAGAAATTCTGCGTCCACTCATACACTGGATATCGCAGAAATTCTGCAACCACTCACACTGGGTGTAGCAGAAATTCTGCAACCATTCAGACACTGAACGTCGCTGAAATTCTTCAACTATTCATACACTGGGTGTGGCAGAAATTCTGCAACCATTCATACACTGGATGTTGCAGAAATTCTCAAACACTTGTACACTGGGTGTCGCAGAAGTTCTGCAAATATATTATTTAAATCTTGCATGAACTTGGAAAAGATCACAAGGGAAATTAATGCTCAACTATCTAATGAAAGCCTTAGACCCTACACTATCCAGGGGAAAATGCTAAATTGACAGAATCACAGATTTTAATTAATCTCTCTACCAATGTTTACGAATGGGAATTATGCTACATGTGTATCACAATTAAAAGGGCAAAAATAAGCTTCTAGAAAAAGTAATCCTCTTTCTCAGTTAGCTGCAACTGTTTCCAAAATAAGAAAAATCAAACCGTGCAACGTTCCCTTATAAGTCACAAAATTATGAAAGGGAAAATATGCGGCAGACCCACTCTACAAAGCCATTTTGAGGGCGCCTTGTGGTTTTTGCCGTGTTCTTCACCATTTCTCGCAAATAATCGGTGTCGAATCTTTGAAAGATATTCCTTTGCTGGACCCTTTGGAGTATCACCTCCTGAGAGGAAACTTAAGGTATGAACAAAATGTTTATACATGACTCGTGATTATACATGGCTCGTGATTAAGACGAAAGTTAAATATCACGCGTGAATTTTACTGAAAGGTTAAAATTATTCGTGAATTTATGAAACTGTGTAAGGGGAGATTTGATATCCTGAAGTATACTTGAACCCTGAAATTTTTGTTTTTTGGTTTTTTTTTTCCCATCACGTGAAAACCTCAAGATTTCAATAAACCTTGCACACAAGATGAGAAGTTAGAAAATTTCCCTTTTTGTCCGTGAAGCGTGAACTGATTTTTCGAAAATTCGCCTGCAATACCTTACCGGTCTTCTTTCAGCTCAAATTATTTCCAACGAATTCCAGGGGTGCGTTCCAATTTGCTTCAGTAAACTCATGGCAAATGCTATTTTGGAAAACACAAAATATTTTGGAAAACGTTTAATATGATACACACTCTGGTTTCTGTACCCTGCGCTCACTGCGATGACATCGTGATAAAATTAGTGATCAGGTACCCTGGATGGTGTAGTGATGAAAGAGCTTGCCTGTGGCCAGGGTTTGATTCTCGGAAGGTCTTGGTAGTTCCCATTCAGCAAACGGGTTTTATTGTGTTTGCTGTGTTCACATTCATCATCGAGGTATATAAAAAGTGTAATTCGAACAACTACAATTTCGGGAAATTGAAGACAATAGAGCTGTTTTTTTAGCCAGTAGCCTCATTATTAATCCATAAGTTTCAATTTTAATTAAAGTTTCGAGCCCGTTTTGTTAACGCGACTATCGAGAAACCGGAACCAAGTGTCATTTTTTTGTTAAAAGTTTCGTTCTGGCGAGGATACTTCTCCTCGTTCTCCTTCCTCCAATCCCCACGTCAAACTCCAATTTGACCTAGAAACAGGGAATGGGAAGGGCTCCCATGCTCATATCCACTCGGAACGTAATCGAATTTGATCATCAATTTATCAATTTTCTTGTAAGATTTACTGGAGTTTATTACGTCCATTTTGAAATCACTGGTGGTCCTGGTCGGCGCGATTTATTTACGCATCGCACTATTTGCTCTAAATCGCATCTTTTCCTAGTCAATGAGAAAGCTTTTCTAAAACGCAACAACCAATCAGATTTCATGGCTTGGTTAAAGTAATCAATCAAATCGTAACAAAATAAAAAAAGGCAACATTGAATCATTTACAAACCAGTCATTTAAAGTAACCAATAAAATCGCAACAAAATGAAAGGCAACATTAAATCATTTACAAACCAGCTCAGTACCGGATCACTAGAATATTGGTTACATTTTGCGCTTCATAAACGGATGTAATAGAGCTGCAATTGAACTCCGTGTTGTGCAATCTTAGTTTTGATTTCAAATGACGGGTATGATTTCAGACCAAATTGCACTCCATTCATTTAAATTACAATTATAAACTGTGCTTGGCCATATAACTCCATGCTATTTATTCGTGATCTTTTCCAGCGAAGCCTGGTTTGATTGTACTCTGCGTGATTGGAGGTGTGGCAGTTTTGGCAATCATCGTAGCAATAATAGCTTACGGTTTGCACAAGAAAAAATCAAACGTTGCATCCTTTTCAAATGGTAAGCCTATCAGAATTCTTTTCTTTTTTCTAACGGTGATTTTTTTATTTATTTAATTTTTATTTTTATTATCATTTCCTTTTAGTTGTGGCCTTATTGTTGATGATGTTTCTCTCTTTTTTTTTTTTAAGGGGGGGAGGGGGTAGAGGAAAAGTTATACTTTTTTATTCCCTGGAGAAATGATTCGGTACCGGCAATCTGTTTGAGATTTGGAACAAAATACCAGAAATCGGACAAACGTGAGTGTTCCTAAGGGGAAATTAGTTCTAATAATCTAACTGGGATAGAAACAGCTGGTAAAAATGGGTAACAAATTGTTTTCTTTTCTGATTCGTTTGGGTTGTTCCACGATGCCGAAACTGTAATAATGGATGCCACAGAATTTTGAAAAATAATAATTTTAAGAAAAGATGAGGGGAGAGAAAAAAAAGAAACAGATCAATTCTGTTCTGGAAGTAGAAATGACCATTTTTGTTTTTGACTCGTAGTTAACTATGCACCAAGGGCCGATCCAGACGGGTGAGACATTTGTTTTGGAAAATGATTTATAATGTATAGTTGCCACAATGTTAGTTAAATACGCAGTCATGGTAAAAACTGAAATCGTCGTGCTCTTTTGTTATGTAAGCCTGCTAAAGCAAAGCAAGCGCTCTTTTAGGCCGTAAGCAAGATCACAGGCTGCGATATATTTTAGGAGGCGTTTGATCAAAGGTTCCTCTTCATATACGTACATACAAACAAACAAGTCAGCACCCCCCCCTCCCCCCCAAAAAAAAAAAAAAGAAAAAAAAAAACAAGATTGCGCGACGAGTTTCACGTAATAATCGTTTTAACGTGAGATTGAAGACCACCTTGGGTTAATTATCTCTATTTTTGGTCTTGTTTTTCTACCAACTTTCCCGTTCTTGACATTTTGGATTGAACTAAAATGTTAGGGAATTAGGGACTATATTGTTGTGAGAAAGGAATGCTACAATTAAAAGAACAACGTAAACTTACAGGTACATGGCAACTTGTGATAGGGACAACATTCTCCTTCGATATGGCTCCGGCCTTGGCTTTCTGTGAGATTCTTTGTCTATTTCGTAGCTTTTCTTGATATGAATTGTGAAAGTCAAATACGAATGAATCTTCTATATAGTCAATTTCCATGAATCTTCTATCCTAAGTCAGTAACGTACGTGGACTTTTGACGACAACAAATTAATTTCACTAATTTATATATATATATATATATCAACTTGCCTGTTTTTGGTATGATAGCACTGCTGGTTCAGCAGAGAGGACTCTTCAAGGGAACAATTATGGAAATGTGAATTCAGGGTACGAGTATGACAAAACGAATGGCCAGGACCACTCCACTGAAATGGTAACATTCAAGGGGACAAATCCAGCGCAGACTCCTGGGATTGCAATCAATGACTCCAGTATGACAAAGGTAAGGCAAGCTCAAAGTCATGTAGGTTCTACTTTTGTTGCACAATGTACGGCACTAGTTACTTCAATCTCATATTCGTGAAAAAGTCAATCATAGTGGATCCTTTTTCAGTTTATTTTAGTTTTTTTTTTGTGACTGTGTGTGTTCTCCCACCTTGAACAGCAATTATTTTAAGACTCATATTTAAAATGCCGTAACTTTGCGGTGACCTACTTATGCCCACGTCTGGTACACTACTCAGGGATGTCATAAAGCCTCTACTGCACGCTTTTCACTCCGAAACCCGTGTTTCATTCGTATTCAACTAAAATCTTAATTTGCAGTTCATTTTGCAACAAACGCATAAATTGAGCCATGAAATGATAACGCATTAACTTACATCTAGTGCTAGTCTAGTGCCAGAACAAGCCTGGAAAAGTTGTCGTGTCCGGAAAATTTAAGCAATCAATAATCAATGAATGAATAAACGTTGTGCAACCGCATATTACAATCCTCGTGAATGCCTTTTGATGTTAACTAAACTTCACGCTGACTTTGAAAACTTAAAATGGCTACTGATAGTAGCCATCTTTAGATAATAAGATATACACAAGACTAACGCTTCTGTGGTCAGGATCGCCTATTCCCAATCAAGTAAGAAACTTTTTACTGAATTGAACCCAGTCTTCGCATCCAAGCAATAATCAGCTGGATACCAAGGCACAATAATGGCTTATTGGAATTAAGAGGATGACAATCACTGAAGCAGTCCAAAATGTGTGACTCAAAGCCCCTAAGCACACATTTCTGAAGATAAAATGCCAGATTGGAGCTCAGTTCTTTCTATTCCAAAAGCTGGAGGACCTGTTCTTTTCGTAATGCACAACACAGAAAGAAGACGAGATTCAGAGCCAGCACATAGGGAGCAATTCATCTAGTGTTCACAATGCCACTCGACAAGATTCAAGATTTGTTATCCACTCATGATATAACTTCCGTCACTACTTAAAGAAAATTGTTGAACAAGAATGAAGATAACATGTAACAGCTCTAACTTAAGTTTTGAACTATTAGATGAGCAATAGTTTTTAAAAATTCGATTAAAGTTATGAAAATAAATTTTTTTAGTACTAAAGGTCAAAAATCTAAATTCAGAAAAGTGCACTGCCTATTTACTAAAAAATGCTGAATATTACATTTTAAGTACTATTGTCGGATTCAGATTTTATTCAAGGCCTACGTGAAATAAACTGTTGTTTCTTTCAGTTTCATAAGCAACTGTTGTTGGGCGTTGTTATTTCTTCTTACACATTGTATTTTCCTTGCAGTGAGCAAGAAAGACGAAGCCAGTTCCGGCTTGGCGGATAAGCAGTTAAATCTAAATAAACCGATCTTTAGAGTAATATTCGTACACCTTAGAAACAGTTTTTAGAATTTAAAAATGTTCTTAAGTGGTTTAGCACGTTTGCATAATTTTTACTTTTTGCAGAAATGAAATGCACTTTGTAACTTAAGTTAAGTCATCAGTAACGTTATTTCGATGCAATAATATAGATAAATGTTGGATAAGAAGGCACATTGTTTGTTAAAAGTGAGAAGTACTTTCCTTGAGTAGGAATAACTTAAAACTTATGATGAGAAATAAAAGGAAAAGAAAAAAAGGACGTGTTTGTAGAAGTAGCGAGATAGAGTCGGGTCCTAGATGGACAAACTGAACAATTAGACTATAAACCGCAACTAAATCTACCGAAGTAGTATCCATATACGAGGCATCGTCTGAGAAACCTTTCTTGAGCATACTGAGATATTTTCGTAGCCTGTGAGTAAGTATTTTTCTAGGTTTAAAATCTAAGGGCTTCTGTCGTAGTTTCGTTTCGCTCCTTGTGTTCTTTTTTTCCAAGTAAACATCAAATTACATCTTTTCGCCAAATTTTAGCACACGAAAATAATTCAAGATAAGTGTTTGTAGAGTAACCACTCAACTGTGCGGTGTGTGGTGAAGTTTGAGTTTTAACGAGCAAGCTCCTGTATGTTGCATTCCACTTCATTCATAACTTTAGTTCTCGCAAATCGTTTTTTTTTTTATGTCTTAATCTTGATGTTTTATCTAGCGATATGAGTGTTTTAAATCTTGTGGGTCGAATGAAATCTTACATGGTTAATTTTCATTGGCAGTCCAGGCCACTAAAATTGTGGTCGTAAAAATTTTGAGATAAAAGTAGCTTGAACTGATGGTATAATGTTGAAGGAATAATGCCGCAACAAGATAAGCTCTAGTTTTAACGATAGCAATACAGAAATAGCTTATTGCATTTTAATAGGATATTTATAGTATTTATTTAATGAGTGTCCTAGGTATTATTTATTCAACTAGTTGCTAGGTGGTAATCATAATTTAGAAGGGGACACGACGTAATTTCTTTTTCATGTATGTAACAGTTAGATTATCAAAGCTCTCCATTTCTATAATGTGATAGTTAATGAAGGAGAGGCGCAAATCCATTATCGTGCATAGTAATCTGGAGCGAAGAATATAAATGTTTTGGTATCAATGTATTAATGGTTCAAACCTTAATAACATGTTAAGCTTATGTTTTCATTGTAATTTGTTTGCATTCGCGCACCAAAAGGCTTCGAACTGCACTCACTATCTGTATATCATTGAACAGATAGCGAGTATTGTAACCGATCAGATTGCAACATTTGCGACGAAACAGCAATAGATTTATACTAAAATGTTCAAAGTCGTAACCCTTTTTTAGCTGTATAGTATTTGTGCATCGGCACGATAACATTTGTGTTAGTTAAAACATAATCATAATTATGATCATATAATTATATTATTCATTGTTAGCAGTTTTCTCGGTGAATGATTTTTAATCCTAAGAGGAAATTATTAAGAAACTTACTGGTCGACGATTAAACATCTTTACAGCGTGGTGTGTTATCAAAAAATATATCAGAACTATTGTTAATTCGTTAGACATCGAAGTAAGTATATTTAGCTGATTTTGTATCATTAAACTTGAGATTCGTCAATTAATTAAAGCAGTTTAAATGCATCTTTTTATGTTTATTTGTTGAGGGTTTTGGCATAGATGCTGTACCTTTTAAATGTGACCTGTGGGTCTGTAATTGTTGTTAAGCTCAGCACTGGCCATTGACTTCGGTTTTTTTTGGTTATTATTTTGCATGCCTGTGTTCTTCGCAGAGCGTGAGTTAACCCTTGGACCCTAAGAGTGACAACCACGTAATTTCTCTTTGAAATATCACCTTTAACCACACAGTAGAACACGAGAGGAAAGGAAAAGGGAGTGATTGGTTGTTAAAAAATTCTCCTTTTCAGCACCATAGGTAATGTATAGAGCACAGCATAGAGACTATGCATACTGATGTTCGAGTATAAACGGTAACGAGTGAGGGGTTTTGAAAATATGTTCAACTTTTAAGGAGGTGACATTTTGATAAAATTGAGTCTTTCATCAATCTTTTTGTTGCCTGTTTCAGATTTCACAGGCTCCGCATCTTGAGATTGTTTTTTTCCACCCTTCATTTCAAAAATAGTACGCGCAGTTACCAAAAGTAAGAAATTTTTTGAACTGTGGAGAAAGGGCCGTATTAACTATTTAATTCCCGAGTGGCTAGTATCCAATTTCCACTCACGATATCGCCGTTGAATCCCAAGGAGGCTGTGTAGTTAGGGCGCTGGTCTTGTGTCTGGTGGTTTCGGGCTCTAGACTCCTGGCCCTCCATCCTGCCACTCACTGGATTTGTTCTCGGTTGCCCCAAGTTCAACTCCTTGGCTGCACTTTGTACACATGTACAGCCAACTGGCCTGCCTCCTTCCCGTTGGGGTTTTTTTAAATCAGCACGGTTCGTTTGCTTCCAATTTGTCCATATTGGCCCTTAAAAGAAGTCAGTTAAGTAAACTTACACACATACGATCAGGGTCTCGAGAGGAAACAGAATGAGAGCCATTTAAAAAGTTACGATTGTTTTAAAAAAACAAAATCTTTTTGTTAGTCACATAGGGAATGTGTAGGGAACAGTATAGAACATATACAGGTATGCAGGTTGACGTCAGGATGTTTAGGGTAAATGGATTTGACAGATCAAACAATTTCAACAATAGTATTTTCAACCATGTTTGGAGCTTTTTAAAACAGTGCGAATGGTAATCGCGATGAGGCCGCAAAGTGGAAAAGGAGGAGAGGGCAAAGAGTTATAACATGTAATTTGCACTAAAAAAAAATTAGCCTCCCCCCCTCTGGAATCTTGTTAACATTCTTGCAAATACTGTTGAATATTGTTGATACAAAAGGGGCTTTCTTTATCCCTGTCCGGTGCTCTAGATCTAAGGCCAAAGCTTTTAGCAAAAGCTACACAGCAAACTCTCTGCTAATGGCCAGCTCTCTGCAGCCATCTCATTATGTCAAGTCACTTGTAGATTTTCTTTTGGTATGATTCTGTTTCTCTAATGTTTGTTTCTTCGCAAAGCTTGAAACGATTTGTGCACTACTTAAATTAGTCTTTGTCAGACTTTCTTAAATGGAGATATACGAAAACGACGGCGGGCGAAAAATGGTGGGAATGGGGCCGTTTCCCAAGATGACCATCTAGCGTTGTTTGCCCGCCACCGACGAAGGATTTGGAGGAGATTATAACCTTGCGACAATTGCCTGGCAGTAAAGCTGACGTGTTGCAACATGCGATACCCTGCGCGAAATTGAGGGTGATCCTTTGGTATCGTCTACTGTTCAGGTCGCTTTGACAAAGTTGGATTGATTCAATGCCTTTTGCTGATTCTTCACCACCAGTCTTCCAATAGGTACAAGTCTCTTGATACATTGTTTACGACTTTACATAATAATGTATCTGTGTTTATGCTGTAGCGTCCTTTGTGTGAAAATCTTTGAGGCGCGGTTGTCGTAAAGGAGGTTGAGATTTCTTTCCCTTGGCCTAGATCCTTTGTCCATATCGATAACTTTAAATAGATAAAACAAAAACCTAGTTCATTACTTCATGTCAGTCCTCGTCAGAACTACATGCCTTCTTCTTTCGGTTAAATTACCTAACGTGTCTCAACACTTTTTTTCTATCAAGATAATCTGTTTTAACGGGATATAGAAACGTATGTGTAAAGCGTAACTAGGAGAGGAAAAAGCCAATTACACTTTGTTGGATGGTTCAGAACGATAACTAAAAGTTGTCTAAATACAACTACCTTTTCCATCAATGATGGCACCGGCTGGAATGATATAGGAGTTATATGCCATCCTGGCGATAACATTGTGATATATGATAGAAATAATTAAAAGACGCTATTTAATATCAGTAGAAGTGATGAGGCCACCCTGATAGTTTAAAAAGTGACTGAAGATGAACAAACGATTTTCCAGTGCTAGCTCTCCACGCTAAGAAACTCTTGGACCTACAGGATTTTCCTGAACTTTACAAGTAGGTATCGATTAGGTGGAACGCATCTTTTCATAGCGGTTTATTTTGGTTTCCATGATTTGGACACACTCTTTAACTTTTGCCAGGCTTTTATTTTGTTAAGATAAAGGAAAACGTGTGCGGACGAAAAGTAGCGGAGATTTAGCCCTTTCCCATGGAAACCACCAAGCATCGTTCACAAGCCACCAACCCAGCACCTTTGACAGGCCACGCGCGCTTACTCGCTTGACGCTAACGGTTGCCTGGCAGCTAAGCTGTTGTGAAAGTAAAATGTGATACGTTGCACGCCATTGAAAGTGATCTGTCGTCTTGTATGCGTTTGTTGTAGAACATGGCCTCGGTTAACATAACTTCGGCTCTTAACAAAATTGGATTAACAAGGTTTGGTGGAATATTTCTCTGGCTGATTCTTCATCGACAGTTTGTCGGTAAGCTTAAGGCTTTCAATGCTTTGTTTATCACTTACATGGTTTTCGTATCTGTAAGTTTTTGTGATGTAGCTTTGATATCAGCGGGAATCATGCTCCAAACAAGGTCGTGAGCGTATGGCTGTTGAGACGGTGTAAAGCATATAATTCTCATCTTGTGTACTTGATTCATACATAAGATCGTAAATATTCGTAGATCACATGCATTTGCGATTCATAGTTTTCGACTTATCATGGGGAGATAGATTCTGTCGAAGCACTGAGGATGTCTTAATGCAAGGTCCAATATATTTTGATAACAATTACATTCTTCAAAGCAGAAGAAAATTAGCTCACATTTAAGACGCTTTTTCCTTTAATCGTATGGTCGTTGAGTCATAAAGGCTGGCTGGCTTTGTATTTATGTTATCGGATTTCACCCGTGAAAGTCATGTTTTTGTTTAGTCAAAATATAACACTGACTCACAAGGAGATAATCTGTTTTATTTAACGGAATAAGGAAACCGAGAAAACTTAAGCAAAGGGGCTAGGAGCCGTAGATTGATTTATTACTCTTAGTGATCAAGTTTACAAGTGCGTTTCAACTTGATCAATGATTCGAAATGACGACAATTTCGCCGAAACATTCCAGGTTCCTTTGTGCAAATTAGGTTGCCATCTGTGGATGTAAACATAAATAAGGCGAAGATAGGCGTAGAACTGTTATTATGTTTAAATTTTACGACCAAAATATGACACAATCCGCTGTCTGGAAAGATTGAAGCTCGAAAAGGAAAAACGAATATACACATTGGGTTGTTGAGTCTTGCGTGACTAGTGTTATGTTACGCGTGATTGTTGTCATGCTTTTAGCTTGAACACGATTATGGTTTCTGTGATCTGTCAATTTCCCTTTCTTCTATTGGGCGATTGTTATTGTGCGTAAGATGATATGTACTCTAAATCCATAGCATCGCTCGCGATTTTGAAAGATGAACTCCAATGTTTGCTAACGCTTTCACATTTGTTAATGTTTGTTTATACTGAGGTTCTGCTTAGAGTTAGTGTTAAATTGTTACCAAAAATAGAGGTAAGCTTTGTTGTCAACTGCAGCTTTTCCCTGCTCAGCACTGCAAATGCTAAATGAGCCTAACATGAGTTTTAATTTTCTTTTTTTTATTTTTAACTTTTTTGATGTTATGCAGAAGAGAATTGATTACGTAACGTGCTTTCATTTAGCACTCGCCTAAGGAAGGCTTACAGGCGGAAATGGTTCATTGGCTTTTAAGAGATCGACAACAATGTGTTGATAACGGCTAAATATTATTGTTTGAGGTTTCCTGCGTAATTGGAGGTGTAAACTTAACAATTAATTCTTAGAATCATTGTGGTCAGAAATAAATAATTTAGTTCTCTGGCGTCTTCACGTCGACCACATTAATATCCGGAGTGTTTGGTTTGGCGCTGTGTCACAAATGTGAAATGCAAAAGCAAATGCCGCTAGCAATGTTTTAATGTGTCTGTCTTTATTGTTAAATTTGAAAAGATCCGAAGCTGTTCTTAATCAAACTGATAAGAGCTTCAGACAGGCACAAGGAACTGAATTGCCCTTTGTACTAAAAACCAAAAGAGAACATAAGCTGTCTCTACGAAAAGTTTTCCTTCTTTCGAATATTCAGAACCTCAGTTCATTTTTCTATTGTTGTTATTTTATATTTTTGAACTCCTTGGACATCCCAAGGGCAAAAGACAAGAAAGGCTCTGGAATGCTCTTAATAACGCAAACATATTGCGAGGGCTTTTTTCTGCTAGAAAATGGCTTTATTTTAATTCATAGATATATTAATTTTTGCAACGTCACCCTCTAAGAGTGCCTAATCAAAAAAAACCGGCTATTTTAATTTCCCATTTATGAAAGGCTCTTTGTCGTTGTTAAAGTGTTCTAGATCTTACTGATTGCCCCTCGATCGACACCTCTCACGCGATAAACGTCGAATGACTCGCCGTCGTGATTCTTGCCGTACCTCTTTAGTTAAATACCAGTTGAATACGATGTCGTCGCTTTTATTTGTAAAGCATAGTTTCAGTTATATTCAACTTGAAAGAAAAATGGAAGGAACAACATCCTCAACTTCTTATCACAAATCATTCTTCTCTCTACTAAAAATTCTAAAATTACTAAGCTATCGTTACAAACGAGAAAGTTGGTTTTTTCTTTTCCTTCTTCTCCTCTAAGGGCAAAATTAGTCTTCCTGCTAATGACTGTTTTCTTAAGTGTTTTATTCTTTAACCCCTGCCCGTCTTGAAACGTTCTTTCAGTAACGGCTTGATATTTTCCTTCACTCTAACGATAATTTTCACCTTAAATTTGTGAATTTTTTATTATTGAAATTGAAAAACAATTGCTGGACTGACAAGAACATCTCTTATTGGGGGGAAGGGGGATGGGGGCTTGTGGTAAGAAGTCATATTGTATAAAGTTCTCAAAATGATAGATAAAATTTTAGGCGTGCAGTGATATTACGTAATATCTTAAAAGTGGCTGCCTCTTTGGCCTACAAAAAGAAAGCAGTTTAGAGATCGATAATTTTACCACCCCTCTCCTAACACAAGATTCATGGAAATCAAACTACACCATTCTAGAAATGTAGCAAACGAATATTTTAACAAAAGTAACTAGAAGTGATCGAATATTTTGCAAAAATAAGTGATTTAGGGTTATTCAGTTTAAATCCATTCTTCAAAGAACAGTTACCTCTTAGTTCAGGATAAACAAAATTTGGAGTGATTGAAAAGTTATATTGGTGGGAACACTCTTACTGTTAATGTAAATTTTACGTTCGTGCAGCTGAGACAGGAAAAACGAGTACTAAGAGGGAAAAGAGGGCTCCCTTGGCACTGCCATAACCGTTATTGTATCTGTCAGCTTGGGTAGCATAGCATTGGGATTACTTCAAGTTGCTTTGTAAACAGGTCAATTGAAAAAGGAAGTGTGTTTACCTTTTAACTCTCATGAGTGATCAAGACAGAATTTCTCCTTCTCCTTAATTGATCCAATATTCAATTTTCCGAACTGACGTAAGGCAAACAATAAGGAGAATTCAGTCCTTATGAGAACTTGGGTGTGAAAGGGATAATAATATGGTTACCCTCTAAGGAGGGTAACCGTTACTCTTCTCTGTATGATAAATTAAAAAGATTATGTCTTACTTCAAAATGTTGTAGCCACTACAGTACTGTGGACAAAACCAGCCCCAAGTTGGACCCAAACGGATTCAAATGACATCAGAACAGTTGATATTCAAGTGTTGAAGGGCAGCACCCACATACATCTCAGTTGGAATTACACTTTGTCAGAAGGTTCAGATCTGAGGACAACAACTTTTTCCATCAGTGATGGCAGCAGCTGGAATGACATTGGAGTTATATACCATGCTGACAATAACATTGTGATATATAACAAAAATAATTACAGGACGCGATTTAATATCAGCGATAGCAATGTGGCCACCCTGATATTAAAAAAAGTGACTGAGGATGAACAAGCGATTTTCCAATGCAAGCTCTCCACGCTAAGTAACTCTTGGACCTACAGTATTCTCGTGAATTTTACAAGTAAGTGTCAGTTCGGTGTTATCCATCTTATTGCATCCGACGCATTGTGTAAAACTCCAGTCTTAAATCACTCTCGTTACTTTTTATTGTTTAATTTACCAACCATCCCAACTGTGTCTCTTTGATAAAAATGTCTGGTTTTGGTATCCGTAATTCCCCTCTGTATTCAATCTGTCTCAAGATATACTATTACCTTGACCAAACTTTCAAACCCAGTGTCGAGCTTTGGAAGGATTTCCTATTTTTGATCTACAGTCAAGACCCTTTATAGTTACAGTAGCTGGTAGCCCCACCAAGATGTTATGGGGTCTAGAGTTACCCGGAGTGATCAGCAAGCTACAGTTATAGCACGCATAGCTGTTCGCATGTCTGAGAAAGTTGACAGAAAAAGCGCCCAATTTTTCTTAAAATGACCCCAAGTGCCCCAAAACTATGCAAAACAGCATAACCCAAAAACCAGCTTTAAACCATTCTTATAACCACGCCGGTAATGCAATGGTCTTTGTATTATCTCCTTAGAGTCAAAGAGTCTCAATTGGGAGTGTATATCACATTAAAAGCAGAACCATGTGCAATTTCCGCTTTGAAGGTGCAATAGTGTGACGTATGGGAAGAATGGCGGTTTAAATTGATTTAGAATTGACGATTTTGGCTTGTTTTTTTGCCAGAGCGACATCTGAATTGGGTGGAGCGACCGTTATCTGTTGTTGCTGTTGAACGTCACAACCTCACCCTTCGGTGGACCTATATGAAGACACTTGGCCTAGCGTCGTCATTTCGAGATGCAGAATTTACTGATCTTAGCAGCGGGGAAAAAACCATTGCAGAGAAAATGTTAAATACTGCACCAATCGTACATACAGCTTATAGACCTCGATTCCATGTGGATTATATACAAGATACTATGGCGTCTATAACAATTGTTGGACTGAAAAGATCAGACAGAGGAAGATATAGATTTGATGTTAAAACCCTCAGGAAGGACATCGACGAACTGAACACGCTCTCCAGTATCATGGAACTCACAGTGCATTGTAAGTAAACAAACAAAAGCTGTGTTTGGTCATGTAAAATGTAGCTTATATCTCTAAAACCAAGGTGTTTTTTTACTCAGTATAATGCGTATCATAACCAACGTAAGTTGCAACTTCATTGGGATGGATCGCCATTATTGTGATTGTGATTATCGTTATCCTTTTTGCTTCATCATTATCGTAAAGGTCATTGACATCGTTACTTTTAATTCTTTTCTGCATTCATTTTTTCGTTGTCGTCGTTGCTCAATTCTTTTTCTTCCTCCTGCAGAAAGTGACAACGTTTACATTTTGGGCGATACTTGTCGCTGTTACTTTAGGATCATTGTATATATACGTAGCTTTTGCCAGACAGCGTGTTATATAACTTTCTCGTATGGTGTTCTTTTATTTTTGTGTTAAATAAGCGCGGTCGCAACTAGTAAAGCAATGTGTGGATTTGACTTTAACGATAGTTTACTCGTTCTCTCTCTACTTTTTCTAACTAGTAAAATGTGATTTATTTTCAGATGCGGCGAACATGACTAATGTTAGCGACCACCAAACTGTGCAAGAAGGATCTTATCTTCAACTGTTATGTCAAGCATTTGGCAATCCAACCCCAAACATAACGTGGACCAAAGTGCTTGAAAATAGTAACGATAGTAAATTGCTGCATCATGGAACCCATTGGAATTTAACAAAAATTAACAGAACTGCTTCTGGTTTATACAACTGTACAGCTGACAATGGAATTGGAAATCCAGTGTGGCGGCTGATAAAAGTCAATGTTACCTGTAGGTGTATCATACCTTGTCACCGCTTTGATTAGCATTGAGAATTTTGATTCCCGTTATTTTTCCGTCTCCCAAAACAACTGGTAAACCAAAAAATGCCTCGGTTGACGTTCAAGAAGTATGAGTGATAAATATCTTTAATAAGGTACTTCAAAAACCTCTTGACCCGGTGAAAGCATTTGTGAAAAGTACTGTTGTCAGCGTCAAGGACTGACGCTTCGACGACATATACAGAAACTGAAAAGTTGCTTGTCAAAGATAGGTGAAAGGGTTATGGTAAATGTTCGGCCTGTTTTACTGTGATCTTGTTTACTACAAAAGTTAATCAGCGTCGGCAATTCATCCTAACAGCAGACGCTAGCTGAAGTGGATTATTTTTACTCTTCTCTGCTTGTTTTTGTTACTTAGATTCTGCTAAGGTTGTTAAACTTGCTAGCGAACATCACGTTGCAGTACAAGGAAGTGTGAGTCTTCACTGCGAAGCCGAAGGAAATCCTCCGCCTGCTTACACGTGGTTCCCTTGTGATTCAAAGACCCAAGCATGTCATGAGAGCACACTTACTGTTTCCAACGCTCTTAACGACGCTGTGTACTCTTGCAATGTGGCAAATGTTTTGGGTAATGATACAAGAGAGACCAAAGTTGGTAAGTTATAATTAATCGATGCTAACTTAGAGTTATGAGGAATTTTTACATAGCTTCCTTTATGAAAATTTAATAACAACTTCACAGATCTCCATTGGTATAGCAAACGATCACTGAATGTAACTTGTTCCTACATGTATTTAAACCTGATCATCACCTGCAAATAATTATATATATTCAAGGAAAGTTTAATCATACTCGGCCAAGCACTGGAATAGCTAATATTATGAAATGATTAAGATTTCACGGGGTCATAATCAGTCATATCTTTCTTTGTGGAAACCCATAAGTCATCATGCTAGCCATACCATGCTGACGAGGCTCAGCAAGACTGAAATAGCTGACATAGTTGTTAACTCGGTGTCTTAATTTTCCCGCTTATTTTCTTTGAAAAAGACCTCACTTGACTTCCATTGTTGCCGCTGTGTCGCCTCCAGAAGCATAACACAGCTTTAAACTAATGTTGCTTGTTTGTTTTATCAAACAGTTATAGCAGGCAATGTGATAAATGTGACACTTTTCATCAGTGAACAGTGTCCTGATGAAAATTTATCTGAATCCGTGTTGTGGAAGAACCTCGAACAAAAGGTAACTATTAGGCATGTGACACCACCACACACGTAAATAGATACCTTTATTCAGCAGAACGGTGATGATGTGCATATGGGATTCGCATTGTATAACTTTGCTATCGTTTCTTGTAGATCGAAGACCTATTTAAAAATGAAGGATACAGGAGCACAGAATTAACAAATTACAGGTATGTAGGCGAAATGAATTATTACCTAGGTAATCTGTCCTTTTTATGTATTTAGAAAGATGTTGCTGTGGACTTACTGTGACTCAGGCAAAAACATGATGTATTACAATAGCTGGAATTCCTACCCTACTCTTTACGAAATGTGTGCAGGTTATTTTTCAGTCCTCTGTTGAACTTATTACATTGAGGATGCACGAGAAAGGGGCCTAAGGTTTGAAGCCAGTTACCCTGAGATACTAGAAAGTCTTAGGATTTACAGCTGTTCTTATAAGTAGACCTGTTTTTAAATTCTTGTTTTTGTTCTGACCCTCCTAGGTGTGGTAGCGTGATTGTTGATTTGGCCTTGAAGTTCAATTCCTCTGTTAAAGAAGAGAAGGTGCTTTCAATGCTAAAAGATTCTGCAGAGAATGGAGGGCTGAAAGAGTTGGGTGTGAAAGCTTCAGAAATAGTAGGTTGGCGACCCGGAAGGCCAACTGAAGGACCCAACAGCTCAACGTATGGCACAAAAACTACTGAAAATGCATGTAAGTAGGAATGAAAAGCGAGGATATGACTAGGACCAGTCCAGGACATTATTAGTTGCTGTAAGATGTGGTGTGTTATAATTTTTTTAATCACCTTTTAAAGTTGATAACTTACAAGTATAGATAAATCGATGCCACTATTGTCTCCGGAGGGGAATCGATTCGTTGGTAAGGCAAGCTCCTGACGTAATTATATTTGCTAGGATATTCTGAAGTGTGGCCAACAATATCAATTTTAAAAAACACTACATGATGGACGATTTTTTTTTTCTTCTGTCAGATAAAGTAATGTTAAAAGTAGAAAACATGAAAAACTGCTGAAAGCTTTGGCTACTTAACCTTTTTCAGCATTGTGATTTGCGACTCGTGACTCTTTACATTCGCTAGCCAGTGAATTTAAACTTGTTTGTGCTTGCATTAAATTGAATGCCTCAGCTTTACATTAGTTACATTTACATTACTTCCTTTCCTCAGCATCCGCTGTACCTTCCGAACTCCCTGCTCAGAGCGGGGATAACCAAGGTCTTAAAGATTGGATGATTGCTGTTATAGCTGGTGCTTCTGGTCTTGTCCTCCTCTTTGTCGTTATATTCTTACTTTGTTGGATCAGTAAAACTCAGAAGAAGAAGAAGGGCTCCGGAGGTAAGAAAATCACGCTGTAAGTATTACCATTAGTGTAACACTGACACCACTATCGTTTCATCTCCCGCGATTTTGAAACCTTTTTAATTATCTCCCACCCACCCCTCCCTACCCCGCGGGGCGAGAAGGTTCATGTGAAAGTAAAAGCCGCTACCCGGTCAAAGCTGCTTTCCTCGACGTTGAACATACATGTCCAATGTACTTGTATAAATCAAGTTGGTGTCGATTATATCAAAAGCTAAGAGAAACGCGACTTAAGTTTGTGCCTGGTTTTCTCTTTACTTTGGGTGACAATACGAGAGACGGTTTCCCTTTGCTGATACTCCACGACCACATGAACTTCATGCTAATTACTTTCAGACCTCTTTTTTATTATGAATAATTTCTTCGAGTTTACGATGTAACATAGTTTAATCTGATGATAGTACCGGGCATGTCATATTAACAAATACTTATACATTTCTTTTTGCTTTCTTTCAAGATGAAGCCGTTGACATGTCGACTACTTCGAGGTAAATTTTACTTTTTTCTGTTGTGATACTTTTCATGCGAAAGAGCGCTGTCAAATCTGCTTTCGCTTTTTACAGGTAAGGTAAAATTGGTTACCGGGTTTGATCGACTAGTTTAATTAATTCACTAACAGACGCACCAAATTGCGGTAATTACAACGTTTGGCTCGCAATCAACAACTGATTACGTTTGTGTAGCTCCAAATAAGCGATCAAACGGATCACTAAGAAATGAAAAGTACGGCCAGGTCACTTAGCTAGAGTGACATTGGCGGCGTTAAAGGGTAAATTTCCCACTTTCAAAGGCGAATTTCATTTGGTGAGGAGGATCTTACGCTGATAAGAACACTCTTGAGGTTACTTTGTTATACATCATTTACTTCATACAAATTGACGTTGGCGGAAGGCAATGTTTGATATCTGTGGTTGTAGCTATTTGATACTGGAGAGAGCCTTTTTGTTGGAGTCAAACACATTCTCCAGTTTTTGTGATTCGCTTTATTCATTCGTCCGTTTCTTTTTTCTTTTTTTGTTTAGGTACGTAAAGAATGGCCCCCACCATTCTGACAAGCCTAGCTCTAGCAGGGAATCTATTGAAGATGATCCATTCATTGCTGCGTCCACTTATTCCCAGAATTCAGTCGATAGAAGGGACAGGAAGAGAGATTCCAGTGTCAACTATGGATACCAACCAGACGGTAGAGAACTTAGACTTAAGCCAACATTCTTGATCCATATGATGCCTTATAAGGCTAACCGTACAGAGTTTTCTTGGTAAAGTTGAATGTGGCTGTAATTAATGTAAATATTTCATAGGAACATAACTCAAATCGCAGCCATAGTTTATTCCGGTTCCTGAAGCGTGAAGTTAGCCGGTTTGTTGGCTGCTTTCTGTGGATGGGATGTTAGCTCGTTGAAGTTATCCCCTTTACCCAATATTTCGTCTAGTTTCTCTGACTATTCACCGGTTATCCTGTGTTGTTATGTAGACAACTGCCTGGCTGCCCCCCACCACCTTTTTGTCTATCTTAGATTCAGATCAACCACAAGGTGAAATGCTGCTAAAATCAGGCTCCCGTCTCCCCAAAAATGACCGTCTTACGCAGAGTACAGGAGAGCTTGATGTGACCTCCACATATTTAGCGAAAGGACCACAGAGAGATTGCAGTACACTTCCCTCCTACCACAGACCACCCTCTTATGAGGAAGCCTCGAAACAGAAAGATCGAATAATGATGACTGAACCAAGGCCGAGTACATCCACAGGCGGCAGGCAGAAGCGACGGAAAAGTCCCCCGGAAGACAGGTTTCTGTATCACCATGTACTACATTCACGTACTCTCTATAAGTACCTCTATTCAACTCTCTTTTCTAAGACCACTCAATTTTTTTGCGTCGCAGTGAGTGGCTTCATTCTTCCACGCTGTGCTTTGCAGTGCTTTGTTACGCTTTGCTGTGTTCTGTTGTGTTTGCTCAGGTCAGCTGTACTCCGCTTTTTCATGCTCTCTTGTGATGTGCTCCACAGGGCTGTGGTAGGCTGTAGCTACGTAAGCCAACCTGCTATCACCGAGACTCCCATCAATTTTAGAACATACCATCCCAATGATCTTCCAATTTTCCTTCACAGACGTTAGGACAACGTCTATCATCTCTTGGAATCCCTAATGCATATGTCGAATTATGATTGTCATATTGTACACAGGGCGGAAGAAGCCAGTGTAGCACCAAGTGAAATGAGGTCTAATCAAGACGGACATAGAAGTGACAAAGACAAAGGACCTCTTGATCCAACGGCGATATATGCCATGCCAGACAAGAAAAAGAAGTTGGATAAACAAAGTCCTGCATCCCTTGAATCAGTTTTTGGTAAGATGAATTGAAACTAAAAAAAAGAATAAGATTAAATTGAAAATTAAACACTTTAATAGTACTGGAAGGAGAGCTTACTACTCAAAGGTGTATGGCAGACGTCTTCTCGAATGCATCAAACATTTCCCTCTGCCTGGTGTTACTTATTTTACCCACGTTTTACTTGGGTCGTCTTACTTACAAATCTTCCTTAAAGAATTTAAGATGTTCATGATCGTTTCCACCTACTCTTTTTCATCGCTAGACCCTTTCAAAGCGAAGGACAAATCTGCTAAAGGACCAATTCTACATAATCCTGGCAACTTGGATCTTGATGGCCCCGCTAATGCATCTACAAGTGAGGGGCCAAGAAACTTAATAATCCCCATTGAAATGTTACCTAGCAACCGCCAAACGCCCCAAAAAGATGATACAGGTAGGTAACCAGTTGTTAATTCTACGGGGTCGACTAAAGAACTAAAAAAAAAAAGGGAGAGAAGTTCGAGAGTATATTTCCTGCGTCAAGAAATATCTTATGACCTCGAGCTGTGGTGTTATAACTTAAAAAATCTTTTCCATGGCCTATCTGTTCTTTTCTGGAGCCTTCCGTGGTCGCGTGAGGGCTCTTGACCAACAAGGGTCAGTGTTATAAAGACGTCGTTTGATATCATGGTCACATATGACACAAAAGTGAAATTTTTCCATTAAGGAACGATCCACATTTGCAGTCATACTTCCGACTTTGCAACTACAAAGACACAATGTGTGATAACTAAGTGTTATTGTTCTTTCTTTAGCCTTGACAACTGAAAAGTTTACTTACATCTTGTGATATTTCCACTCAGAAAATGGAAAATCAGAGCCTTCATCACCTCTTAATTTCACTTTGGAAAAACGTCCACGGAACAGTTCAAGCGGTGCTGCACGTTATCAGCCGGAGCGGAGTAAACTGGTAAAGTTCATGGAATAAGATAGTTTCTTCATTTCCGAAGTTAACTTTTACTCCACATACTCCAAAATAATCATGTACTTTGAAGTTGATCAAACACAGAGACGATTCTCTCGTAAAAAAACATAGCTTTGACATACGATGCTCTGATGTTTATGATATACCAGCCAAACAAGAAGAGAAAATTATATTTCTTTCCTTCACCCACTGCGCAAAATCTTGCGTTTAGCCGGCAAGCTTCTCTATTCTATGGACCAGAGGAGACATACTTACCTTTGTAAAACTCAGTTTATGAAACATGGAGTGTACGAAGGAAAGGAACACCAATTTTCTTTTCTGCGCTTATCATAAAGAAATAGTTGGGGATGATAATTGTTCTGCCCTGTTATCCTCGTGAAGGGAAACGCCTCTTGTAATGTTTTCAAGGTTTCTTTAGATCCTATCACCTAAATTGTATCCGAACAATTGGGTCCTAACACTCCAGGTCAAAGTGGCCCTTGTTCTTTTGTTGTGGTAGGATATCGCATAAATTTGCTTAATTATTGTTGACATGTTTTTGTCATAAATTCCGATCTTTTTCCCTTTAATCCTGCAGCCATATAGGAATGTCCGTGGAGAACTTGTGAGACCAGATACACTAGACTCGCACGACATAAAACCAGAAACACTTCCAAACCAGTCGAAGCCCGTTGGGTCCCAGACTCACAGCAGGGAATCATTGGATGCAAGCTACATCACCTACGTGGTCTGATGGCGCGGTAATCTGTCTTCCAAACAGGTCACTATTGTTGCTTTGAACCCAAGACATCTAATTAACTTCCATACAAGTATCAGTAACAGCTATGAGCCCATCCGAGTAAATAGCTTTTAGAGCTGTAGAATGGCTTCATTCAAGGAAGGCAACTTACGTCCACATGGCCAGCCTTAAAATTCCATCTTTGGACCTGATTCACTCAACTGGCCCGATCTAACGAAAATCTAACGAAATTCAAAAAAGACTGAACAGTAAACTTAGACATACTTACGTACAATAAAGTTACCGTGGGAATATTGCTTGCCGATATATCCCACGTAAGTGAACGGTGAACTTCGTAGAATGGCTAAGTGCTGGTTACTGCTAAACATTCGGAGTGTTTGCCGTTACACAGACGAATACAGCGGCTTTGGGGTATCACATTTTTCAACCAAAGGGATACAATGCATTTTTACCTTTCCGTAAGTTAAAATGTTTATATTTGTGAAAAATGCTTTGTGTCGCACATAAATGCGTAACAACATCAAAATATATAATTAAGAAGGAAACCAACAACTGAAGAAAAGGTAACATTCATTAAGTACATCAATTTGTGGAATTTTCGGTTTCATTAAGAGAGACAGTCTTATTCTCTCGGTAGTCAATATTAAAAAGAAGCTTCCAAATATTGTTTCTCGAACAATTTGACTCGAATTTTGGTGCACTGTATGTTAATAGTAGAGAGGTGATTAACTTAATTTTGTAGAGCGTTTCTTTCTTTTGGCAGTTAGTATCAGGCTTTGAAGGCCGTGGTGAATAGGGGGCAATTGAGAGAAATTCGACCAAGGGTTTTTTTTTTGTGATTCGTTTTGCTACTATTAGGTAGAAGCAGTATGTATTGAAACGGTTTATTCACCTCCATGTTGTTATGATGATGGATATATTCTTCACTTTTGGTATATATAATTTTGATAGGAAGCGTTCGAAGGCAAATGCCTCAGTAATATTCTGTCAGGTGCTGCTGAAGTTTGTTTCAATCACACTATCAGTTAGAGATAACCATAGGTAATTTTATGAGATTATATTGCTTAATAGGAAATCTTTATTTTTGATCGGTTCGAAAAAGGGCTATAAATTTTAATAATAGAAATGAAATATTCAGAATAAAAATGTTGTCACCAGACTCTTATTAATAACCCCTTAATCCTCTAGAAAAGTGATATGAGGGAGGGACGTAGTTCAGTATGATTAAGTCATTTGTTTATCTCTAGTATTTCGATGCAATTTGAATTCAAAATATGAAGTTATTTGGGTTCAAGTTATCGCGATAAGTTTCCTGATTGCGACAGCCTTGTTGTGTTCTACGTAGAGAACGCATACCATTCATGTTCTTTTTCAGTGTCACAGGTTTCATGATATCCCGCAGGTATCGATCCGAAGCCAGACCGTTTCAGCTTATCGACGTCATTTTGGACCACCTCAATTTCATGCAAGAGCTTTAGATCACGCTGGCCAAGTGAGGTTCCGCAGGTTGACTCGCTTCGGTTTTGACGCCTTGTAGTAAAATTGCACCCATTTGATCAAACGACTAGATTCATTACAAAATTGGGCTTTGAGCCACGCCACAATTTGCTTTATGCAAGTATAATTCCAAATAAAACAGTTAGGAATCACACTTATCATAAAGTTCTTGTTTTGGCTGACGCAGTTAGAGATTTATCCGGTTGATTGGAAGCATTAAGTAAGTTGTTGTTCTTTGTTAGATGCTTGTAAAAGTCTTAAGGTTAGTGTTCTGAAGTCAAATTTTTAATGTTTTAAGGTCAGTTGGCCAGCATGCCCACTCACCCACGGATAGTGAATACCAATGTGTGTACGTAAGAGTGAGTGGTTGGTGAGAATCGGAGAGAGAGAGTGATCGTTCAGAGTTATGAGTCGGTCGACCAGAGTTTCCCGAAGTAAGTAAGAGATGATGAGATTTTATCAGTAAGTCAGATTCAGTGATTAAAGGAAAGAGTGAAGCAAAATTAATGTAATTAGAATGGTATAGAGTATAGAGATTAAAAAGCCTGAAAATGGCAGGTCGCGAGCATTCGGTGCCTTTGCTATGCGTGGTGCGCTCTGGAGGCAGTTTCTCTCGTTAGTGCGACCCAAAACAAGTTAATAGTTAGGGAAAAAGGAAACTTTTGGATACTTATACAAAATCTTGTATAAGTATTTCTTTAATAAACGACTGGACAGTGCCGGGCTAACGCAAGGTACTATGACAAGTATGTATACGTAATTGGAGATTCTGCGTGTCTCAAATGTACAGAACGGAATTTAAAATCTCTGATCATGAGAAGATGGGCAAATACTGAGAGAAGAAGCATGCTAGAAACTGTCTTCCCCTTTTTCTTTTGATTTTTTATTTTTTCTGCCTAAAGTCTCACTTTTTCTCCTCTAACATTCCACCCGGACTTTGACTTTTTTGGACAAAGTTTACTGTTTTCAATAAATTTACATGAATGGTTTTTCGGGAACAGTGATATGCCTAATTTAAGACCCGCACATCGGAATTTTGGAGGAGTAATATTGGATAATGGTTGGGCGAGATTCAAAGTCAGAATAACATTTTTCCACACGGGATCCGAAGGTTTTAAGATCTAGGAAAGCTCTACTTAATGTGCAGGAAAAATCAAGCTGTTATCTTGAAAGAGCGGAAGTGGCCGTTTCAATTCAGTTTTCACATCTTGTGAGAGGTCTGGTCGAACTCACATAAACGTGGATGGTTCACCATTTTGCAACACATTAGCCATAAAAGATCGTTCTTAATAAGTCCCGCGATCGAAGGAAATAAATCGGACTCCTTAAGCCTTCCGTACGTATAATGCGTAGCATAGCACAAATTTTTTAATCGAATCACCAAACCGAGGTCGACCCCAGGGTTTGTGCCGCGGAGACAACTATATGTCTGCATAGTTATTTTCTGATTGAAAACAGCCGTAAACAGACACTCGGTAATCTAAAGCCTATGGAGTTCCTGACAGGAATTTACAACTTTTATCTGCTGCTACATATCCTTGTTCGGGAAGTATGTAAGTATCTTCAACTTGTGAAGCAAATACATGCACGTAATGTGAGACCCTATTCAGACGCCAAACTTTCGATTTACACAAATTCAAAATGTAAGCCTTCTGACTCAGAAGCGAAACTTAGGAAGCGTCCCCCAAGCGATTCTCATACATTTCTTTAATAACTGGATTAAATTATCTGGTAATTTGTGAATTTACTTTACTTCGACACATGAAAAGTTCAGTTTTAACTAGGCTTGGCCTGCTTCAGATTTCACTTCGTAGGGAGTGACAAAAACATTCTCAGATACTTGTTCGTTATGTTTCACATTTTTTGCAAGAAACACTATCTTATCCCGTGGAGTGTTTCTTAAATATATCACGCGACAATTACAAGTATACGAGGTAAAGTAGGGAAATCGTTTTATTTTACTGTGGCAAAGTATATGCGAAATAACAATTGGAGCCTATTTATATCTTTTAACTCAACATGTTATTCAGAATAAATGATTTGCCACAACAGGAATTTTTGATTATCTCACATAATCAATTGAGGCCATTCACAGAAATCTGTGTTCAAAACTGCCGTTCATTCGTGTGATCATTGCGAAAGTAAACAGTTAATTATCTCGTATGGTCAATCGATGCAGTTCACAGAAATCTATTGATATTCACGAAACGTCTCACAAGAGTTTCAAACATCAATCGAGTTTTAACGCACTATTTCTTTTTAGTTAGTTTTGCTTTGCGCTTGGCTGATAGAGCTTCATCTATTGTAAAGTTTATTGGATGCATAAACGACACAATCTTTTTTTTGTAAAATGAATCAGACTTTCATGACTATGACGTTCAGTACGCTCTAATCTTACGTGGTGTGACCAAATAGAATTCGTAGTTATTTTGTCCCGCATGACGGAAATACCATCGAAAATTCTTGGATTTTAAAGGCTAACGAGAGCATACTTTTATTTTCGTTGCTTGGAAAATACGGTAATAAATAGTCGCTTAGGGCTCTCAAGCTGCGTCCATGGTAAGCAAGTGCTTCGTACTTCAGTATCGAATGATCACTTACGGAATGAATGTCAGAAATGTCAACTAAAAAAAAAAAAAACAAATAGTCTTCGTCACACCATTCTACGAAAGGTGTCACAAAGAGACTTTTGCCCATTCCATCGAAAAACCACGTTTTCCATCGGAATCTATTGGTGTGTATTGGAAATATATGGAGGAATGATGAATAAAGAGACTTAGGATTCGACCTTGAAAATATATTTGTAGAAACCTAGAAATAATACCTGGATTTCATTTGTCGCTCATTCTAAAACAAGAGGATATCAAGAGAATATCAACTGTTGATATTCTCTTGATGTAAAATAAATTCTATTTCGGCCTTGACATTGGTGTTGCTGACAGATTTTCGAGGCCAGTTATTTAAAGGAGGTCTAACCAAAACCACAGTTTTACAGAGGCAGTGAGCCTTAGGCCTTCTCTAGCTATAAGAGGGTTGATTTCATTAAATGAATGTCCCTCTGTTAGATTTCGGCCCTTTTGACTCTTTTCACAAAAATATATGTTTAGGTAAAAGGTCCAGCTAAATTGAAGATTGTTTAAAGCATGGTTTTGTTAAACTATGGCTAAACTTTTTTTTAAATAACTGACCCAAGGTGTTTAGAAATGATGATACGGCATGGCAATAGCTGAAGTATCAAATTTTAACCTACAAGTAGTTTCCTTCAACCAATATGCCTGAAAAGATTAAATTCCACTTCCAAGAGTTTTGTGACTAAAAGTCTCAATTTGGGAAGAACATTCCTAATTCAATTAGGATGCTTTGTTTGTATTAGTGATTTCAAAGGGCACTTCGTTCATAAAATATTTTAATAGTGTAGCTTTGGTTTATACCTGATATACTAGCACTCTGATTAGCTAAGAGTGAGATCAGAACAAAGCATTATACAGCGGTAATGCCAGGTAATGCCTCAGGGCCGATTACGGATTATGTAAATTAGGAAGAGCTCTGCAGTGGCCATCATCTGTTTTCTAAAATTCAAGCATATGAAAATGATGAAGCTTGATTAAGAGTCTGAGAGAGTAAATTTAATTACAAGCAGTTATGAATTTTGAGGAACAGGGAAGATACAGTTTTGAATTTCCTTAAAGATTGTGCTGGTCATGGACAAGGTGATTAAATAAGGATATATTCAATCTAACATCTAATACTTGCATTGGAAAGCTGTTAGGGACAAGATAACACTTCAACGAGATTATTGCTTACTAAATTTTGTAATTAAGGTTTTTTTTACTTACCAGCTGCATGGTAACCTTTGTCTTCTCGTATACAGAGCCCCAATCGCTAGGTTTATCTTGAATGTATTGTCCAGCAGTTATTTGTTTGTTTTAGATTCAAGAGCATCTCACTAAGTCTTGTTCAAACTTGCAGCAAATTTACAGAGTCTATTTTGTATTTGTCTTGTATTGTAAACTTGTTATACAGCATGCTTTTGTAACAATAGTGATAAATTTAGCAACTGAGGAGTTAAATTAGATGAATAATTATTTATTAGTTTATTTAAAAGTGTACAGCTAGTTTGATTTCCAAAGAGTCTTGCTCCAACATTAACCAAACAGGAGTGATTTATTCATGATGAAAGTTATTATCATACAGAAAAGTTGAGCAATGAAAGCAACAGATCACTTGCCATCGGCTTTGGTGACCAGTGAACCGCTTATAACAAAATGTAATTTATTCTTCATGCATGTACAACTGCTGTTTGGGAAATCAACTAAGTGAAACCATTTTATCCAACACTTAAAACAAGGACTGTGCAGCTGTTACAAATGCTCTAGTGATATTAACTGATTAAGTTTGGAATCTGATGAAAGTAAATCCAGTATTGCAAACCATTCACTATTTGGATAATTCTTGTAGGCTAGGAAGAAATTGATCATTATGTTACACCAGTGCAAGATTCATTCAATTCTGCTTTAGCAAGTTTTACTTCCTCTGTGTTAAGCTAAAGGGACATTTTTTAATCATCCACTCTTCTTGCATTAATGGTTGGAATGTGGCACAGGGTAGCCATTCTACTCCATTTATTCAATTTCATTCCAAGATGACTGACTTTCTTTTATGAAATATTTTGATAAGCAAGCCTGCTTTATCTTCCCAATAAACTTGCTGATAATAAAATTAAACGAGTTAAGTGTAGTTGTATAGTAAAGGTAATTTCTCTTGATACAACTTTTAAAATAACATGTTGAGAATGTTATTGAATTAACAGTGTCTTTATTGAAGTAAAAAGCACTTGAAAAGTTTAGAGAGTTCTTTGTTGTTAGGAGGTTAGAATTATTTTCACCTATGTATATAAGCAGCAACCCTTACAAATCTTTCAAGCTCTTTAAACTTCCTGAGCGCTTTTTATTTTCTTTTCTTCTTATGATGTCCAAGATCTTGGTAATAATTCTCTTTCTGCCTGATATACAATTCTAAGATGCTGTTTCTGAGAACTTGGTGTTGAATCAACTAATAATACCCTAATTGATATTTTTTTATTCTCACCACTTTTCTATTTGATATTTTTTTGATGCTGTAAGGAGAAATTCTGTCATGGTCACTCATGGGAGTTAATAGGTTCAAATAGAAGAATGCTTCAACTCTTAGAAATTGTCATCTCCACCTTGAGATGGAGAAAAAAGCTTAGTAAAGCTTGAGTAAAGCAAGCTGGGAATTTCTCTTGATGGTCTTTTATCCTTATACAGTCATTAAAACTTCTTTTTTATTCCTTTGTATATTTCCAGACAGTCAAAGGTTCACAAGTAAACCAAACAGTCCTGAGTATCAGCTAAAGGGTCAATCTGCATCCTTGACATGGAATTTCAACAGCAATGGGAAAACAGTCAGTCACATAATGTGGTCTTACAATAATGTTTGGGTTGCTACTAAACCATCAAGAGGATCAGCCACTGTTCTCAATTCACAGTATCAGGTATCAGGTATCAGGGAATGCAACACTTAGAATATCAAATGTTCAGACAAAGGACAATGGTGATTTTGATTGTCAAGTGGTTTTCACTTCTGGTGTTCCTCCTGTGATTCAGGATACTGCTAAACTAGTAGTTGTCGGTAAGTTCCTCAACTAAGTTAAATGACTACTGGATCAGTATCTGGGCAACTGCCCACCTACCCCTCCCCTAACTCAACATTAACCCTAAATTGTTATCAATAGACTGTTGTTGGGTTAGGGGAGGGGTAGGTGGGCAGTTGCCCAGATACTGATATTGATCCTGACTATTTATATTGGTAGCACAAATATTTCCTAGTTTTGACATTTTTAAACTAAAGCTGGTGACACACTTGATGATTTTTTCCACAGATTGCATGCAGCCAATTTGATCACCAGCAAAGATCAGTGATATCTGACATGCCAGATATCAGCAATCCTACATGCCTATCATAGCAATCCACAGAAATTGCTATTATTGTGTCAAGCACACCTGGTAATTTTAGCTGATCATTGCAATAAGAATATAAAAATTGTCAAGTGTGTCAAGGCTTAAGGACAGATTTGAACCCCAGTATTAAAACTCTTCTATCTGGTAATTCAAAACTATTTTAGGATGCTGTAATAAACCCATGATTATCTGACCTTTGTATTAATAAAATTCATTGTTTCACACAGTGAGCCCAACAATTACACTCAAAACTACAACAGCTATAACTTTGGATGAAGGTGCTACAAGAACATTGTTTTGTGTTGCCAGTGGCAACCCCAAACCCACTTACAGGTGGTATAAAGATAGTGTAAAGATTCCAGAAGATCCAAATAACTCCAACTACACAATAACATCAGCCAGCAGGAATGATGCAGGGACGTACGGATGTGAAGCTGTTATTAATGTTCCAACTCTTGGCCAGTACAGTGACTCTTACACTGTTCAGGTTACAGTTAGATGTAAGTCAACTCACAATACCTACTTCTATTCTTTTCCCTGGATAGTTCATTTATACATTTTGTTTACTATTATGGTACAATGTTAAATGGATGGTTAGTAAGATGAAGGAAATAACCAGCTTAAAAATTCATCAAAATGGCCAACAAAGAAAGGTATGATAAACTGCTAAGAATAAGTTAGTTGTTTTGGGAAACTCACTTACAGTGCATTTACAGGTACATCCAGTCACAACTGAGCACAACAGCTTATAGGTGATGCAATTACACAATCTCCCTCATGGCCTGAAAAAGAGAAGCAGTATGCAGTTCAAACATCGTGATCCACAACCGCAGTGACCACATTGTGAGACAAACAATCACATGTGTACTCCTCTTTTGTGTATCAAAGACTGAATGCAATAAATATCAGATGACATATATGTACAGTTGATATACATTATTTAGAGGAGATCAGGGACAAACTTTCAGATTGAAATGGCCAACAAAGACATGTATGAACAGTTACTTGTAGAAGAAGTTTTGAACTTTCAGAAATCTGTTTCTTGTGAGTCCAGGTTTGAATACAAGTTCATTAATTTTTTTTCTGGTTTGTTGTGTAATTTCTGAACCAACCACATTTTCACAATACTTCAGTTAAAGGTCAAAATGATATGGTTCTTTGGTTGAATTTTTATCTATGAGGACATTTTGTGATATCTGTTATACAAAGAATGAATGTCGTTGACAATCAGTCCTGAACATTATCTCCCAGGACATGTGTTGAAATGTTTTCTACATGTTCATGGGATCATTTTGTAAATTGTTCATGTAAAGGTAATTTCGAGAAGGATCCAAAATTGTTGCGACTATTCCTGCTTATTAACCCTTTAACTCCCAGATCAAATTTGTAATTCTCCTTACTGTCAACCATACAATTTTTAAAAAAGTTAGTTCAGAGAATTAGTATTGGATCAACCAATTATCTCCAAATTTATATTTTCTTTATTCTCATGATTTATCTGGTTGATATTGTATTGATATTCTAAGGAGAAATTCTGTCTTTTAAAAATATTTGAGATATTACAATTTTGATTGAAAAAAAAATTAGTTTACCCTTAAACCCATAGAAAATTGAAACATTTTTTCATTCTGGAAAGCAGTTTATCTAACTTTCTACTTATTTACTGGGTGTAAAAGATCAAGATGTTGGAAGAACACAAGAAAAGTTTGTAAAACTCTCATCTTTAGTTTCTTGGTTGATAAACAATTCTCACAATTTTGTTTACATAATATTAGTGTGGGTAATATTAGGCTGGGAAACCAGGACTGTTAAGAAAGTATCCAGTCTAACTAACAGATGTATAGAATTCCTAGGAATTCTCAAAAAATTCCCAATTATGCAAATGACCCTTACAAACTGAATTCCCAGTTTTCTGGGAATTTCTAGGAATCCTAGGAATTCTAGGAATTCCTAGGAATTCTCAAAAATTCCCAACTATGCAAATTAACTCTGATTTAAAAAGCTTGGAATTACTGGGAATTTCTGGGAAAGGAAGACTCAGTTTTGTGAGGACTTGAATCCCTTGGAATTCTAGGAATTCTCAGCTTTACAAACTACCTATAATTTAAGAAGTGTGGAACTCTTGGGAATTTCTGGGAATTGAATTTGAAGCAATTTTAATACCCTGAGGTCCACATAAATTCTAAGAAATTCTCAATACCTTGAATGTGAACGTTTTAAGAAAAAGAGTAATTTCAGAGGCTTAAAACTTTGGCTCAATTAAAGGTATGCTATACAAAACTTACCAAGAGATATACATACATGTACATGTTTACAACTTAAAGATCATGAAATTTATTACTCAAACTAAGTTTTAGTAAATCTTTACATTAATATGGATTTTCTCATGAACCAGCTGTCAGTTATGTTAAATGGAAATTGCCAACTTCCACAATAATTAACAATAATTACATTGTTATCTTACCTCCCTAACCTACATTACTGGTTGCCTTTGTTAGAAAACCTTGGAACAGTCAAGCTCAGTTGCCTCAAACGCTGTCAGAGACTTTTTGTTGACAATACTTTTAGTAGAAATTTCATGCCTTAGACAAACAAATTCAACACCTAATTAATCTTTCTTTTTCATGATTGTTGTTGCTGCTTTTTTTTTTTCAGTTTTTTGCTCTATTTTCATGACTAATTGCTGTAATTTGTTTTGCTGTTTTTATTCTTACAAAACATTTTTGTAAGAGTTCCAATACTTGTGGATCATCCACACATTTTGCAAACATTTGGCATGCAGACAAGACAGAGGTAGTCAATGTTCCCTTTGAGGAAAAACACTTTTTATATGACGTCTTCAATTTACTTTATTTGAAACTCTGATCTGAAAATATTTGTCAACAAGACTTGTTAGTAGTGAGAAGTACCAACCAAGTTTCCTTTCATAACTTAATTTCTTAAATGTCCCAATCACTGGATCTCCCAAAAAACATTACATCTTTTTATTTTTGGCGCAAATTACAAGTCCTTCTTTATATAAAAATGAAAAGTGCTAGTCACACTTCAATAATAACAGCTCTTAAGTTTACTTGTTGTTCTTCTCTGTCTGTCAGCTATCAACAAAATTGTTTTATACAGTGCATAACTATTTATGGACCAGAGTTCCAACGCACCTCTGTAATCGCATATAGCTACTCCTGTCTCTTGTACAAATGTTTCTCCTTTGTAAGACGCACTCTACTCTGTTGTCAATACTGCTTTAAGTTCAGTGGAAACGACTGACTGAGGAATCGAGATGGCGGTGTTGGAACGTGTTGCTGAACGCTTGCTACGGTCAAGCTTTGTAGATTTAGGTACTGGTACACTGGGATCATCTATGTATCTCTTACACTTCCGAATGTGGTATCCTTCTTTTATAAATATGAGGGTAAAAGACGATTTGTAGTCGCATTCAAAACTGTGATTGGCTTGTGTTATTTCTCACCTTTGCCATTAACACAACTCAAGCGAGTTTCGAGTCTTTGTTTCCTCGACAACTTTCGGTCACAAATCGTGCATTTGTAATACGATCGATTCTTGTCGATTATTTCTACATAGAGTGAGCTCACATCTTTATTTATATCACCAAGCTATCCATCTACTAGAAGCAGAGAACCGGTCGGAGAAGTCAGAATAAAGTTGTGCGCTTATCTTAACACTGCAATCGGCAAGCCAGCGGATTCACTTTGCTAGCCAATGACAAGTCCTAAAAGATCCACGTGATCATGCCCGTGATCGGAAACAAAGAAGACTCCATTTGGCGCTCATCTTTGAATGTACTTTTCGTCGGTTGATCGCTTTTCTCAACTGTTTTGCTTAATATAACATTTCTAAAGATAGCTATTATTGTGGTTCAATGGGAAAACGAGAATAGCGTGAGTGTTGTAAAAGAGAAGAAAGTCGTTGGCGCCGTGGAGTTAAAAGAAGGGACAACAGTTGACATATGGATTGGTACAAACAAGGGTCGAGTGGCCATCTGTAAAGCTACGATTTTGAAAGTTTGTGGTGAGTAAAAATTGCGATATTCGTTACGAGATCAAAATCTTATAAAATAATAGATGTAGCGGGTTGAATTAAGCTTACATAACGCTCGGCGCAACTGAAACTAGAATAATTCTGAGAATCGAATCGGTCACTTGCATGCCGCAGTTTTTTAAGCTTATGCTTTACAATGAAATAAACCTATCAGCAAGGTTTCAAGATTCCTCTAGTCACGTTTGGGAACATTCAAGATTCATAACAAACCTTAGTACATAAAGAAGCCCTCCTTGGTAAAAACAAAATAATGTATTCAGCCCTTTTTTAGTAAAATCCATGAGAGAGATGTACTAACTCCAATATAAAAGTCACTCAATATAACAGAGATTTCTCAATTTGAGAATCCAATGAATGCCCTTTTCCTCATAGCCATCTTAAAAGCCTGGTCTGAGCTTTAAACATACATATTTTAATATATATATTTTTTTCAAATTCAGATGTCAAGGAATCCAGATACAAAATGGTCAAGGTTCTTGTTGACAACCTCATTCAAGGCCAACTCATTGTGAGCCCAGGAAAAAAAATACAAACAGTACAAACAGCAGCTAAGTTTGCAGTTTAGGATAACTTCATTCTAATTTATTGTTACAGTTACAACAAGATTTTAATCAAAAAATCAATTTTATTTGTCTGTAATTAGCCCCTTCACTCCCAAGAATATAACTATATAAATAGAACTTAAGATATTGTATTTTATGGAAGAGAATCAACAGATTTTATTCACAATTTGTGTCAAACCAAATTTAATGATTGATTAGAACTATTTTATATGAATAGCTGTAATTGAGGATTAATCCGTATGAAGTTTTCAAGGAAAGAAAAATAAATCAAATTCCATCCTAATATTACCACACATTGATGTTAGTAATTAATCAAAAATATTTTACATGTAAGCCTTAATTAAGCTTCTAAATAAATTTCATTGAATACTTGAATTTTAGCTGGGTTTTTTTTAATTTAAAGTATTTATTTTATATCATTAGCCTCAAATTTTTGCTTAAAATTCCCAGTAATTCTTAAACATTCCTAAAAATTCCCAAAAATTCCCAGAAGTTCCCAGAAATTCCCAGAAATTCCTAGGAATTTTTTAGATTTACAGCTTTTCAGGGAAAGTCATTGGTTCTCTGAGTTGGAATTCCTAGGAATTCCTAGGAATTCCAAGTCCTGTTGGCTATAAACTTGGAATCTCTGGGAATTTCTGGGAATTTCTGGGAATTTCTAGGAATTTCTAGGTTTTTAGAACCAGAGTTGTTATGGTTGGGAATTCCTAGGAATTCCCAGTCCGAATTTACCGTGAAAATTCACACCTTTATTCCTAGGAATTCCTAGGAATTCCTAAGAATTCCTAGGAATAAATTCCTAGGAATTCCTAGGAATTCCAAGAGCCATTTCGCAAGGGATGGTACATAAAGTGTACTGTAGCTTTTTGACTGTTCTCCTTACATCCGTCGTGGGTTACAAGGCCAGTAAAGCAAAAAAAAAAAGTTCCCTTGTTACTTTAGTGTACATGTAAGACTGTAAACTGTTAATATGGTGCATGAAGTGTACTGTTAGCTTTATGAATTAATCCTAATGTAACCAAATCATAAAGATTTCCTTTAATGTTTTCATATTTTTATCTTACAGTCCGTCCTGCACACAAAACAAACAGTTTGAGCAGTAATCAAACTGCCTTGGAAGGTCGTACTGCCACATTTTTTTGTCTCACCGAAGCATTTCCCACTGCAACAACATACAAATGGTTTAAGGATGGCACTGAGATATCCAATTCACAAGATTTTGAAATTCTTAAAATAATTGATACAGAAAGCAGACTGAGGATCAAGAATGCTAAGAAGGGAAGTGCTGGGCAATACTCGTGTGATGGAACAAATGCAGTTGGAACTGGAAATAGAAAATCTGCTTTCTTATTGGTCAACTGTAAGTTATGTTATTTGTTATGAACTGGACAATGTTTTAGATTTGTTAAATATGTTTGCTGATTTTGCTATCCTGTGCAAGTCATGATACTGGTTTAATTAAAATTTGATCCCAATGGATGCTTTAGAATAGCTGGCAGAGAAGGCCTGGAGAGCCTCTTGTTGCCAAGGGGGTCTGGGCTCCTTTGGAACATTTGGGGGTGAAGACTCCTGCAGTGTCATTTTCCTGCATTTTTAGGTTTGATTTAATTTTACCATAGTGATTATATTTAGCGCCCTCCCCCCAATAAGTGCCCCCTCTATACTAGACACTGCCTAAAATTTGTTTTTGTCAATAAGTACCACTATTCTAATCAGTGCCCATATTGAGTAAGTGCCCTCAATTCAGTGAGGACCTCCTTATGAAAAACTCCCTTATTCCAACAAGTGCTAAGTGCCCCTATTCTGTTTCAGTGATTGCAATGTTAAATTAAATGTGAATTGAGATCAACCATGCTTCATCTTCCTTTAATTGCTCACACAAAGTTTTGTAACAAAAATGTTGGTCGTCTACTCAGTCTCTTAGCTATTACATCCATGTGAGTACACAGTTTTTTTTCAAAGGAATGTGGCTGTCTCAAAATTTTTCAGAGATTGCTTGGCTGGTTGTTCTGGCCAGGAAGGATTCAGGGACAACAAGCACATTTTCTTTCTTGTGTTTTTGATCCCCCTTAAATGAATATCAAAGTTTTGTTTGGCACATTATGTTGTTGTTTCTCAAAAGAGAAATAAGCACCTTCTAAAAAGCACTCTGTTTTGAATAAGTGTCCTCCTTAGAGGTAGTAAAAGTAAAAAGCGTCACAGGCACAAAATCAAATCATTATGATATGTTGCATTGTTGTGCGTAGATGTGAGTTTATTTGAAGAGAATTACTGTACCTGTACATGTATGTTAGCAGGACAAAGGCATTTGTGTGAAGGCCACAAGCAGTTACTCTCCTTTGTAGGAGAGGTTCCATGTTTGGAGCAGTTCTGGGTTGCTGCATGCTTCATTGTGTTTTTTGTTTTCTGTCAGAATAGACTGGTACGCAGACAGGTGTAAGCTCACACTGCCTCTTTTTTATCCTAGATGCACCTCAGCAAGTCACAGTGAATCCAAATCCAGCAGTTGTGGAACTTGGTCAAAGCTTAACCCTCACATGCCAGGCTGATGGATTTCCAAAACCCTCCTACTCATGGAATTTTAATGGAAGAGCAATTGGAGACTCACAAAACACTTTGCAACTTGCAAGTGCCCAAGTGTTGAATGCAGGGAACTATACATGTGTGGCAACAAATACGTTTGGTAGTGCTCAGGAAACAAGGCTGGTGAATGTGAGATGTAAGTTCAGTACTATGAAGAACTTTTGAAGCTTAAAACAGACTTTCATATGATGCAGGTTAAATTTATTTCAAACTAGTGTGGTACAGGGACAAATTTTAAAATCTTGTTGACCTGAGAGTTATTTGAAATCACAATTTATAACTTCACCCTTTATACCCTTGTATCATCATTATGCATATTCTCCAGACTGTTCTATATACATTTCTTAAGGTGTTGACCAGGAGAATTTGTCAAACAATTGAGAGCTTCTTTAGTTGGTGATCAATTCCTTTCTTCCTGAGACCTTAATGTTTGACTCAGGGGTTATATAAGAGCTAGTCACTCTTAGGGGTGAAAGGGTTAAGGTTACTTGTTACTTCTCTTGGTAATTCGTTAACTAAATGATATCATTCTTAGGCATCACTCTAGCAGAAATATCTTTCATTTTGGTTGAAGCTTACACTTTCTAGAAAAAGTTAAAATTTATCAAGTTTATTAGGTAATAAAGTGGCTCAACAGGTGTCTGATTACAATGTGCAGTTTAAGAATGATTCTGAGCTTCTCTTACTAATTGACAGATAAATCAACTGTTACAACCTTTACAACTGGGAATCCTGATAATAATGCTGTGGAAGGAACAAGTGTAACTCTTACTTGCACTGCAAATGGCTATCCTGCTCCAACATACACCATCCAACGTACAACACCATCAGGTACAACACCATTGGCTGGCACCTCAGGGGGAACATACACAATTCCTAATGTGCAGCTTACTGAGGAGGATAACTCATACAGCTGTGTGCCAAAAAATGCACTTGGAGATGGGCCACCAAAATCATTGACAGTTAAAGTAATAGGTGAGAAATATATGTAGTGCTACCAAAACACAACCACCATGGATAAGCGGAGTAAAACCACAGTTTTTTAGAAGGAAAAAAAACAGTTTTCAGAAATCAGAATAAAGACAAAATCCCTGATTTGTTAAAAAATAGTGGCACATCAGATTTCTGTAAACTGTTATGTCAAAAATTGCCAAACTGGTGTTAGTGAAAAACATGAAAATGTATAGGTTACTTGTGTATATCCAGGGTATTCCTTGACAACACTCACAGTGTTATGAAGTGAAAGCTATATGTTTATTATTTATATCTGTACAAAAAATGAAAGATAAATGGAAAGTTCAGGCCACAGAATTTTAGCCAGACTGTTCCGGGTATAATGTGTAGCATTCTGTGAAATCCATTGCCAAATGAACACCCTGTGCACATTTCCCTGGCAATTGATCTTTGTTTCCAGTATAACTTATGAAGTGAGGCCATGATTTAATCTGGTGCAAAATTTTTTGCAGTTGTTCCCCCATGTTAAAGCTGTTGTTTGCCTGATTTCACAGTCAGAAATTTATGTAGCTTTGCATTTAAAATCTTTTAATTTTTTTGTATTACAAATCTATGAAGTGAAGCCATGATTTTATCTTGTGCAAAATTAATTTAATTAATAAATTTTGCCTTTCTTTATTTTACAGTGCCACCCTCATTCCAGAGTAATTTGCCAAACAAACAAACAAAGACTGAAAATGAAACTGTGAACTACGCATGCATAGTTCAAGCCAAACCTTATGCTCAAATCGTTTGGAAGCTGGATGAAAAAAATCTGACTGGCACACCATACAATATCACAACTGAAGTCCCACCAGTTCAAAATTCTAAACTTTTGAGAACTCCTTCTTATCTGACTATTGATAAAGTAACCTGGCAGCAGAATGGGACTTTCTCTTGTGTGGCTTTCAACAGTGCTGGTCAGAGGAGGCAAACCACAGATCTTGAAGTGCACTGTAAGTATTTGATCAAAATGAATAGGCATTTTTGTTAGGATAGCAACCATCCTTTTTTCTCACAAGATGATGGAAAATGCTGAGTTTGGTCTTAATGCAATGCCATGTATGGCCTCAGAACCCAATTCTGACTCAGCTATCTCTGCTACAGTTGTTACAGACAAAGTTGGATAGGACTTTGTCCTGTCTCTTCTCTCTGTTTTCTTGTGGTTTTTTTTTTGTTTCTTTTTTCAGTTTGCACCTTATTCATATAATTGAGGGCAATGAGCACAGTAAAATCACTGTATGTGTACATTACATGGCAGTGTTAAATTAAAACTCTTATAGACCAGTTGCAAAATTGTTGATTCTTCAAGGGTTGTTAGGATATGTTTTTTGAATGTGATTGACATGTGATCATGTTGATGTTCAACTGAGACACTGATACTGTACTTCATTTTCTCAATTTAGCTTTGCTATCACTCAGTGAATTATGAAATAATTATTTAGAAATCAGAGAATTTCCCAATTCTTTTCAATACTGTTAGTACATGCTCGCCCTCATAGAAGTGGGTGACATGTACAATGGCCTTACAGTCAGCTCTCTGGAATCTGTCTCAAAAGCTCCTGGCTTAAGCCTGATGTAGGTCACTAGGTTGTGTTCTTAAGCAGGACGCTTTCCTCTTGCAGATCCTCTCTCTAGCCAAGAGTATAAATGGGCATCAGTGGGAAGCCCGATGAAATGCTGGGGGGGATCTTGAGTTGGAATAGCATATCAATTAGGGGGAGGGACAATTTTTTGAGCTGCGTCATCTTACAGAACTAGGAGAAGCCCTAACTAAATGGGCCACATGGCTCAGTCACATTCAAGGGTCTAACTTGTAATGTTGGTATTGACAGAGTGCTAAATCCAAATTTTATGCCCCTGCTTTGTGTAGCTGTCTAATTTTCGTTTGAATTTGAAAGTGATTTGTGCTAGATCCACTTTGATTATTACTCATTGCCAATTTAATTTGGGTCATTGATGTATGAAATTAAGTAACCTTGGCATTTTTCTTTGTGTATCAGACTATTTCATCAATTTACTTTTGAGATAGAGTTTCAATTATGTTTTTTTAAATCTTCAGATCGACCAGTTGTTCAGTCTATTGCTGATCATCCGAAAAATCTCACACTGTCTGAGGGACAAAAAGCAACCTTCTCTTGTAAAACCATCGGCAATCCGCCCACCCTTTCACAAAAGTGGCAGTTCAATGGAGTTGACATACCTGGAGAAAGTTGCAGTGGCTGCTTAACAACAACCTTCACAAAGGCTTCAGTGACTCAGGCTGATGCAGGATGGTATTCCTGTACTGGGACCAACTCTCTAGGAGAAGGACCTCCTGCCAGAGCACAATTACTTATTAAGCGTATGTTATATTTATCTTTTTAGAGCGCTTTTCAATTGCGTGCTGCAAAACCTAAACCATAGTAATTTCGATGGCCAATCAGAAGTAAGGAAAATACCTCTCGCCCTTTAACTCCCATGTGTGATAAAGACAGAATTTCTCCTTACAATATAAATACAATATCAAGCAGACAAATGATGAGAATAGAGAAAAATATCAATCAGGGGAGTTTTAGTTGATCCAGTACCGAATTCTCTCAACTAAGATCATAAGAATTGCATAGCAGACAGTAAGGAGAATTGCTAATGAGAACTTTTAATAAGAGTTAAAGGGTTGAGAGCCATTGACAACTTAAACTAAAATAACCAAACCGCCTAAAGCGCGGGAAAACGTGGGTGACCAATTCGTGATTGGTTTTGGTGTTGTATCTGATTGGTGCAGAGAGTGGCATGAGTTTTTTGTACCAACCACAAAGCAAGTTAAAGCAAAAGCAAAGTAATCTCTGATTTCTTTCGCACTTCGTGGAAAATTGTTTTAATAGCTTCATCACCTGCAGTAATTTTTATTTGTCACTTATCTTTCTTATTTTTTTGTTTTACAAAAGATCCACCAACAATCACCTTCTATCAAAGTGCATTCACAGTTAATGAAACAAACGATGTTACAATGACATGTCGTGCAAAGGGAGTGCCACAGCCAACAATTACTTGGAGAAAGATAGAAGATGAATTAAACTGCTTGGGTGAGCACTGCATTATACGCAACATAAGTGGCAAGAATGATGGAACCTACAGATGTGTTGCTAGAAATGAACTTGGCGAGGATTGGAAAGAAATCACTCTTAATGTCCAGAGTAAGTTCTCGTGCACGTTAGATGTGTTAGTCGTGTTTTCATGTTGGACTTGGGTGTGTGATCTTTGGCAGTAGTGGATGTATCATTAAATCCAGTTAACAGTGTCTTGTGTTTGAAACTAAGGAATCCAATTTCAGTGAAATTATCAGCCGGCGGACAAGCTTTCGTCATTGGATCTGCAGTAAGAGCCGGTTTTTTGCCTGCAAATAAGTTTGATGCTTTGGGCAACGCTAGCCGGCAACAGGCCTGCAAGTGGTCTGCCAGATTCCTTGCAGACCGCTGGCTTCTTGCTTTGCTCAAGGCTTTTAACTTACTTTTGGTCAAGAAACGCGCGTGCAGGCTAAAAAATTTTATGTCCAAAAAAACCCCTGATTTCAAAGGTCGCATAGTTGCGAAAATTCATGGTGAATCACTAGAAATCAGAGACAAATGAACATTCAAATGTTTCTCACAGTTTGGATAAACTGGAGTAATTGCTTTCCAACAGTACGTCCGATCATTTCCACATCCACCCCTACAAGCACTCAAATACCTGGTGCAGTAAGCGAGCAAGTCGATTTAACCTGTATCGTTAGCGGAAAACCTTCACCGTCATTGTCATGGAAACGTAAACTTAATGGACAAGATCTGAGCTCATTGAACGATGAAAAAGTGAAAAGTATCATTAAGGAGAGAGACACCAGTGTATTGAAGGTTACAGTCAGTGCAATAGGGGAACATTTCTATTGCGTCGCCGTAAATCTTCTGGGCAGTGACAACCAGCAATACACCATAAGGGAAAGAGGTAAGTAGGACCCTGGGGTTAACTTTTTTCTCAAATTCTCTGTGTGATCCCCAGATTGTAGTCTCACGAAGGAACAGAAAAATTGGCGACTATCAATCTTTGAGGTTTGCATAACATTTCATGGCGTTATAATAGGAAAACTATGAAGAAATTGGCCGAAGTATACAAAATGTCTGTGTTAACAAATGTGAATCCCACCTTCAGATCATCACCAGCAAGTATTAAAAAAAAAGAAATACATATCGTTACATGACCGCTGAACACAGGATTCAAGGATCCTTAGAGATCTTCGTCTGTAAGAGTCTTTGGCAGGTGTTTAACTGAGGACCCTTCTGTAAACCACTTCGTGACGTGGGCATCCTCTGTAAAGATTACTACTACTTAAAGATCCTGGGAGGTTTTCCATTAGTGTGATCATGCAGCACTTAGAAGAGACCAATCCAGCGCCACCCCAGCTCATCCATCGCTAGGGAAAAATTATTTAAAATATAAACTAAGTGGGACTATCTTAAATAGATTTTCACCACCCTAAACTGAAACTGAGTCACTTTCTTGGCAGGGATTCCAGATAAACCAATTAATGTAGACGTGACGTCGTTTCGAGACCAAAATTCGAAAACTGTAAGTGTCATTGTGAGCTGGACACCTGGATACAGTGGAGGATATGATCAAGAGTTCACAATCCATTATCGCGTCAAACAAAGCAACCGAGACTTTGTGGAACAGTTTGTTGGTCACCCAGATAATAACATGCACACTATACACGGACTTTACCCGGAAACAGTGTATGAATTCTCCGTTCAAGCTTCCAATAAAGTTGGCCTAAGCCAACCGTCAGAGCCAAAGGAGTATAAAACACCGGGTAACAATAACTATATATAAACAAAGTAAATCATAGAATGTTTGGGAATGTTATGAAATATTACGTGATGGCAATGACAATTGTTCTTATGGTTTTTTGTTTGTTCGTTTTTAGAGTCCCAGATACCTCCGGACAGAGGAACTGGTATGTTTAGAAAATATTTCAGTATTAGCGATTGAAATCTGTCAATTTGTACGTCTAACGGTTAAAAATTGGGTCGTTTTACGGCTAACTGTTAACGCCATTGACACCCTCCTAGTAGGTATACCAGGTTTACAGGTGTACTTGGAATAAACTACAGCTAGCAGGACAACTTGGCATGCATGCAGACTGTTTACGCCTTCATAGCTCGTAGTAGAATTTTCCTTAGGTGCAGCGGGGAGGGGGGGAGGGTACGGCTACACCTAAGCTAAACTGTCCTTCTTCCGTCCTTTCTTTTAGTCAAAGCTTTGAGAGCATCGGACGACGCCTCTGTCATACTGGTGGAATGGACGATAGCAGATGACAAAGTAACAACTGCGACTGTTGAGATTCAGCAGAGAGGAGAGGGCTCTTGGGAGCTTGTCGATGGAGCCTCTAAGCTGAAAAGATCTGTATCACAGTTTAAAGTGAGCGATCTGAAAGCTGACAGCTCATATAGATTTAGAGTGGATATGAGACGACCAGGAGAGTCTGCTCCGGCTTATGTGTATAGTAATACAGGTACGTGGTACAATTTGATTAGCGTGCAAGCAGGTCCTAATTATGGGAGCTACAGAACGCGCGTTTCTCCGCCCTTGGGAAGATTGGAAACGTGTCGGGGAGAGGTAACACCAGCACTGACTAGCAGGCTTCTTTTCAGTCATGCTTGCCCGTAAGTCACAAGGTTTGTATGGGTTCTGGAAAACCTGGAGAGTCATGTAATTTGAGTTTGTCATTTTCCAGGACTGGAAAGTCATTGAAAAAAATTACAGATCCTTGAAAGTTCTAGAAAGTTCCGTAAAGTCCTGGAAATCTTCCCAACTCAAGCGATAAAGTTTTCAGAGTTCACTTTGTAGGAAATACCTGTAGACCGTAAGGAGAATTGATTTGGAAATCTTGGGAATGAGAGGGTTTAAGGTGAAGTTTGGAATCGTTGAAAAATAAATCTGAGACCTGGAAAAGTCCTTGAAGATTGTTTCTGAAAAAGAGAACAAACCCTGAGTTACCCATTGTACAAGGATTGCATGCGATTTCCTATACACATTAAGAAGGATTTTTTATGCATTTGTCAATGTTTTTTAGTTCCGGCTGGCCCCATTCCAGGAGCAGGAAGTGATGGTGAACCGTTAAAAGGCTGGATGATTGCTGTCATTGTTTTACTTGCTGGTCTTATTCTCCTGGCCATTCTCGTCCTGGCATTCTATTTCTTTAAGCTTCGAAAGAACGAACATAGAGGTAAGTATAAGACCGTGTAAGCAGTGGTTATAAAAAAATTGGATACAATTGGGTATTTTTGAATGGTAGGCGGGTAGTCGTGAACGCCTGGTGGGCTTTCTCTTCCGAGGGAGGTCTGGGCTTTCTAGGGAAATTTTGAAGGTTAAGACTGTTTCAGTTGTATGTATTTTCCTGAATTTTAAGGTTTATTCCAATTTGTGTTACTTCGTATTTCGTAGAAGTCAGCCAATTTGACGAGAATTTACAATTACCCCTAAGCTCGCAGTAGAATGACGCTTATGAAAAGGCCACGAGCGGGTAGCTAGTGAGTACATTTACCCGCTACCCAGCTGTTATTATAAACAACTACCCAGCTGTTATCATTAACAAGCTTTATGTGCGATGATTTGTCATTAGTATTAGAGCAACATTTTGCCTTGCCTTGCTATTCTTCATGCTGATTAATGGCTTGTACATAGTTTCAAACATTTACGTACTGAGACTTTATGAGGGCTTTTCAGATATCATCAATTTAAATTTGTTTCGTTAGATCGCACTTCCTCGTTGTGTTTCTCCCTGTGCCTTGATTTCTTTTGTTTATTTATTTTGCATCTCACTGACTTCCTTTTTTTCCTCAAGGGACAGCAGGAAAGGAAAGGTAAGCCCGCTAGGAAGGTTTATGACTATCTCCTCATCGTGAGGCAGTGGAGACGTTTAAAAGCATTTGCCAATTGAACTGAAATTAAACCATATGAACCACGTAACCATATAACAAATCCTTGTATGCTTATTAGTTACGTTTACATACGAGTTAGGGGTCTTTCTCCATACTAAGGATCATATCCAGCAGATAACACTACTTCCTATTACTACTTTGTTGATCACAAGATGTAAAGAACGCAACCGTTAACGTTAAGCATGATTCTTTAGATCAGTTCTACTCAAACCAAGTAATATGTAGTTGATTGTTATAATTTTTTGATCTAATCTGTATTATTGTTTTAGCATGTATAAAGAATCAATTAAACAAAGAGGAGTGAAAGTGAGTACATGTTCCATTTTTGGTAAATAAATTGCATGCATGTTTCAGTTTAAAAATCCTTTGCTCGACTTGTAAATTGCTTACTTTTAAAATAAATATATCATTGTATGCACCACTGTTCGTGGAAGATAGTTCATTTAAAAGTTTATCAGGGGAGACAGGTTATCTTTAAAATTCGAAAGTTAAGTCAATTTTGTTTCCAAGATGGAACTTGAAATAGATGAACCTCGCGAAATGCATTATATGGAATTGGATGACAGAACTCGTTCATCATTCATGACGGATGCCACACGACAGAACAGTCCACACAGCACTGAACAATACAGCGAGTACGCATCTCTTGATCCATCATCACGCTCCTGGGAGATTCCGAGAGAACGCGTGACTATCGAAAAGATCGTTGGAAAAGGTGCTTTCGGTGAGGTTGCCAAGGCAACAGTCATAGGTCTACACGGAGGATCTGAGAAGACAGTGGTGGCAGTTAAAATGTTGAAAGGTGTCAAGTTCTACTTCTTGCTTGAATTTGTCGAATCTCTTTGTTTAAAATTGTATGCCTCTGCATAATATTTTTCTGTATGTGTATGGGAATCATGGCCAATATTCAGCTACGTTCTTAGCTTGAGGCCAGAAGCACTATAGAATACATTTGTGTTCGTTCTTGTTTTTTTAAGAGTTCAAATGTCTTAATGTGAAATCTCACTCCCAATCAATGGGTTGCCAGTAATCGGATCCTTGTGTTTGCGCAAAGACATCTGGGATCGCCTCGGGGAAAACATTACAACTCGCTAGAAAGAAATGTATGGTGAAAGGTTGTTTCGACGTCCAAAAAACATTTTGGTGAGAGATCATCGCTTCTTTGCCGCTGTTATATCATAAGTAGGTGTGCGTAATTTTGATACAAGGGTAGCGCAAGGTTTTGTTTGAACAACCGTGAAATATGTAGTAAAATCTAGCGATTACCTTTTCTCTATGCGCAAGGGTTTAGTGAAATTGACATCGCGTAATGATCGCGAACTTTAGAAATATCAGCTATAAATCGCCAAGAAATGACTAACTAAGCCTTGTCAGTTTTATTTACTTGTGTTAAGTCTAAGTCTAGCTTTTTTATAGGCTTGGTTAACCAAAAAAACGTTACAAACAGCTAACTCGAGGCAGCAGGAGATTGAAGTTGTGTGCTTGAGCATTAAATATTATCGTGATATATGAAGTGATTAAACACCTACATTCCCTCTTTGTTTTGATCAATGAGAACGAACCATCGTTGATAATCGACTTAAAACTGAATCCCTTCTTATGCAACGATGAGTAGATCTAAATGGGTCCTTGAGGAGCAATGCACAACTGAATAAATAAACGTCCACATTTTCTGCCGGAGCTCCCGTGACCTTGCTTTTCATGACCGGCAAGATCCTTCATGGATTTCGAGGAGAAAAGTGGCAGCTCGAAAAACTTTGGATTTTTCTCGACAAATTATCACTTGGCCGAGGGATTTCCTTTTGTTTTTCATTGCTTATTTCATCCTCCTAAAGAGCAACAACTCGGTAAAACAATTGCCATCTCCGCTGACGACGACTCCTCTCCTTTGAGGAGGTATATTTTCAGACATCGTAATCTGTTTATTTAATACGTTAACAAGTATGAAAACAGGCTGTACATACAATAGTACAACGGAAAAGACTTAAGTGGGTTATATCCGTCCGATTTGAGGTTAATTTTGTAACATGTCGAGACCATAACGCGATGACGATTCCACAATTATATTACAGATCGTACGCAAGGAGTGCAGTTAATCGGTATATTTTATAACATTTAGTGGTAATGCTGACAAAAATTGCTCTTCCCTCGTATCAACATTATCTTAATCCATTTATGATAAAACTGCAGCGAAAAAGCGTTAATCTCTCTCAAAATCGTTTTGCCGGCAAGTCATTCAGTCATGGTTAAATTCCATAGCTCCTCCGCATATATCACCGTGTTCGAAATAATCAACTGTTATCTTTTATAAATTTCCGAAAAAAAATGGTTTGAAAATTAACAATCTTTCAGACGAAGCTACTGATTCAGAGAAGAAGGATTTGCTGTCTGAACTTGAATTGATGAAACAACTCAAACCTCATCCGTACGTCGTCTCACTTCTGGGGTGCGTCACGAAATCAGGTAAATTGAGAGTAGTTTAACATTTGGTTGGTTTGGATAGTTGTAAGAGTTTCTCACGTGCATATCAAGAGTATTTCTCTGTATCGACCTTTTTTTTCTCAAATAATGATAAACTTAGAATAATTGTTCTTGAAAAACGACATTTAAGTTGAAAATGGAAGGAGATTAACAAGTTGCTTTCAACATATTTTTCTCTTCTGAGGACCGTTGTTGGTGTTAATTGAATACGCTCCCTTTGGAAATCTGCTCGGTTACTTGAGAAGGAGCCGTGGATTGAATGACACTTATTACAAAGACCCGGATATCAAACCACAGACAAATCTGATGTCTGAACAGCTGATCAAGTTTGCTTGGCAAATCGCTGATGGAATGAGTTACTTGTCATCCAAATCAGTAAGTAACCAACTCATTGCTAAATTTTTCATGGTGTCACAATCGGGAAAGGCCTCCACTTTCCGATTATTCATTTCAGGTGGCTTCCATTCGGGCTCTCGATTTGCATATTTTGTGTACATCCCTTCTTGCACTGGGGAGAGGAAGGTAATATTTTTGGCAAATTTCGCCAAACGTTGGGAATAAGAGTCTTTCTCAAACGGCCCACAAGAGAATAGCCGCGAGAGAATCCGAGCTGGAGAAATCGAAGTAAATATTTTCATTTTTCCCTTTCTTGCTTTGCCCACTTTTCCTGGTTTTTCCCGTTAATTTTTGGATTTTCCTTAATCCACTGTAAATTCGTTTGCCTCATTATAGCTTATTGCCTGCTTAACGATAAGGCGTAGTTTGCTTGGAGGACTGCGGTAACGCAGAGGCAGGCAGTTCAGTAACGCAAACACCGTCAGTTTTGTGTTGTGTTTAAAGGCTCGCGCTCGCCTATCCCAACAAAAACTGTGGGAACTTTTGTTATTTTTATAGTATGTACTTTATAGGTTTTATGGTGCTATATAACTGGATCCATCTTGCTATGAAGTTGATATTTTTTAATTAGTCCACGCTAATCGTCTTTGCGGGTCGAAGTCATATAGACATGGTTTCTTCCTAGATTATTCACCGAGACCTTGCGGCCCGAAATGTGTTGATGGGTGAAAAAGAAACGTGTAAATTGACAGGCTTAGGTATGGCCAGAGATGTGCAACAGGAAAGGATTTACGAAAGAAAAACAAAGGTACTAAACCACTCTCCTTGAGAATGCAAAGTGATGAACAAGGCTGTGCAGATATTACTTTATAGATTCCCAAAGGTGAATAACTTGGTAATCCAATTGCTCTGCTATTCTAATTTAGATATCAGAATCGAAGTTAATGTACTAATTTTTAATGTTGCAACATAACTAAAAGCCTTTTATTCAGGTTTTAAGCCAGTTCGTTGTGACGTTAATTTAGGGGCCTCTTCCTGTAAAATGGACTGCCATTGAAGCTCTCTTGTATGGAAAATATACTACGAAAAGTGATGTGTGAGTATACGCTTGAGTTATTTAGACCTAATGAAGACTTCTCAGGGTGAACCGTATTCCTTTGGCGGGAGTAAATTTATGAATGCGAGTAGTGGGGAGGGGTGGTCAGTGACGTTGAACCAAAGTCATCTTATGGGGGAGAGTAATCACGTGAGACCACGAGGATCTTGTTTGTCCTTACTTCCTGCATCATCCATGCTGTGAATTTTGTAATACTTGTAAATAGTTCGCTAGGCCGAAATTTTCAAAGATTTTCCATTGAAAGCCTTAAATCTCAAAATTTTGCGATTTTTCTGAACAGGTGGAGCTATGGGGTTCTTCTCTATGAGATTTTTACAATAGGTGAGTCATCTGGGTGGTCAAAGACCATGTCATTAATGAAGCCGCCAAGTTTCATTTTAAAGCTGCGTTAACTCTTGGAATAACAATGGCTGGCATTTCATGTGCAATTTTTTAAGGCTTGGGTGAGTTTGCCTGTAGTTCTTACCTTAAGGAAATTAGAACAAAGAATATTTACATACTTCTATGTTGTGACCAGTCTGTAGCTTTTACGGGTTGGTCGTTTCCATGAAATAAAAAAAATAATAAACAGTTCAGTATGATTATGGATGTGGTGTGTATGGCTCTATTTCAACCAAGAAAGATCCAAAAAGGAATACGCTTGGGTATGTGTTAGTTTGCTTTTAGTAACAGCAAACGGTCTCTTTCAGGTGGTACACCGTATCCAAAGGTGGATGGCACGAAAATTATCAAGTCACTACAAGAGGGATACAGAATGCCTAAACCACAGCACGTGGATGATGATTTGTATGAGACTCTTATATTGCTGTGATTTCATGACGCCAGTTATGTTGTGGTGTTCTGCTGCGCGCATGATCTCGTTTTTGATTTTGAACCTATTTTATTTCTGCAAGCACCTCTGAGATTCAACTATAAAAAAAAAAACTTGAAAAGTGTACAGAATATTACTTTACTTGAAAATTGCACAGATTTCTTCCTCCTGTCGGTACATTTTAGAATGCGCTTTACAGATTAAAGTCTACTCAAACTGAAGACTTTCAGAGTCAGTTCTCCCTATGCCAAGATATCAATGAGCCATACGAGACTGATTGCATTCATTGCATTCATGATTGCACTCTCGATGATTTAGAATCGCAATTATGACAAAGTGCTGGGAGGACGATCCCGAAAAGAGACCAACTTTCCAAAGTTTGAAGAACGAACTCAAAGAAATGGAAAACCAACGCAAGGTATGATTGTGAAATCTACATTAGAAGTACTTCATTTCAATGTTGGAAGGGTTGGCTTGGGGATCAGGTTTTTGGGGCCAGGTCAAAGTGTGTAACATTTGAACAGATGCAAATCATATAAGTATCAAGATTAATCTCCCAGATTTTTTTTATACTCTGGCGATGCCTTAAACTGATCCCAATCCTGTACCTTTGGAGAGGCGGCTAACTCGCCATGTCATCTCTGGTAAATTGTGCATGTTAAAGCGAGAGGGCAAAGTTGAAATGTGTTGAACAAAGAACCACGCCGCATCCATGAAGACGGAAATAAATCTAGTATTATTTGATCTAAACATCCACAATTTTCGCCGTTTGCTGATTGAAAATTGGTGTTTGTTCGTAGTTTTAGAGTATTTTTAGTTTGAATTAGATATCGGCTCTTATTGTACTCTACAGAGGCTGCTGAACTTGGAAACTTACGACAACCGACTCTACGAAAACGTCAAGGATTTAGAAGCATAGTCGAGCAGGATATAGAACTTCTCCTAAAATGAAAAATGAACCAGATCTTGCAGCCCTGCGTCCTGCAGAGGCCTTGGAGAGATATTGCTGCAGAGGACTTCAATTACATTTTTAGCGTAGACGTGGAATTAAATAGAATTAATTAGTTAGGCAGAATTTTTAAATTAGACCTCCCGAAGGTAATCTGATTAAGAGAATTACTAATGATAGAGGAATCTTAAGCTGACTCGCTAAGATTGCGTTGTGCATCCCTATTGCACGCAGATAATTGAATGCATAATAAATTAAAATGAGAGCTTTTATTTTGCCCAAACCTGTAACAAAGGTAAATTGCGAGGTTCCAGTAAACGAACATGCTGGTCCGCCTTTTTGAGTGTACGATAAATAGGCAAAAACTCTGATAGCAGAGGTTTTACCCTTGACGTTTTATTAAATTGAAAGTATCAGTTGCCGAGGAGGAGTATGAGACGGTCCATCTTTCTAAAAACATCGATGCAAGATCGGGCAATTTGAAATCAATTTAATAAAGAATTGTTTCAGATATATTCGTAATTCTTATTTTACAATAACAATTTTTTAATGGTTATAAAAAATTGAACACTTCCTGCGCATATTATAAAGGAACAATTAGAACAACAGGCATTCAGGGCGAAAACAAGCTCGGTGACCCGAAGTCTTTATTGCGTTTTCCAGCGCTTTATTCATGACTTACAACTGTGGCAAGTTTGATAAAATCTGAGTCATAAATCCCTGCCGAAGATTTTACCCTATTATGGAGAAATACAGCATTAACTCCATCAGTCAATGTTATGGATGGCTGTTCCCTTTTCACAGATGCTATCTCACTTTAGGAGGTTTCAATGCCTTTGAAGGATTTTTCTGCAGACAATTTTGCCTGATCACCAAGATTTGTGTCTGAAACTAAAAAGCAACTCAAAGAAAGTATGCATGAATAAAATGTTAAGCACATTGACCTTTCCCTAAAAGTGTTTTGATGTTTTTGGCACATGGGCCTTTGTACTGACCTGATTGGTTGGCACGACTCCAGATCACGTTAAACATTTGAGGAAAGCCTTTAAGGAAAAAAGCAACCGTCTTGCTAAAATTTTCAGTGTTCTCTCATTCTCTATTTCCAAATCATCTTCAATCATTTCGTCTGCTTAAATTTCTCACATTTTGCTATGATTCGATTCCATCACTATTATTCAGAGAAAAGAGGTAACGGTATTTCAATTTTTTTTCTGTCATCACTAAAGGACCATGCTATGAGAACTGTACTTCAAACGATTCTTTTATGGTCTCTCCATGATCAGAAGTCCTTCTTTCACATGTATACTTTGCACTTTTTGCACCTTTAAGAACACTAGGATCTGCAAAGGGAAATAAAAAAAAATTAATCATCATTCTTTCTACTTCCCTCCCAACTAAGGCGATAAGTTTTTTTTTCTTGTCCGTAGAGGTCGTTCTGAAATATCTAAATCATGAGTTGAGTTATGATCTTTTAACATTTGTAACGAAATTTGTTACAAAAATCAGATTTTTGACTTGGGATCAAACAGAAAAGAAAATATCTCTTCGAATTCTCTTTGTTAACTCTCTTAGAATTACAACTCTCTTAGAGCCATATTGACCAATTTGAATTGCTACCACCAGTTCTTCTAATGTTTGCTGTTAAAACACCAAATAATCGACGTGTTTTTGTTATGGCTACCAGAACTGGTGCGGAGTAAAACCAAAGTTTGCAATGGCTCAGTGGAGATCAACACAATTGGTTGAGAGGAACCTCAACTAAGACTGCGAACCAGTAAAAGAGTAACTTTTCAAATTAATATCCACGTAGATGTGTAAGTGGCAATTTGCACGGGCCTATAATGACGTGTATAAACCAGTACCCTCCAATTTTGATATCTCTAAGATTTTTTGGCAAGCTGGTTACAGTAAGTGTTTGTCGTCGGAGATTGATAATTAGTCTAGGACTTAATGACGATTTCAGCCTTGAATTCCGTTCCGATTACATTTTGGGTTCTAAACAGGTATTGGCTTGGCTTACAACCATAATTAGGGACTGGAAAATTTTGCTCTCGTCTGATTTGCACAAGTACTTTTGTATTCGCTTTCTTAAGCTCGTTGCATGAGCATTTTTTGATACAAAAGTCAACTTATTAGAGCTCTCATCACCTTCAAGTCCATGACTCACCATACGTATTTTACTGAGAAATTTTACTTAAAGGACGTTAATGGCTATCACAAGCTCATTTATAGCGTAGTTGTAAAAAGTCAAACCTTAAAATGAAGGGTTCACGATGGCTAATGTATTGATAACACTTGTCATAATTTACGATTTTCGTTTTCATACGTACCTATCGTCTGCAGAATCCCCTTGTTTCCTATAAGTACAACAAAGATGATTTTAACGATTTTAATTTTTTTCTACGTTACCCACTAAAATACGTGAATACCAAATAGTCTATTAATAAAAGTATTTTGATTGTAGAAAAAGATAAAACAGGTGAGAGTTGCTATCTGCAGGTTAATTCCATTGCGATGACAACGGATTTTGAAAAAAAAAAGGGTCCTCCCCAGTTTACAGGGAAACAAAAAATTCAATTCCAATTTGTCTCACTCGTGGCTTAGACAGTAAGAGCACCTATTTGGGTTATGAGAGGGATGATGTCAATTTAAGTAAATGTAAATCTGTGGAGATCAATTCGTCGCTTGTTGATGTTATTGCCAAGAAGACCTACAGCGCTAAGCACACGACGATTTTTATAAATAGAAACAAATTAATAGAATAAGAAAGATGATTAGTTTTGAGCTCGGTAAAGAAATAGAGAAATTTTCTTTTCGTTTTTCCACGAGCGCGGGAACAAAAAATCGAGGTCTCCGCGTGGAATCGAACCTTAAAATTTCGGATTCTGAGCTCCGATGCTCTACCACTGATTCACAGATACACTAGCTATGATGAGGAAGGCGGTTTATTACGAAGTTCGTATATGACACGCGTCCTGCAGATTTTTCCCTTTGTCCCCCCGCGTTGTGACAAGACGAAAGAAATATTTTTCTACAAACAAATCAGTTCCTTTTGAAAGAAATGTCAAGTTAAGCAAAGGGGTAATTAACCTAGCTACTTACCAAAACCTTTCACCCCATTAACACGTTAATATTAACTTCTTAAAAAATATTACCACTTTTCCCCCTTTTTTTCTATGAATATTTCTTTCTCAGTATTCAACTACACTGTCGAGTTTTCCTTCGAGGGCGAAAGCAAGGTGGATTTTAGTTAAGGGGGTGAAACAAGGTCCGAATATGCCAGCGGTTGTTGAAATACACTCATTTAATGTACATCTTCGATCCTTACTACAAGTCTGTAGACTTTTCTCATTTCCATTCGATGGTTCATGTCTTGTATCTGGTTATGAATAGAAGAATAAGATAATTAAAATTATTTTGTTACTTCTTTCCTAGCATTTTTCATCAACGTTTGGCCCGCGCTAAATCACTTCTGAAAAAAACACTCGCTTTATTTTTATTGGACAAAGCCCTAGATAGAAAGACAATTTTTTTTGACAACCATCCTAACCTTCGCTGTTCCTTGGTAACTACTTCTTTGTTTTTTCGAAAATTATGTTGTTTCGTTTCGTTTTTTCCCTCGACGAATGTTTATTTCTTTTTGCGTTTAAAAAAAAATCAGAAATGTAAAGTGATAATGAGCCCGTACACCAAACCCTCTGAACCTACAACCAGGTTATAATCCTTTTAAAAAACATTCACTTTTTTGCCGATTTCTTTTCAAGATAAACATTCTAGTACTTCACTTTTATAAATGCGGGGGGAGGGGGGGAGGGAAGAAGGCTAGAATATGTTGTTGACAAATACTAACTAAATGTCTGTCTTCGATACATACGGCGGATCTGTAGACTTTTTTCATTTCCAATCTGGTGTTCAGCTACCACATCTTTAACTCCTGGTTACAAATAGAAGAATTTGACATTAGATTCGTCAACGTTAATCCAGCTCTAAATCTTGATCACTGTTGAAAAATTACTCGCTTTTCTTTTTCACGAGACAAAGTCCTGGTTAGTGTAAAGAGAAAGAGGAAAACTTCTGGACGACTTGCAAATAAAAACTTGATATACTTGGTGACTCAAGCTGGAAAAATGATAAAACTTGTAGTGCAAAGAAATTGCTACATCACCATTAGATGGATCTGAAGTACTTGGTCGATGGCCTGAAAGCAAAGTTAAAAGTGAAAATACTATTTCGTTTGTTTTTTTACTCTCCAAATATTTTACTGCCTTTTCTCTGAAAGAACACAGAGGAAGACCAAAATTTACCCTCTACGTATTTTTCGGTCAATAGGGGTATTGGAATAAAAGATATTGTCCATTTTTAGTTTGTTTATTCTCTCTTAACCCATTGAGGAATTTATTAATGGAGAGAATTGAACAGCTCTTGGACTCTGGGAATGGGAGCATCACTAAATTTGAATTCTATTTTGCTTTGCTGAATAAAAAGCGAGAAAGGAATCCAACTTTTCTATCACTTTTCAATTTTTTCCCCATGAAAATTAAGCAAATAGATGAACTCTTCAGTTGTACCTGTAAGTTCGCATACTTACGTCGTTTCCTTCGTCTCCAACAAAACCAGAGTATACAGATCATGATAAAAAGCACAGATCCTGTCGAAGCACCGACTATAGTCCATTTGGACCCTAACGAAATAAATATTTGCTGATGATTTGTAAATTTCAAAAACAAAATTATGCATTTTTTTCTGAAGCAGAAACCTCCACGAACCCACTCCAACCGCCTAAAGGAGGGTATTTAACAATTATTCGCCTCAGGCTCGGTGAATATTCAGGTGCCTTCTAATTCCGTTGTAACTATTCATTTTGCTCTTGAAACCATTCTGTTTTCATTGTCTTGATTACTCTTATCGAGATAAAGAGCCAGTTTCCACTCGCATTTGATAAGTTCATTTAATTCAATTCGGAACTGAATTTTTTGTATCCAGTTCATCACTTCCTAGGTAACACTGACAATACCCGAGTCAGCTATTTTGAAATTTAGCGCTTCTACTACAGTCACCTCGCGCTAGGTGATTATCGCGAGATATGACGCAATCCTCGACCAATCAGAGCTCGCGCATCTTTCTAATCACCGCAGCAATTATGCTAAAGATGTATATTCTATTTCGTTGGTTAAAGAGTGGACGCTGCTTCTGCGATACCTTTTTGTAATCAATGATAAAACCACTTATACATAAACTACCTGTAGAGTAAAAAAGAACCGCTTTTGGCTCTAAGATGGGACCAGAGCTCAAGTTGCATGGATCTAGTTATAAAGTCTACATTGTATGCATTACCATGTAAGTGGTACCATTGCTATTTTTTCATTTCTAAAAAACGAAGGCTCTTATTGGTTAGTTTTGATCCCGCAGCTCATCTGTGCAGCAGAAATACAAAATTTCAATAACTGCCTCAGAAATTTTGCTAGCATTCAGCAATGCATTACAAATTTTCAAGTGAATAGTGCCTACCAGAAGTGGGCTCTTCTTATTACAATTAGATTACACCACAACTAAAATTGAGGGGGGAAAGGTTTATTTGCATTAAATTATCTATTCCGCGACGATTAAGCTTAAATGCCCAAAGGCGGCCCGAGCGCGTTTTCATGAATTAATTGTTTGCTTTTTCTCGAGACGTGAGATTGGGCCGCCTGTGAAATGCCCTGCTTGTGGGGTCCAGACCCGGCCACTTTACAGAATAATAGTCAAATACCTGAAGAGGATACCCTCGGCGATCTTGTCGTTTGATGAATGTAATCTTGAAGTGCCGCTATCGACGATGGGTCTATAATCAATTTTCCAAGTTTTCTGTCTCGTGCGGCGTGTTTCAAGACAGAAATGATCCTGTCAATATCCACTGCTTGCTCGAATCTTAAATTGAAAATTACAACCACGCTGCCACTTCTGTTAAAAGAAAGAAAATTAGACACAAGATAAGAAAAATAAATATACGTAAAATCTATAGTAAAATCTATATTATAGGGATTTTGGAAAAAGCTAAGAGTCACCCACTCGAAACGTACGACTTCAGTGCTGTTGTAGCTGTGATCATTTCTAAAGAGATCTTCAACCTAAAAAAAAATGAAAACAATTTGTCAACACGGATTTGTAATCTTTTTAGGATCTTAAGGATATGTCATTCTTTAGCATGCCAATAAACTAAAAACTTACCGCTACAATAACCTGCTTTGAGAGGTTCTGATATCTTCTGCTTTCTTTGTTTCTGAGACTTATGTCAAATTTCTCGTTAGTGATTGTCATCTTTGCATTAACCAAATTACTGGCTCTTTCTAAAGAGGAAAAACAAAGCTCTCAGTCCTCTCAGCAAATCAAAATATAGAAAGAGCAAAAAAACAACAAAAACCAGGAAACATACAGGAGGAATTAAAGCAGCAGTGTTGCTAACCTTGTTTAATAGTCGCAAAATGTATATAAATTACTGAACCTTTTCCAGAGTCACATTGGAAAAAACAAACGCAAAATTGTGAAAGCTAGGATCCGTCAAAGAAATGGAATTTTAAAAAATAATGAAACCATTTTGGACAATGCTTAAAAAAAATACTTTTTAATAGAAATCTCACAGTCAATAGTACTCAACCATTCTCTGTGCCTGCGGTCCATGACTAAGAAGAAATAGTCTCATCAATATTTGCCCACTTAGAAAAGGTAAAAGTTGAGCTGTCAATTTTCTTTAGACTAGAAGTGAAATAAGAGGAACTTAAGCAAGAAACAACGGAAGTGTTTTTGATGCTACATTTCTGTTTCGATAAAAAAAAAACACTTTAAACTGCTGCAAAATTAAATATCATAAGAGAGCAGATCTACTTACCTGCAACATCAAGATATGTACGGGCAGTGGCTGGAGAGCCAATTCCATTTTTTGCCGTGCATTTATACCATCCTTGGTCGCCGAGTCTCGCTGAATCAAAATAAAGTTCACTTCTACGTCCGACATTTTTTTCGTGATTCCAAGATATAGTCGGTACTGGATTTCCAATCGCTCGACAGTAGAGGGATACCTTTTTACCCACCTGAACTGTCTGATTGCTAGATATATCTGTTATCTGGGCAGGATCTGTTGAGAAGCAGAAGTTCGAGATTTTATTTTTCTATGTTGTGATAAGTACTTGCAAGGAATTTGTTGACGTGAATTAGCCGGGCACCTTCAGTTACCCTGGTTACTTACAGTTTACATCAATCATGCAAAATTCCGTGCTGTTGTTTCCAATGCCATTCCAAGCAAGGCACTCGTATATGCCAGAGTCACTGCGTTTGATGTCTTTTAAAAACAGTACTCCACTGTTTGAAAGTGTCTTTCTTGTATCCGCTCTGTTCCATGCAACACTTGGCAATGGGTCGCCGGTAAAATTACATAGAAGTTTGACAGTATGACCTTCCGTAACTGCACTAGGGCATTGCTTTGATGTTTTAGTTGGCTGAACTACAAGAAAAATAGAAAAACAAAATCAGAGGAGAAGCTCATCAGCTTTTCGGATTGGCCTTCTGAACAGCAGGGGAAATCATAAAGGAGCTGAGGAATACGGATGTAATTACAAGAAGAAACGTCTAACCACAGCCTTTTATTTGGGTACAAGATGAGAAAAAGGAGAACGAGAAAGAAGAAAAAAAATAGAGTTCGATTGTTTGTTCTCGTAATCTCATCATAACAAAAAGTCAAAGTCTCCAACCAAGAAAATGAAATAAAATCAATCACTTCTCCTCAATTTTATCTGCATTTGTTGAACTAATTATCCTATAAATTGTCGGCTGTAGGGGTCTATATAACCCTTTCGTATCTTATGTTTATTACAGATCGGCACAAGCTAAAGACACTCTCCAAATCTAAGAGCACGTTACAGCTACTGAATATACTTTGAACAGAATACGAAATCAAAAGACACGATAGAGACATAAGAAAATTCTAAATGTCGTAAGTATGAATAAAAATACTACTAAGGCACTTTTCCGCTGAAATTAATGTTTTTTGTCCTTATTTTAGTCCACAGAATGTATAGCACGATAAGATTTGATACAGGTTTGTTTAAATTGATCTTTAGAAGATCTTGGAGCTCGAAACCCGACGCAATAACAAATATTAATAAGGAGATAAAATACCACTAAAATAATACTGCAATAATAAAAATGACAATTATTATTTTTATTATTATTATTGTTATTATCATTATTGTAGTAATCATCAATTCGTAATTTGATCATAGGGTATTGTCTACCAGCTCATATAGCGAATCACCTTCTATGATAAATAATTCACCCAAGTGATGCTAGGCCGAAGATTTTTTTTTCGGCTTGAAGCAAAAGCTTCTCCTGTGCAGTGGCAAGGAGACAAAATAAGTATAGTCTATGCATATGTCATTTTGGTAGAAAAAGTAAAAAAAAAAAAATGCCCAAGGTCATGTGATTCAAGTTTAGCCTCTTAGGCGGTCTGAAGTAACATTGAAGTCCGGTCATTTTTTACTTGAAAATAATGTTAGAGATTGAAAGAAATTTTAGTAAGCTTTCCACAGTATTATCGTAAAGTGGGATAGACATTGATTATAATTAACCAACTCGACGCAATGTGCATCGTTGACTATTTATAATCTCAAATCCTACGCGCGCTCATGGAATAATGAAGTTAAACAAAAAAGGCACAACAAGTAAGAGAAATCGGATGCTGGTAGAACCTACTTACGAAAATTGAATGCTACTCGTAGTCGAGCTAAGTTGTTATGGTGGTTGCGATGCCTTGACATACTAGAAGGAAAGAATTTAAGTTATTTCACATTATATAATGCCTTTGCGGTTTTAATTAAGGGAGCGATTTCGTGATAAAGTAAACCCCAAAAATTGCCCTGCAATTATTACCATTACATTTTTGGTTATGGAAATATCACTAGCTTTCAGGGATAGAATGTTCTTTCATAAAAAGTAAAATTAATCGGCTTTCCAGTGGAAAAGCCCAAGTTGAAAATTCCACCGTGGTCCTCGCCTATCTTCCAAAAATAAAGGGGTAAGTTTCTAAAGAAACTGTGTTGCTGCGTCGGTGGGAGAGTATAACAGGTAATTTAGTGTTAGCCACCGTAAGGGTTAAAAACTTCCGACGTTTCGGCGCAGGCGCTTTGTCAGGCACCGACCATCTAAATAAAGGTCCTCCGATGAAACGATTTGAGAATTTTGTAAATTGAAAATTACGACCATTTTTGTTTTTTATAATCATGATTCAACGCATTTTTCCATCTTAAGAGTTAGCGCCAACGCACTTTACGATTGTTATTTGGGGATTGTCGATTCATTTATTTTCACTCATCAATGTAGTCGGCTTTTCTTGTCAGTAAAGGGCTATTGTGTTTATATAATAAACAAAGTAATACATGGTTGCTTGTAGATATGGAATTTCTCTTCCCGTGTTTACTCGACAGCTCAAGAAAAAAAATCCATATCCATGCGCGCCCATGTATTATTCTCTAATTATCAAAACCGCGTCTTACAGTCGCTTGTTGACATTTTAGCGCGACGATCTTTGTTTACTGAGATTTTTCTTCATGAAATCAATCAGTGAATGACCTCCTATGGCTCGTGTTTCACATCAAAATCGTAAAAAATGGACACGATTCACAACAGTGTTGGGTTTGCCTCTCTTACTACTAGTTTTTTTTCAACGATGCTAAGAATAAGCTCTAAAAAGAAGGTGAAATCAGAAAATCCCGCGATGTTTTCGGTTTCACTTCTTAAGACTGCTTCGAAAGCTGGCAAAAAGTCACGAAATCACTTACTGTCAAGGTCTTAGTGCCGTTACTTGTTTTCTTGTCACTCCGTTACTCGTTACTGCGCTACTCTGTTTAGTGACATCCCCCTCATCAGAGGGGAGGCCCAAGTGAAGGCAACTCCGGCCTTTTGTTCGTTTGTTTGATCTTTTCAATTTTGCAGAGAGCAAACACTTTCGTGTTTTGATAATACAGTATTTAAAAAGGATTAAAATACTTTGTTGATTCCTTTCTTTTTATGTGTATCTCATTTTTTCTCTTCATTTGTTTCCATAGAATATATAAGATATTCGTTAACTCTTAGAAAGTTCTCAAATTTCATTCACGCACCAAACGATATCTGAACGTAAAAACCGCAAAGATTCGGAGAATTATCTTTCCGAGAAAGAAAGAGCCAGTGTAGCTATTTCTTGTAATTTACCGAAAGTAAACTCCATAAAAGTATCTCAGTGCACTTTTCTTTTTGTTTTCCTTTCACCTTTTTCCGAAATGATTCTACAGATTTAAGTTCCTGAGAAAAAAGGAGCAGGCGACCTTTCAAAACAATTCAAGGCCGGCGAAGATCCTGGTGGACATCAGTTTAAGCGTGACTCTTACGTCAACTGTAGACTGCACACATAAGCTCTGATTCTGTTCTCGCTATTCCTGTTATCCGTAGTTAGACGGTGTACAATCTAACTTTAAATATACACAAACAGCTATGAGCAGACAGCAAAAGGTTTTTTAATTCTTTTTTCGTTTGCTCCTAATGTCATTTTTCGACTCGAAAAGGCAGTTCTCAACTATTGTTTACAATCGCATGAGATGCATCAAAGCTAAGTATTAAATTGATTCGTTTGCACTTGATTAAGCACAATGCGGTTTACTTACATAGGACTCTGATCTTCACATCTTTGTCGATTTCAAGCAGATCCTGGTTGGCTATCTGAAGGCGATATGTGGCACTGTCTGATCTTTGCACAGCAACAAGTGTAACCAAAGCTTGATCATTTGAAATGTTAAAAATAAATCGATCGCGAAAGGCTGAATCCACATCGACAGAGCTGTTAGACGATGACTTTAGAGCTATCAGCTTCTCTGATCGGCCATCACCGATTCGAAAAAACTTGGCAAATGTCAGTGAACCATCAATCTTGTAGCTCCATTGTAGATTAAGATTCTTATTTTCGATGACAGAGGTTGGATTTGGAGGAGAGGAAATCCATACAGACTGTAGCTCTAAGGAAATTCAAACGATGCAAGTTAGGCTAAATCAAAGTAATCTTAGTATTAAGAAATTCCTAAAGAATGAAATGCATTATAAGTTTCATTGCAGGACAAATGTACGCTTCCGCACTATAGCAGATAAAAGTGAAATCAGCGAGCTGACGCCGCATTACGCCACGTGGCAAACAATATTGTTGGGCATTTTGCCGAGCATATCTCGCCTAACAACTGACTAGCGTCAGGGACAAATAGTGGAATGAAAGTAAGAATTATTATACATGTGCAATCAAACTAAGTGAGGTCAAATTAAGGCCGAGTAAAAGGAGAGAGTATAATTTTGAAACATTCATTGAAGATCGATGATGTCGAAGAAGCCTGTTTAATAATTAATTTAACGTTGAATCTCAATTAAGTAGCTTTGAAGTCTTGTCATTTCCCCGAAGTATATTTCACAGGCATTTAGGCCTTGCTCGAAAAAACAGAAACTGTACACTTCGTCAAAGTAAGGAAGTAGCTAAGAACCTTAACAGAAACAATCTCCAACAACTTGCCTACTTTTTCCAAACTTGTTAGTATCCACAAAAGTAGTGTACATAACGATGGTTTTGCTCTCAAACTCCCAAGGAAGCATCCCATCCTTGGCTTTTTCTGTCCCTGTATGAGCAAAATGTTGATCAGATGATGATGTCTTCAATATTGACGTGCCTTGAGTGTTCCTTAGGGATTCAGTTTACGAAAGCGAAACATAACCTGACTCTCTCGAAGACGCCCACAATTCCTTTCGAACCGAGGCAGGGCGGAAAAAATAAAAGGAAACTGATAGCACAAGTACGAGTCGTGAATTCATCGGGTTATACGGCTGCTGACGAATCAGGCTGTACTTCGAGATCTGCGGAGTTATCCAGATAATTTCTCTCGTGAGAAATTTAGACCACAACTTGCGTATTCCTTGAGGCACGTTCGCTGGTAATCGGAGACTGATGCAATCGGCTTGTTTTACAGATCAGTATCTTGAAGTTAGAAACTGAAAGGTCACCTTCTGGGAAAAAAAATTCATTTCTGTTTTAGTTAGCGATTCGTTTACAAGGCCATCTTTTTATGATCTCGCTACTTTTCCATGGATGGAATTCAGTTCATGGCCATGTTGCTTTTTCCAGCTCTGGCAGGTAAGCAAAGCAGACAAAGAAGTTTACTAACATAGATGTCGAGTGACGGTTTCCTATATTCAGATCATTTTCGTTCCTACTGCTTAAATTCTTAATTGCATTCTATTTACCATGAAATTTAAAAGATCTTTTCATTTAAAACAAACGTAAAATCGTAATTAATTTAAATAATTTATCGCTTGGTGAACTGCTTAGAGTAACCGGAAACTTCACAGTGCAACTGGTCTATCGATCGAGAAGGTATTTCCAAATTATCTGGATTGACACAAGTAGAAAACTAAGCCGGAAACGCCATGATCAAACATAAACAAAAGCTAGGAATCTAAAGTTTTTACTTTAGCTTTATTTAGCTAAATCAAAATCTCATTTAAAACTTCTAACGAATCACTTTTTAACATTGAAGATTAAAATTTAATATTTTGCGAATATTGAGGAAACTACATACCAAATAATATGTTGTCAGTAAATTTAATTTCCACATATTTCGTTCGAACCAAAAAATGTAAAAAAGAAAAATGCCTTTATTGTAGAATGAGCAGTTTCAGTTTTTGACCATTTACTTAGAATGAATCTTTTTGCTACCTTCGGCTGATTGAAAATGTTGTTGGGTCGCAATGATGAGAGACACTGGCTGTAGAGCGCATCGCATTTATCGAATGGTACCAATGACTCTCGACCTGTCCCTTTTAGCCTTCTTTAATCTCTATTCTCTAATACAATACCGATTACAGTGCATTCATTTCAGTCTTCTATTTAACTACTCTGACTTTGACCGAATGATCGACCTTGTTTCACTCTTAGTTTTTTTCGGGAAACTCTAATCGACCTACCTCAGCCCCGATCGATGACCCTCTTGTAGGTGTCAAATATATAGAACTCGCTAATATACTCACTATCAGTAAGCAAAGTCAATTGGGCATGCTGCCTATTGAATGAGTTGCCAGTAATCGGATCCTTGTGCTTGCGCAAAGATTTCTGAGATCGCTACGGGGCAAACATTGCAATTCACTAAAAAGAAATTTATGGCACAAGGTTGTTTCGACGTCCAAAATAACAATTTTGGTGAAGATCACCGCTTTTTGCCGCTATTTATCAGAAACAGCTGTAGGCAATATTGATATCGGGGTGGTGAAAAACCGTGATATATGTAGTAAAATCTAGCGATGAACTTGAACTTTTCTCCATGCACAAGGGTTTTGTGAAACTGACATCGCACAATGATCTCGATCTTTGGAAATATTGGTGATAAATCGCCAAGAAATAACTAAATGAAGCCTTGTCAGTTTTATTTACTTGTGTTAAGTCTAACTCTAGCTTTTTTCTTGGTTTGGTAAAACAAAAAAACAAAACAAAAAAAACGCCACAACAGCTACCTCGAAGCAGCAGGAGATCGAAATTGTGTGCTTGAGCATGAAATGTTATCGTGATATATTGAGTTGTTAAACACCTGCACTACCTCTTTGTTATGATCAATGAGAGTGAACTAGCGTTGATAATCGGCTTAAAACTGAACCTTTTCTTATGCGTCGATGAATAGGTACAAATGGGTCGCTTGAGGAGCGATGCACAACTGAATATATATACGTCCACAATTTCTACCGGAGTTCCCGTGATCTTGCTTTTCCTGACAAGATCCTTCGAGGAGTTCGCGGAGTAAAGTGGCAGCTCAAAAACCTTGGGATTTTTCTCGGAAAATTGTCACTTGACCTTGGGATTTCATTTTGTTGTTTATCGGTTCTCTCCTTTGAGGAGGTATATTTCAGACATCGCAATATGTTTATTTAATACGTTAACAAGTATAACAACAGGCTGTACATACAAAAATAAACTGAAATGTCTTAAGTGGGTCATATTCGTGCGATCACTTAAGGCTAATTTTATAATATGTCGTAACCATTACGCGATGACGATTTCAAAATTATATTATAGACTTTACGAAAGGAGAGAAGTTAATCGGTATTTTATAACATATTTAGTGTCAGTGCTAACAAAATCCATTTATAATAAAACTGCGGCGAAAAAGCATTAATCTCTCTCCAAAATCGTTTTTTTGAACGTCGAAACAACCTTTCGCCTTAAATTTCTTTCCAGCAACTTGCAATATTTGCCCCGTGGCGATCCCACAAATTTTTGGCACACAAGGATCCGATTACTAGCAACTCATTCATTGACCTTGGGAGATTATACGTTTGATGTAACATTTCTCCCAACGCTTTTACAAGAAACTGACAAATGAACAGTAACGTACTTGACACTTCCGATCAAACGATCAATCTTTCACTGGCAAAGCCAAAACAAGAACTTCAGTGTGGGTCTAGGCAAGTACAGTAGGTAAACTCAGCACTTTCACTTATGAAAGTTAGACAAGCAGTCACGATTAAGAATCTCATCGCCTTATCTTAAACCCAAATAAATACCGTCTTCGAATTCAAATAGTAAATAAATAGAGAATAATACATGGGCGCGCGTAGATATGGAATTTCTCTACGAGTGTTCGCTGCGCTCACTCGTGAGCTATCGAGTTAAACACGAGAAGAGAAATTCCATATCTACAAGCAACAATGTATTATTTTGTTTATCATATAAAAGCAATAGCCCTTTTACGGGAAGACAAGCCGACTTCATCAATGAATGAAAATAAATGAATCGACAATCCTTGAATAACAATCGTAGAGTGCGTTAGCGCTGACTCTTAAGATGGAAAAGGGCGTTGAATCTTATTACAAAATCAACAACGGTCGTAATTTTCAATTTACAAAATTCTCATTTATTGACTTTGTCCTTACCGAAAGAAGAAGTCTTTCAGGTAAACGGCCAAAATCGGCCAGAGGCAAATCTTCCAGTTGTCGATTTTCATTCTCAGCCGTCAGAAATGCTAACGCCAAAGCCACTGAATACGCAACTTTCGGTTTGTCTTTTACTATATTGGTTTTCTACCCCTTCTAGGAAAGTTTAAATATCATTGTCCGTCAGCGATACGGATTTTTTTTAGTGTCTTAGATGAATGTTAAAACGAATGCAAGGAGAAAGCCTGCAGAAGTACATACAAACGAATGGTTTTGATTTTTTTGTCTACCAAAACATCGTGTAGCAATCTTTAATGATTAGCCGTCTAATGTAATGAGTATGAAATCAAACATGGCAAAACTTCCCGAAAATGTTTCAAAAATTATCGTGACTTCTTTTAACACTGAGCGAAAATTTGAGGACTTGACAAACGACTTGACTCCAGTGAAGCAACTCGAACAATTCTCTTGCGGCTTGCTTTGATGAGACTCCTCAAACATTTTGTATAAAATGATAAACTTTTACATTTTTTAAATTTTTTCCTTTTAAAAAGGAGCCTTACCAACTTGGACCGTTCAACCCGTGAACTTCACTTCTATTGTTCAGGGAAAGAACATAACCCTCGCGTGGGAGTATAATGTTGATGGAAAGTTTGCACAAGCTCAATTTTCCGATTTGAAGAAAGCTGGGAAAGAGAAAACGGTTGCTGTTAAGTCTTCAGCGAATGGAAACGTAGTCGTTGCCTCTGATTACCAGGAAAGATTCATTGTGCGTATATCAGCCTCACAAACACTAGTAACAATTCTCAGAGCACAGAAAGCTGACATTGGAAAGTACAAGCTGCAGGTGATAAACCGGAAATTGGAAACAATAAACAGCGTGGTGGAGGTTTCAGTTCATTGTAAGTACTATTGATGCACAGACACGGGAAAGACTAATAAAAAGATGGACAGACACACACACATCTTGAAAGACATGCAAACACACCGCCCAACAGTTAAACAGACAACTTGTTGGAGTTGAGGTACTTGTTGGGCCCCAGACCTCCGATGATCTACTTCTGAGCTACAGAAAACTTGGCCATCACTAAGTTCGTTGGTGACACGTGACCAGCAAAGTGCTATGATCAGCATTGTCAAAAACGTTGTGCGAGTGAAGGGATTAAGAATAGAGATGAATTTTTAGATTATGATGTTTGGTCAAAATCAACTAGAATAGGCTTCCGCGGTGTCTGCAAACGATTTTAACCTAATAAATACACTATTCTTTATCACTGATTCGTTTGGAATTCCAAAAGGAAAGAGAGGCTTGAAAATCTACCATTTGTTTTCATTCTCAGATCTACCAACCAACACTGTTCTCTCAGTATTTCCAGACAGCAGCGAAGTGTTTGGAGGAAGTGTCTTATATGAGAAATGCAGCACAGATGCCAGACCTGATCCTCACATTTTTCTCTTATACTTCAATGGAAATTTTATCAGTAACAGTAGCTCAGGGGAGTTTAATGTCACAGTTTACAGCGATGGAGTATACACATGTGCTCCCATTAACACAGTTGGTTCGGGAGACAATGCATCGTTTAGCGTCACTATTTTTGGTAAGAATCCATCAGCGTTGTTGATAGGCTTTCTTAATGAAATCTACATAATGCACCAATTACAGCTTAACTCCACATTGCAGTATGTCTGGTAAGTGATAGAGCAAATGTGACTTGAAAGTGTGGTTCATGTTAAAATGTGGCACGAATCCAGTGTGCCTCTAGCATTCGTATCTTATTTGGGCGTCTCCTGTCTTCTCTTGAGCAACAAGCAGTCTATGCTACCTTGTGCTTTCAAATCGTCGGTAAAAGCCATTTAAAATTTGTCTCAATTAGCCTCTAAAACACTTTGTAATAACTTTCCATTTTCACCAAAACCAGGCAAGGCTACGATAGGTTTGGAACCCAGAAACGTCACAGCATTGGTAGGTGAGGCCACATCGCTGAAGTGCCTTGCTCATGGGAATCCTCCGCCAACTATTACGTGGACTCGTCATGGCATTGGAAATGGTTCAGAGCTCTTTTTTCCTTCAGCGAAGTTCTCTGACAGTGGGTGGTACAGATGCGTAGCTACAAATGCTTATGGAGTCTCTTTTAGTCCACTTGCATACCTCGATGTAACCGGTAAGGTACTTGACCCTTCTTGCGGCAGAATTAAAATCGTTAGATTTTAAGCGGTTTTAAGCAATTTGATCGGCTCTTTTTACTCCTTAGACAGTGCCAGTACCTTCATAAATGGGAGAATGACAATATTAAATGAAAATTTTGATAATGGCTTGAAAAATCCTTCAAGCGCAAGATATCAAACCCTTAAGAGGCAGTTTGTTGAGGCGGTAAGTGTTTAAATTATTGATTCTATTGTTAACCCTTTCACTCCCAAGATTGTATTTAGAATTCTCCTAACTACCTGCCATACAATAATTATGATGTTAGTTCTAAGAATTTGGTATTGGATCAATCAATAAAACCCTAACTTATATTTTTCTATATTCTCGTCACTCATCTGCTTGATATTGTAGTGATATTGTGAGGAGAAATTCTGTCTTGTTCACAGATGGGAGTTGAAGGGTTAAACAACGGGCTGCGGTGTCAGGTTTTGAGTCCTCTCATAATGGCATCATTACAATGATTATTAGTGCGAACACAATCTCAATTGAATACCATCCCAAAGGCTCTTTTTTCTTCCAGTCTCTTTTGAGGGATTACTTTGAACCGAGTGAGGGAAACTTAGATAAAAGATGAGACGAGGAGGGCTTTTTTTAAGTAGTGGTAGATGAAAGGGAGTAACATGATTATTTTGCTTAATGGGAAGTCACTTATTTAGCGGGAAGCTTCTGGAAAAAAATGCTTCACATTAGACTCTACAGGAAATTACAACTATGCCACAAATCAATTTCGTGGCCTGAGGTTATCCTAAGTTAGCGGAGACAAAACTTCTAGCGCCAATGATGTTTCATCTTCAAGGAAAAACTCTGCCGAACTCAACGATAAGTCGCGTTTCAAAAGCATAGCCAAAACTTCGCGAGATGTTGCTGTTGAACTCAGACACGTACTGTTGCTTTGTAGTATTGCAATAGTGGTGTTTGAGTTCTTTCATGAAAAGTTTTAATAACAGTTCATATTCATAATTTAGGTAAGGGAAGTTTTCAAGAGTGACAGTTCCTTCCATAGCACGGATGTCACAAGATTTGAGTAAGAGGCAATTGAACGAATTTAAGTAGCCAAACCACCCATTACCACCTCATGTGATGGCATTCATATATTCATCTATCCATTAATTCCTCCCTTAATATATTCATCCCTTACTCCCTTCAACTATCCACTCATTTACTTACCCATTAATCCTTCCCTCCCACCTTCCGTCTGTCCTTGCCTAGTTCCCACCTTTCATTCATTCATTCATTAATTCAGCTATCTATAAATCCATTCATCCATCCTTCCTGTCTTACATCCATTAATCCATCCATCAGATCTTTCCCTTCCTTAATCTATCACTTCTTGCCTCTTTTCATCCATCCATCCACCCATCCATTTCGACATCGATCCAGTCTTGTCAGTCAGACTCTAGTTTGATCATATTCTAATTCCGTTTGATGACGTTTTCATCTGCAGAAAAGGAAGTGTGATCATTCTTTTCGCGTTAACTTTCAAAGAAGTAGTTCGAACAGACAGAAAAATCACTATTTTAAAAAATGCTGCCAGTGACGGAAGAATTGGTGTCTTAGATGTTGATCCTGTCTCCGTCATGGCTATCCGTGAAACTAAAGAACCTGCCACCAGTAATTTAGAATGCAGGCCGTCAAGCTCACCAGAGAGCTCAGGTATTTTTTTCTGCCCGTTTGTAGAGTACTGTGGGACGAGGAAAAGTTTATAATCTCACTGAAAGGTTGAAATGAAACTAAGATCAGTGCTATAGAACTTTTCCGAAGTATTTTAAAGGTGGTATGTTCTTAGGTTGAAAACGTCTCTAAAAGCATATAGGGTAAAATGAATTTTAAAAAAAAAATAATAAAATAACAAGGTTCTCTGCTGAAACTTACGTACTTTCTGTCAGTGTAATCTCTGACATCAATGAGAAATAATCCTGTGGCAAATAGATGGTTACTTAGCTCGTGTGATAAACTAGTTTAAAAAGGCTTTGCTTCCTGAGGTAGCTGGTAAGGGCTAACAGAGCGGTTTTAGCGTAGTAAGTGTGAAAGATTTCTATTAGAGACGTTTATACTCCTATGGCAGATAAACGAGCCTGGTAAGCTTTAAAAAATAATCAGCGATTTTCTGATTTGCTCCGCAGCTTGCTCAAGTGACAATAAAATATTTGGAGCAGTGATAGGAGTTCTTGTTTTCGTAATCATTGGCCTGCTTATTTTTATATTCTTCCTGCAAAGAAGATCAGGTAACTGTAACATAAATTGTAGCTGAACAGATAACAAACTAAACTGGGAAGATTCCATGACAGTGAACTTGAAAACAGAGTGGAGTCCCATTGTTTTTCTAACGATGTCATGTGAACAGCGACACCTACTCTGGATACTGCTTGTCTTGTTTAGGCGATGAGGCCGAGAGGTAAAGGGTCATCCCATAATAAGCATCTTCCACTGCCGTTTTTACTTGGTTTCACGTGACGTTAGTCATGTCTCAGTCGAACTTGTCTCATTCACACACGCCCTTTAGTTGAAGGCGGCAACGAAGTTGTCCAGAGGCCGAACTATAATACGAAACCAAGATCGCCCACTCATTATCTGAATGTCTGTTGAAAACTAACCAATCATCTCGGAGCTTCATGTTTCCTATGAGGTGACTCATATCCATCCAAAATGTTCGCCTGATGAAGAATAACAGTACACCTCGAAATTAAGCATCGCAATCCATATCAGATCGCACTTCACAGTGTAGCATAAACGATTACACTTTCCAGTATAAACAAATCTAAAGAAGCCGCATTTAGGACTTTAAATTGTTTCTACATTGCCTTTCCTTCGTTTTGTGTTAAAAGATACTACAACCTAGCGGTGTTTGCCCCATAATTCCCAGAATGGTTAAACTTCTGTTATAGTTAAACGATGGACACCACTTTTTAACCAAAGCTGCGTCCAATTTAAAGTTGGAGCCTTAGTTTTCACTTAAATTCAGGTTTAATGTTCATATGGTATTTTGGTTGAATTTTCGATATTCTTCACAGCCGCAGAATTTCTATCAGCTGAACAAACAAAAAAGAAAAGTTCAATATAGATTTATTATTTGTTGTTATAGTAAGTTTCGTTTCTTCGTTTAGGAATGGAATCCAAGCAAAGGTAAGTAAAAACTTTCCCGCAATTATTGTTTCTAAGCTGCCGATGATCTTTCGTATTTTTGTAACAATGTTTGGTTCACCTTTGATGCACAAAAATATAACGCAACTGATTTACTTGGAGTAAGTATTAAATGTTTATTACAAAATATTTGGTAAAGAAAAACAATATTTATCAAAAAAGCTAGTCTTATTCGATAGAAATCGATGTATCAAGAAGGTGTACCTTTGTCTCTACTTTCTTTCAAGGAGATGTGAAATGGTCAGAGAGGAGACTCAGCCCAGACCTCTTAGCGTAAGTTGAATATCACGGCTGTATCTAACTTCGGATCAAATTTAAAGAATCTCTGTCTTTCATATTTCCTGCTTACAAGTTGCCTTCTATCAGCGGTCGTCGCTGTGGATATTACCGACCAGAGCATAGTTGAAGAGACTAATATCGGCAGAAAATTTTTCTTGAAAATTTGTTGAGGAGGGATTGTGACAAATTGAAATTCTGTGTAGAAACGATGTCTGGGTTATAACTGCTTAGTAAACTCCTGCAACAATTAAATACTTTGTATATCAACATTTTTCAATTTTCCATAGTAACACTTCCATTTTTCTCGCACAGTTAAGCCTAATTTTCCTAAAACGTGCCTAAAACCCGACATGAAGGTGTCAATTATAATACTGCATAAGCCCTGTTTTTACATTTTAGATTCTTTGAAACAGCTTTAAAGGCCCCACTTATGAAAAACTTTGAAAACGCACAATTACCCAGGGTGGATTCAACTACCTAACATCGTGTTATCAACCTCTTTCATAATGTTGTTCTTCTTTTCCTTTGAAGTATGAAATTTCCATGTCTAGACTTGAACAAGTTGTAATGCAGACGAACCGCGTAACCGTAGAAGGATCTTTGGCAGAAACATCGGAAACAGAGGTTGATACAGAACTGATAGATACTGGAATCGCTGGATACGAGTCGGCCTTGCCGGTCACCAACTCCTCTTGGAAAGTTCCACAAGAAAATGTGTCTGTAAGAGAAACAATAGGCAAGGGAGCCTTTTCTCAGGTGGCCAGGGGAACAGTTAAAAATCTCCAAGGGGCTTCTGAAGTGATAGTGGTTGCAGTTAAAATGCTGAAAGGTAGAAACTATCACTGTTTGAGTCTATGGACATTTCTCTAGATGGCTTAGACGCATCCACCGCCTTTCTACACCACCTTTACATGCATTCCTTTCGGGAATATCATTCAAGCCTATCATGTAAACTTCAAGTCGATGGCTTTTGTTTAGTCGCCATGTAGGGCCTTAGATTTGTTTTCCATAGAGCCAGAATACTTTCTTCAATTTTTATTCGAAAGACTTGTTTCCTCTAAAGCCAGGAGACTTTCTTCAACTCCTACCGCGGAAACAGACCTCAAGAGCAGAAGATAAACGGAAAAGAACAAACAAGCGAGTGTTGAAAGAATGTGACAACTTCTAACCACAAAGCAAATGTCTGACAAATAAATTTTTAGCCTCATTTTCTATAAAATAGAAAAAAAAGGAACCAGCGTATTAAATGGTAGGTTAAGAATGATTGATCTTAAGTTTTAAGACAATATTTGACTAGCATCAACAGTTTAGTCTACGCTCGACTGCAAAAGCGTTGACATTTAAAGAGGGTTTACAATAAACGATGAGACCTCACGGCTTTATGGGCCAAATGTAAATAATAGCCACCACTAGATACCCGTGGCGAATGATAACAGCTATCCAGGCTTTCGTAGATGAAAATAATTATCATAGAAAAAAGAGATTTCGCATAAAAAAGGGGAAAAAGAGAATCACATATTATGTATCTGTGCGAAAATTTCCCATAAAGCCATAAAGTTGGGTCTCATTACATTTAGGGGGGAAATATTTTTACGATCGAGTATACTTTTTATCCGGCTTACTCCCACATTTTTTCTACTTTTGAATAACAGAAAACGCTCCTACCTCTGATAGGAAGGATCTGCTGTCAGAGCTTGACCTTATGAAGCAACTCAAACCTCATCCATACGTCATCAAACTACTAGGATTTGTTGCTGGTAACGTATAAAAAAATTTAAAAAAAATTGAAATAAATAAAGTAAAAAGAAAAAAGTCTCATAGTGCAAGACAGACGAAAAATTCACAAAGGGTTAAATTTTAAAACGCATTTTTTCCATTGACAGAACCGCTATTGGTGTTGACTGAGTATGTTCCATTTGGAGACCTGCTCGGTTATTTACGAAAAAGCCGAGGACTAAACGACAGTTACTACAGCAACCCGAAGTTCACAGCAGAAACTAGTTTGACGGCGGATAAACTGATGAAGTTTGCTTGGCAGATTGCCGATGGAATGAGCTACTTGTCCACTAAATGTGTAAGTTAGTTCACAGGCTGTCGTCAGTTCACTCTGCTATCTAATACTCCTTTAGTGGAACCGCGCCAAGTCATTAATTCGGATTTGACCCCATTTTTCCAGTCCTGCATTTGACGGCAATTGAAGCACTTGCTAATGTAAGATTTGACATCAAAATCAGTCACCCTCTTTTCCTGGTAAATAAAAAAGCTGTCTCAAACCAGTTGTTGCATTGGCTGTTTCATGATTTATCATAAGGATGTACAGAAAATGTGTAAGCATTGTAATTATGCATGCTATCTCAAATCAAGCATTTGGCTTTTCTATATCTTTCGGAGCAGATAATTCATCGAGACCTGGCAGCACGCAACGTGTTGGTTGGAGAAAATGAGACCTGTAAAGTGACGGACTTTGGAATGGCCAGAGATGTGCAGCAAGACAGCATATACGAAATGAAAACTACGGTACAATAAATTATCATGTGATTCGTTTATTGTACAACATAAAGTCAGCTTAAATCCAGGATAACCTAACTTACGCGGAAACACTTTCACGTCTTATAACATAGCTAGCAGAGCCGCGCAATCAAATTCAGTATACGTAAGCGTGCTCAAAATCCCGATAGTGCACGCTGATAGCGTGAGCAAATCGCTTCGCCAGAAATTTTTTTTTTCTCGCACGAGCGGCCATTGTTAGCGCGGGAAAAAATAATACATTTCGTGACAATAATGGATACAAACAGAGACTCGGCCCACCAGTCCCAAAACGAAGACAATTTTCCGACCTTTCCCCTTGGGCTAGTGTTCTTAAATGAGGCAAAAAAAGAGAAAAAGAACGGAAAAGGAGACTCGGCATCAGCACCGTCACGATTCGCTTCACTGTCCGAGGATGAAATGCAACACATTTTGACAAAAAGACACTCTGGTAAAACCAAACAAATGACAAACAATGGTCTGTTTCAACCTTCAAAGGTAATCTTAAATTTTTCCGTTTTAAGTAAAATAAAAGTCGAGCTTTCAACTGAAAATTTGAAATAAAACCAATTCCTAGTTTGCTTAATATTTCGCTTACCTCGAACAATCACTTCTGATATTGCTGTCCGTTTTTCGCGTCGGATTTGATGCACAATTCCACCGGCTATGTTATAAAGCAATTGGTTCATGCTTTTAGCTGTGCTCTCTTACTCCCAAAGAGATGATTTCCATCTTTCTTTTCTTCTTTTTTTATATACTGGTCAACAGTACAAATATGCATGCATTACATTTAACAATTAGTTCATGCTTTAGCGTGCACTATCGAGTTATGGAGCACGTGGGAAGTTTGGAGAGCATTCATGAAGCTAGAGCTGCCCTCGGTTATTGCCACGGGCAACTCTTACGCTTCTTTCGTGCTCTCCAAACTTCCCACGTGCTCCATAACTCGATAGTGCACGCTAAAGCATGAAAAAATTGTTAAATGCAATGCACGTATATTTGTACTGTTGACCAGTATATAAAAAAAGAAGAAAAGAAGATGAGAGCCCCTAACGTTATGTTGCTAGTGAAAACCTAGTGCCATGTGCTCATTGTTTTCCATATTATGATGACTGAGAATTTACGGGTTTAGATAAACTCGAGCACCAGAATATTTATGATATATTGTTTATATCGGCAAGCTAGTTTTTAACTGACATCAATTTGTTACAGGTTATAGATAAATAACAAAGTACCTAGTTTTAAAAATCAAGATGCTAAATTTTATCAATAGATGCTGACTTGTGAACATTGAAAAGAGTCATTCAACAAAATAAAAACAGCTTGTAAAGAACAGAATGTAGAGGGTGGTTTTCCTGTAGCTTGTGGCTAGTGAAGTACGTAAAATTCACCTGAAACTCCTCAGCTGCTGCTTTTTAGAGAGCAGTTGACTCAAATTGCAAAAAGAGATACATGTTTATTATAACAATTTCATTAAACTTCAGGGGCGACTTCCTATCAAGTGGACTGCATACGAGTCGCTTTTCTATGGGACGTACACCACCAAGAGTGACGTGTAAGTATTGACTGATCAAAGTGCCAGTAACCCCACGCCTTAATAAATCAGTTTTACCGAAACAGCGTAAACGTGTAACGCTAAATTGGAATTTTACAGCGTTGGTAGTCATTACTTGAACTCAAGTACTGAGAAATTTTTATTCTGATTTCAATCATAACATATGCGGTAAGAGAAGCGCAAAAATAACTTCTAACAAGATGGATACTTCTCTGTTACACAGCGCACAAAAAGGAGAAAACGATCATCATTTCAGTAACTAGAATTATCTTTTCCACACACAAAAAAAAACAAAACAAAACAAAAACTGGTACCACCAAGCTACAAGAATTATATCTGTCCCTTAAATGATTAGGGCTCTACTCATCTATAGAAGTAACCATGATAAGTGAAACTAAATGTTCACATTTTTACAGGTGGAGTTACGGGATTGTCCTCTATGAAATCTTTACACTGGGTAAGATTTTTTAATGTGATTTCCTGTACCCTGGAAGTATTGTAAATAACACTTTATAGCCATCAAGAAGAGTCATCTTATCCCATCCGTACTAATTGCAATACGATTAATACTAGATAAAAAGGTATTGATAGTAGCCAAGGTTTTGATATCTCACGTTATAATCTACCAAATAACTTTTCTCACGCGCGATTGGTTTAACGCATAACGTATTCGAATATGCCCCGAAAATGAAAAAGCGTTCAGCTATTGTTACTGAAGAAGGGAAATGTTTGTTTGTTCATTAAGCCGAACCAGACAAACACTGAAAGGTAAATATCCCACGCAACAGACAATAAGCTGTTCGTAACATTTTTACTACGCGTTGCGTAAACATTTTGAAAATGATAAACACAATAGCCTCCAATTGGCGCGAAAATATACTAGTACATTTGTCCTTCGATATTGTCTGGTCGTCATCATCATCATCATCATTTATTAGCCATTTGAGATACAATATTTATACCGGTTAAACAGTATGGTAGGGCGAAGTGACCTCCAAGAAACCACCAGGCTTTTAGGGTAGACCACCTCGGTTGTCAATATGTTTGTAATTAAGATGTGGATGTAGATGTGTGGCTTGGCCAATTCGGACTCATTTCATTAAAAAATTAATCATCTTTAAAAGTGAAAAGCCAGTCAAACCGGTAATCGATATTGAGAGAGAATTCCATATTTTAGGACCTTGGTAGAGTACTGTAAATTGTTTAAGATTATTACGAAAGTCATGTGGTCGATAGCAATTGGCTATGTAACATAATTGCGTACTTGCTTATTTGCAGAGAACCAGCTGAGAAACATCAGGGGCAATGGTTGGTTATGATAAAACATAAATTCAGCTATTTGCAATGCGTTGACTTGGGAAATATCTAAGATGCCCCGTTTAGGAAATATGAGGCAGTGTGTTCTCGATAGTCTTCGAACCTTACAGTTTTCCTTGAGCTCCACCCTCGGGAAACTGTTTGCATATCTGAACGGATGATGTCCGTGGACAAAAACCCGCGCACATTTTCGCGTCAAATGGGGGCTATCGTTTACATTTCCTGTAATTTAGATTGCTTATCACTTTTAGGTGGATCGCCATATCCTGGTATGGAGGGAAAAACGGTTCCAGGTTGGCTCAAACTTGGATACAGGATGCCAAAGCCAGTACACATCGACGACAAATTGTATGAATTTCTTCAAATGTTATTAGATTTTAGAACAGTTTATGTTCACCTCAACATAGCCTTGATACCCTCGTGGTGTCCTTTCTTTCGAAACTTCCTGACGCTGATTAAAACGAGTACAATAGTTTATTTTGTTTCAACCCACGCTAACTTGTTTTCGATTATGTCAACATCTCCCTTTTCATGATGAGAACTAAGTACCGCTATAATCATACGATAGAAAACAAACCTCTTGTTTGTCTCAGATATCAAGTGATGTTAGAATGCTGGCAAATAGAAGCGAACGAAAGACCGACATTTTCTAACCTTACAAAGAAACTTAAAGTAATGGAAAACCAACACAAGGTATAAACTTCTACTCCAACAGTATTTTAGCTACAAAAACACTAGGTTGAAGCTATTTCAATTATGTTTACAATTTACAACATAATGTGGAGAGTAAAGTAAAATTACAGTAAGGGTTTAACGTTGAATCTTTCCCTCGTTATTTTATTTTTTTTTTTCTTTCATCATTTGCATTTTTTATTTTTCAGAAGCTAATCCAGATGGCGAAGTATGACAACACACTTTATGTGAATGTCGACGATTTAGTTGTCTAGTATTGAGACGAGACGTTCATTTCGAAAAAATTCATTAAAACACATGAGCAATTCAGTTTTGAAGCTCTTTAGATAACCTTTAGATAATCAATAGGAAAATCGTCTAATTAATGTCGTTTGTACAAATGATTTTCGTCAGATATTTCTTTTAAGATTGATTCAATACCTTTCTAACCTTTTCCACTTTTTACGACTCACTGATATTCTTCTTGTTAGCGTTCATTAACAGTATTAAGTTCGTAACAGTTTCATATACAATGTACAGCTGTTTCGAGAAAGTTTGTCGGAAAAAAGGGCAAAAGTGCACCCGACAATCTCGAATGGAAAGCTGGGTATCCCGTAGTCAATAAAATTGCTCAAACCGTGGTGCCTCGTCCTGACAGTGACGTCTCCGAATACATTAACATTAATGTTAGTCTGCTTTTCAATTTTATCATACTGTTTTACAGACACTGGAAATTCAATATCATATTGAATATATAATAATAACAAAATCTAATTACATTAACTTTAAGTGAGCACTAACTCTGGAAAACAAACAGTTGCCTATACAGAAACTACTCTCGGGAAAAAATCTTAGTAGACTTAAAACACCTAAACATCCTTAATCTCTTTCAAAAGAAACCTCATTTTCTGTCATAGCAATACTCCGAACTGTGTTATAAATATTATTTTAATACTGTAAATCCGTAATGTACGAGAAAGAATAAAGTAGAGTAAAAGTACAGGGGCCTAAACTGCATTGAGATCATGCAGAAGGGAGCTTTTTGAGTTAACTAATGTTCCAGGTAAGAACTAAGAGAGCTATTAAACACAAATGAGAAGCGGAGCAAATTCCTTGACAAAGTAATGGACAGGTTTTTTTGATTGACAATATTTCTTAACTCGTTCTCTGCCTATCACACTGCCGACGACCCTTTTCATTTGCTTCCCTGATTTCGGTTATTCGCATTTTTATTCTCGACTCAGTTAACTCTCCTAGTTATTACATAGAACATTACGGATCCTCTTTAAAAAAAAAGAGTACGTCAAGACAGACTTGACAACCATGAAGTCTCCTGGGTCCATTTCATCCAGTTCGGAGAGTGGGACATTTGCGACGACTTCCCCTGCACTTATTT